TGGGAGATTTATCTGGTATCTCTTATAGATGAAAAGATATTTAATTTCTCTTACAGTGTCCTTGTGATATATTGATACTGTACAGGGAAATGATAGCATAATTTAATTCTTTTCATGTCTTATCCTTGTTTCATCTTTGTTGTGAGCAGAAATTATTTATGTTCCTCTCATCAGCCTTACTCTTGTATTCATTACTGCTGTGCTTTTTATGCCATGGCTGCTTATACTTTTTTTTCCCCTGCTAGAAGTCCTCAATTTTTGACTGGGACCCGAAGATAGGCTTTGTGCGCAGAAACTTAGTTATCCTTGACAGTGGCACCTACACATGTATGACAAAATATGATAGTGCCACTTATGCTGTTCAAGTTGACCGTAAGTGGTTTTGGATAATACCGTATATTTGGAAAATAAATAATGTATTTTCCCTCACCCTTAATTATAATTCTTTACTAGTGAATTACCATATTCTTATGTTAGATGCTTATACAGGTGCTCCTCTACTTAAGAACGTTTAACTTACAAACTTTCAGAGATACAAACATTATGATTTACCTGCCAGAACAGGTGTTTAATGTGGATGAGACTGGATTATTTTGAAGAAATTCCAGATAGAACAAACATTACCTAAGAGGAGAAGAGTGGGCCAGGTTTAAGGCTGTATTAAAGGGTAGAGCTGTACTAAATATCCATAATCTTTTCATTTTTTACAATATGTTTGGTTTCTACAAGAGTAAAGTTGGACTTACAAACAATTGAACTTACAAACAAGCCTCGGGAACGTAACTCATTCATAAGTAGAAGAGCACCTGTACTGTACTGTACTGTGCTATACAGTATAAAGGGTAACAGTGAATGATTTTAGTATATATATATTTTTTTGTGATTTTGACTAGATTAACTAAGATGAGATTCATATAAAAATTTTTAACAATGACGAGTTTGAAGCTTTTAACCTATTGTAGTATTATACTGTATTGTAATTGATGAGGATAATATTATAATCTTTTGCAGGTGCTGGTATAAGGTACAGAATCTAGATTAATGAGTGATTGATCCTGAAAGCCCATTTTATGGATGAGCCATGAATAAGACAAGTCATGAACCCTGGAATGAATAATCAGGTTTCACCTGTAGGCATATCATAGACTGGACAAATACACGAATTACTGTAGTTATGCATCCCCATCACAACCAAGTAATAAAAGATATCTTTAGAAACATTTGTTCACCACTTAGGGGGTGTTAGTGGTAAAGTGGTAACATGCGTGTCTCTCGCCACTGTGTCATGGGTTTAATCCCCGGCCTAGAACAGAATTGAGAAGGGTATAACCAGTGTGAGATACCAAACATCATTGGTTTTCTCCGGGTACTTTGGTTTCCTCCTGTACTAACACTGGACAATGGAGGTTGTGACAAAGAACAGACTAACTGCCCAAATAGCTAGTAAGCTGATAAACAGTGAAATGATAAATGATTATAAATGAATTTAAAATAGAAAAAATATGTAGTGAATAGTACAGGTATGTCAAAGAAATGTGACTCGACCATCGTCCAGCTCAGAGGTACCCAGCGAGATGAGAAAGGGTATCCGAGTCACATATTTCCATGGTCGCTGTAAGAGCATTATTGGTGTTTTTACTTATCTTTTTCCTTCTTTTTATTTATTTATTTATTTTTTACCTTACATTGTACGTACTTTGTTTTGGTGATCGTGAAGTGATTTTTGCTATGTTTTTTGTGACTGTAAACTGCTTTGTCTTGTTGTCAACATGTGAGCAGTGGCGGCAACTATCATTGTTTATACATTTTGTGACAAGTTCTTTGGCTTTGCTTTTGTGACAGTGTTATTAATTGTTTTGTTGTGCTAGTAATATTCTAGATTTATTTTTACGATGATACATGTGGGTGTCCAACTGGCCAGGAACTTATCCCATTGAACCCTATGATGTTTTGACCTGCGATGGGTTTTCAGGAACCTAACCCCATCGTAAATAATAAGTTACCTGTATGTGCAAAATCAAAAAGATGTGTAAATTTGGCTTATTAGGAATGTAAATGTTGGGTTTATGACCTTGTTGGGCCTTTATGCCAGTTCCCATGGTTGTCAGATGGCTGGCAACTCGCTCTCACTTTCTCAATATTGTTTACAAGGGGTTCTCGACAGTCTACTTACTGCCTAATCACTCTGTACCCAAGAATTACATGAATAATGTGAAGAGCACCTAATATCATCATGTAAAGTTACCATTATAAATAATAATAGAACTCCTCAAAACACGTTGCCAGTCAGCTGTGAGATGTCTGTGCACATTGTCGTGCGGAGGATTAAAGAACATATGAGAAAAATAGGGTTCAGTTCACCAATGACTAGTAAACCCCAATATCATATCCCAAAATCATGAAATCGGTTCATGAACAACAAACATCATACATCGATTTAAAAAATTTCAATTTACAAGAGTTTTTTTCAAGAACATAACACTCATAAATTGGGGTATGACTGTAGTAATATCTTGAAACTTTTCAGTTTCTTGACTATACTACAGGCAGGCGAACAAGGGCGTCTGCCCAGGCCAGCACTAGACCCAGTGACCTCGGACACATTGCCTGTTGACTGGTTAATCTGACCTGACCTGACTATCGCAAGTTTCCATTTGTATTTATTCATTATTATACAGTATTCTCGTATAAGAAGCCTACTATACTATGGTGAATGTTTCATCATAAATAATATAACATACATTATTAAATAATAGAACAAGATAAAATACAGTATATAATTTAACTTCAAAATAAAAGACATGTTGAATCATAAGTTAAACCCTCTACCCTGATCACTCATCCCCTCCCTCCATAAAGGGGGGGGGGGTGAGGGGGGGACTGGCTATGCCGCATTTGCCAGTTTATTGCTATTTATGTTCAGCCTCTTATGGTGTATATTTCTTCACAAATAATATAATATTTTAAATATATAAAAATATGATAATATTAATTTGTGATATGAATTAAAAGTAAAAGGTGAAGCTGTATCAGAAGGTAATCTCTTCCATGACCACTCTTCCCTTCCCGCCGTCAAGGTCAGCTTTTGACCTGAATATTATTGATTGATTATTATTATATTCTACCATGATCAGCCTCTTATGGCGTACGATTCATCGTTACTGATATAAAATCTTCAATAACAGAAAAAAATATATAAATATTCTTTGTATTTTCACTTGAGAATAAAAGGATACGTTGTATAGAAGGTGACATCGCACTTTATCTTCTCTCCCTCCTCCCTCCCACAACATAATAACCTATCAAAAAAATAATTATGAGAGAAGCCATTTATTATGTCCACATACAGCTGTATTTCTCCAGTAACCATATAGAACAGGTTTATGAGCATGGGACATCAATATAGTGAGGACGTGCATGTGTTGGCAGGCCTGCTGCATCTAAGAGTTTTCCGTTAGCCACAGAAATTTCCACTAGCCCGTAATTGTTTTAGAAATATGTGGGAATATCTTTTAAAACTCTTAATGGAAGAAACAGCGGTCAAAGCATCAGCCAGCCCTTCACCCAGAGGGGCTGGCTGAGGGGAGGAATGGCAACTCAGCCCTTCAACGCTGGTGAATAACAGACACAATTTATGCTTACATTCTTTAATTAAGCTTATTATGCTTGCTCTATACTAAGTCCTCTTTTTTTACTTATTTGACAGTTTGAATGACAGAGATATATCAATGGTAGATGGGAGTTTTTGGGGGGTGGCTGGTCCGTAACCTCTTGAATTTGTTATATTGACTTTTTTGCAGACCGCATATGTGTTGGTCATCTTGGTTTACCTGTGTACTATGCTTCCAATTTTCTATAAGTGTGAAAAGGTAAATCTGATACCAGTGATTCCAGTCTTGTGTAACAGGTATCAACCTCATCTGAGCTCTTTTGAGGAATACATGAAGCAGGATATGGAATTTGATGATTATTTATTTAATTATGGTTGACTCAACACTTGGAGAAAGAATTCATTTAAAAAATAATCACTCAGATAGTATCACCTTCCACAACAGAACATTTTCGTGGACATATAGCATCCCTGCAAAATACAGTGTCAGTGAATTAGGAAGCTTCTATATTGTCTTAAACAGTATCAGAAACTTCTTAGTGGAAGTGATTTCCAGGAACCCAGTTAACATGTACAGAATGTTGACTCATTGTCTTCAAAGAACATGATGCTTATCCTTTGCCTCTGAACATCTCTGTCTCAGAGGAAGAATGAGGGGAATAAAAATTCCTCCAGATTACTTTGAAACACCTTTCTGAGGTGGTTTTCAAAGCATATTTCAGTACAGTTCTTTTCCATTCTGAACATGAAAATCCCATCCAGCACCATACCACATTGGAAACACTGCTTCTTGTCTGATAAAGCAAGTTGCCTGAGAAAGTGGGTGGGATATAAATAAATGTTAAAGCTTCGCATAATATTACAAATGCTGAGAACTGCAGAGATTAGTCTTTGCCTTCACAAATGCCAGAAATAAAGGCACAGCACTTACCTTTGTGTCCCAATTCGGGCAAGGAAGATTCAGCTACCAGGGAGCCAACTGAAGAGTTTTTCACTTGAAAATCGCACTATAGTTGACCCAGATAAAAGTTGACTTGCTTGTCTGTTTGCATGTCATCCACATCTCATTGCATTCTACATTAAATAGTGAACTGTTGGTGGTTTTTACAGATTTCTTTATGGACTTGGTTTTAACAAAGAAGTATAACTAATTCATGATTTAGTCCCAGTCTATGATTTCTTACGAGGGACTTGAGACCAGGATTCATGACTAAAATTCATCAAACATTTAATGAAGGGCATCAACCATTAAAAAAAATCTAGATAAGTTGTGTAAAGTAGTGAAAGTTTCTTATATAACATTTCTCTTTTTTGTAATCAGTTTTAGATACAATGTACTCTTTTATTGTTTTGTATATACTGTTTTAATTAAAAAAAAACATTTTTACAGCTGCTTCAGTTACTCTACCAAAACCAGCATTTGAGAAAGCGCCAAATCAACATTTTGTTAAAGGACAAGGTTTCAAGCTCACTTGCTCTCTGATACTGAGCCGCAGCGTTGCATTTCACTGGACACTTCCAAATCCAAATACTGTGAGTATAGAAAAGTCTTAGTGGTTTAAAGATCATATCAAATGACCTGTAAAATTGTCCAACCAGAACAACCCCTGGCAGAGCTTATGTCAAAAGTGGCCTTCTTAATGCTTGTCCCTTTGAATCTGTGTAATGTGCTGGTAAACAACTACAGTATATACACTAACCCAATTTAGGACATTGACATTTTCATTTTTACTGTATTCTCATTTTTTGGCATAGGAGGTTTTCTGTAGTCTTTTATTTATAAGTACTGTATATTCTATTTTATGATGTAAGTGGCATTTGTGACTATTTTTCCATATTGTATGAGGGGTTGGGTGAACTTGGTTACTTAAGTTTACAACTTAGAGAAGTGAATGTGGTTGACTGCAATACCGGCCATGCTGCCTCCGTGTGTACCGAAGGCTTGGTATACAGTGTGCTGTATCCACACTGCCCTTTATGGGCAGTCATGCCCAGGGACCTACTTTTACTTTATTCTCAGGGATTTGTTGTTGTAAATGATGGTTGCATTTTAGGAAAAAAATTGCATAAAACAAACAAGTACTGTAGTATGTATTTAAATGTAAAAAATAGGGATGCATTCCTCAATATATACTCCACCACCCCAGCCCCATTTCTACCACTATTTCATGACATTCAGACAGTTGTATTTCTATTTTCTATGCAATGACATGGTATTCTGGTTGCCATCAGGATAATTTGAAACAAGTATTTTATGACTGGGTGACCAGCTCATTTTTAGAGTTGGAAATGTACATTATATGTAGGATTTCCAAGTGCCCTCTTAGCTGGCAAGACAGTCACAACTCTCTGAACTACGGTAATCATAGATTAATTACTTGCCTATCCTTTTTTTTTTTTTGCTGATGCTCCTTCACCTGCACCAACACATTTCAAAATATCTAACGATTTCCAATGTTAGTATCATCTTGCATTTCTTAGATGGACAAATGCTAGAAAAGAAGTTAGCAGGATGCCTAGAACCCATATCAATAAACAAATATAGGTTTTACCAGTAAATACACAAGACCACTAAATACACAATATCAGTGAAACTGATGCTAGTTGTATGCATCATCTTACTTGGTGCTTGGTGTTTCTTCTATGTATTGTGTTGTGATGCCCATTGACCATTGAGTTTTGCAGTTTATGAAGTATTTAGTTTCTTGTTGCTCTCATTTATCTGTGTAAGGAATACTAACTTTATTAGCTTTGTTGAAGAAAGCATCAGAGTCTTCATTAAGCAGTTTTCTATTTATTCTTATTCTTTCTCCAGGATATTGTACAGTTTGTCCAAAATATTATTTGTGTTCAATGTTTTGGGAGACAATATGCTCGAACTTTCCAATCACTCTTTCTGTTCTTTAAGTGAATAATATTCAAGTCTTGTATTGTAAATTTACAGGATCACCAGATCGAACACTCAAAAGTGAAGCGTATGAATGAGTACAGGTTAAGCACCTTACATGTCCTCAATGCTACCACTGATGATTCCGGAGAGTACATTTGTCAAGTGTCTGCAGAAGACTCAAGACCTAATCAAGTATCCATGATTGTTGAAGTGAAAGGTAAATCTTTATATAATTTTATGACCTACAGAACCTTATAAGAAGCCATTGAGGTGAACCATTGCCAGGTTCCACACAAGCTGATACAACCTTTGCTAAAAGGTGTCTAGTTCTTATTGGTTAAGGACAATATCCACCCAGTCAAATCCCTGAGTATACAAGTCCAGTTGTTGTCTGTAGGACTAGTGAGGGCATTCAGGGTGAAGTCTTGATTCGACAGCACAATTGCTTGAATCCCACTGATCACTTGGGGGTATTGTAATTCAGTCTTCAAATTTACTGTTGTTAGCCAGACTGTCATGTCCTTACTTCACTCATCCTGTGGACATAAAAAGAAGAGTAAATGTTAGTTTTACATTTATTAATGTTTGATGATTTTTACAGTACATGTATTGGTTTTCATGACCAATTTTTTATAACTTCTGTGAAACTAAAATGCAAAGAAGCCAATGCTATAGCTTGAGATTCATGTGTTTCATGGTTAGTTTGGTAATTATTAATAAGAAAAAAACACAATTATATCCATCAATATGTAGTGTAGGGATCCCCTGCTTTGATGACACTACTATGTAGCCTCTGAGGCATGGATGCCACCAGTTCTTCAACCAAGGGCATATAGCACCACAAAAAATTGTGACCAAGTCCCAGGTTGCTGATCTGACTTTCTCCCTCATTTACACACAATTGCAGTGTTTCAGTGGTTTCTCTTACTATTGACAACACAACATACATAGAGTATATCATTTCTCACATTTAATTTTAAATTTTATTTTATTTATTTATTCATGGTCTTTTATTATTATTATACTGTACTTATTATTATTATTATTATTATTATTATTATTATTATTATTATTATTATTATTATTATTTATATTTATATTATTATTATTATTATTATTATTATTATTATTATTATTATCATTATTATTATTACTATTGTATTTTTGCCCCCAGGCTCTGATGTGGGTCATTGACCTGTGCCCTGGTGGGCTAATCCCATAAAAAAAAAATAGTAGTTGTTCTCATGGCAACATTGTACAGTATTTTTAATGATGACTCTCATTATACATTATATCCCAATATAGCAACTGATCCCCAGAGGTGGAAGTAATTTCTATTGTGAGTGAAACAGTATTGTAAATTCTGTTTTTGTTATTCAAAAAGTTAATTTATTTCATCTTATGTATTTGTTATATTTAAAATAAGAAGCGCTGTACTTAGAAATATCATAATCTCACAATCAATATACAGCTCCTCCTGACTTACGAGGGGGTTAGGGACCCAAATCCAGGTCGTAAGTCGAAATGGTTGTAAGTCGAAAAATGATTAAATAATACATAGAAAATCTTAAATGGGTGTCTTTTTCTTCTCAGCACCACAAAACTCTCACTTTTAAGCTTGCCAGCCATTTTAAAGTGAATTACAAAAAATTTTTTTTGTCAGTACACAGCGCAATCACTGACGTTGGGACTCGAAAATACGTAATTTGACAAAATTTTGGTACGACTGAGGCGGTCGTATGTCCGGGTGGTCGTAAGTCGAGTAGGTCGTAAGTCAGGAGGAGCTGTATACCAATCCTACCGAAACAACAGCAGTCGTGGTGCTCATTTCGAAACCTGTTGGACCCAGAGGTGAAAACATTTCTTGTTGACTGTATTTAAAAAATACAGTAGTTAATGTAATAATGTTAAACTTAATGGAAAATACATATTGCTTGTGAAATCCCATCACTCTTTGCCGCATCACCCATAGCAAGTGGACACATCTGTTATGGGTACGATGGAACTTTGAAATTGGCTAGACAGTAAACTACTGTACCAACATCAGCTGTGGACACAATACCGTAGTCTTATCTCAGGATCTTTGTTGATAGAGACTGGTGATTTCTGATAACCTTTTCTCCCCTACCTCAGGATTATGTAATCTCACTCCCACCTGACCTTGTTAACTTAACTTAGTTAACCTGAACTCCCTTCACTAGTATTTTTTTTGTATTCAGTACTGTACAGAACAAACTAATTCCAGAATATTAATGGGATTACATTCTACAAACTGCCATAAATTTCATATCTGTAGAATAATTAACCTTTGTTTATGCAATATATCTACATGTATACTGTGATGGAAATGCAATTTAATGAGCTGCACTTAGCAAAAGACAGTGAATTATACAGTAAGCATATACATTGTTAGGTTCTTTACACTGGACCCTCGCTTTATGCGCATTCACTATATGTGAATTCGCATTTATGCGGCAACCCTATTTCTATCCATAATTCATTTTATGTGGAAAATATTCCCTATTACCAGGTATGCATTCTGTAGAAGATATGGTGCACTAGTTTTTTTATTATATTAACTTTATTTGTAAGCCACATTAGAGTATTTTAATGATTTTTCTGCAACTTTTATAGTATTAATGCTCCAGAAATGATTATGAAATGTGACACAATGTGTGTGTCTACTGTGCTGTATGTGACATCATGGGATGCGGCTGGAGTGGTGAGTCAGCCACTCCAAACACTTTCACTTTCCACACAAACATTCATGCTTTTCATAGATCTCATTTTATAGTTTTATATTATATTATCTTTATTTCTAAGCCACATTAGATTATTGTAATGATTTTTCCACAACTTTTATAGGATTACAGTGATCCCTTGGTTAACAAGGGATCACTGTAATTGAAATTTTTATATATGATGTATGACACGATTTTTTTCTGATTTTCAGAATCATTAACACCATACATCAACATTTCAACTATTTCGAAAATCAAAATTTCGGAGGGGGAGTACTTGAAATGGAAGGCTACCATCTTTTCCTTTCCTTCTGACCCAGAGATTGTTTACCGAGACAGGGAAGGGAAAGAGCTCATTGAGACAAACAGGGTAAGTTGAAAGCAAAAAAGAAATATTATATGCTGTACTATATATAAATCATATAATTTTTAAATTTACAATGTTCCTATTTTTTCTGATAAATCTCATTGAGTTGTGAAAGTAATGATGGCTTTAAAACTGAAATAATTATATTCATATATGGTTAATAGCGTCCATATTTACTTCCCAACAGATTACTACAGAGCATAATGCAGCTGATGCTGTTTCATGGCTAAAAATATGGAATACCACAGCCAAGGACTTTGGGAAATATATTTTGCAGGCAACAACAAGGGATGGCAGTGCTAAAAAATCTGCCACAGTTGACATTGAAATTGAGAGTGAGTTGAATTAATTAAAGTTTCTTATATGGATAATCTATGAGTTGTGTGTAGCCTGTGAGAGACACATTCCACTACACGACTTCTTTGTGCCTTATCAGAGAGGCAATCTTGTGTAATGGTAGATGTGATGTAGGTGACAAGTATACTTTACTGGTGACAAGTGTAAGTGATAATACAAGAAAATGGAAACTACAGCTGCTCCCTGACTTACGACGGGGTTAGGAACCCAAATCCAGGTCGTAAGTCGAAAATGCAAAAAATAACACATAGAAAATCTAAAATGAAATACAATACAGTAAAGGTAATCAATAATGAAGAATGGATACAGTGTTACTGTGCATTTACCTTTAATGTAGTCAGCTGAATGCACACGGGGCCCCCATAATTTTCTTATTATATACATGGAGACTACATTAACTGGATGAAGGAGAGGAGGAGACAGGGCTGGGTAGGTCATCAATGTCGCTTTCTTCAGACAGGTTAATATACAGGGGAAACTTGCTTGTTGAAGGTATTGGATCATCTTTAGGGAGTGAAGAGGCAGCACTGGTGGGGTGTGAGGAGACAACAATGGGGGACTTCTTAAAATATATGTCCAATTTAGACTGCACAGTTTGCTTTTTCTTTTCATATAAATCACCCTGTAGCAAGCAAGTGCATCTTGGACCATTCTGTCAACTTTGGCAAAACGCTCAACATTTTGATCCATTCCATCAAATATTTGCATCCCCTTATGAATTGTAACAATGCCTCTGCCATTTGCTTCACTGAAATTTTTTTGGGGGTGCAGGTTCTTTTTCTACAGTTTGACTTTCTTCTTCCTCTGCATTTTTCTGTGCTTCCAGTTCAATAAGATCCTCGTTACTTAACTCTTCTGCTACACTTTCAACCAACTGCTCAACATCTTCATTATCAATTTCTAACTCAAGCTGTTTACCCAACTCCACTATCTTGTTACTAATCTCAGAAATTACTTCATCTTCGTTAAATCCTTTGAAACTGTTCACATATCTTTTCAGGACTTTCTTCCATATTCCATTCATGCCCTGACCTGTAACCTTATCCCATGCTGCACTAATGTTCTTTATACATTTCAAAATGTTGTAATCCTTCCAAAACTCTCTGAGTGTTTTCTCTCCTTCAGCAGCAGCAACAGCCTGAGCGAAGGTCGTACGTAAATAATTCGCTTTAAAAGCAGCAATAGCACCTTGACCCATGGGTTGGATGATGGAGGTAGTGTTAGGTGGAATGTAGACCACCTTAACATCAGGGTGCAGGTCGTCCAGGTGTGGTGGGTGTCCCGGAGCATTATCCAAAATTAACAAAATCTTGAATGCAGACAATACTCCTTGGCTCGTAGAATGAAACAAGTCATGAACCAATCCTCAAACAGTACTAGGGTCATCCATGCTTTCTTGTTACTGCGATAAAACACAGGCAGTGTGTGCTTGCTGACATGTTTAAAAGCCCTTAGGTTCTTTGAATGATATATCATGAAGGGCTTTATCTTGAAACCAGCTACATTCCCCCCAACAGAAGTGTGATTTGGTCCTTGAATGCCTTGAACCCGGCATTGTTTTTGCCTCTTTGTGGATGTACTATGTCCGTTCAGACGGTCTTCCATAATAAGCCAGTTTCATCCACATTAAATATTTGCTCAGGCAAATAATTTCCCTCCACGATGACATGATCTAGCTCCTCCTTAAAAGCTTCGGCAGCACCCACATCAGCACTTGCTGCCTCTCCACTCACCTTTACACTATGCAAACTGTAGTGGTTCTTAAACCTTTGGAACCACCCATGCTTGCTGTGAAGGTTTGGTAGCACTCATCTCCTGCCTGCTCCTTCAGGCTTTCGAAAAGGCTTCTTGCCTTAGCCTGTAGGGTTATAAGGCTTAAGGGTACACGCTTTTGTATCTGGTCTTCCGTCCATATCACAAGTAATTTTTCCATCTCATGAATAGGACCTTGTCTTTTCTTCGTTATTATAGTTCCCTTTATAGATGCTGATCCTTTCACCTACCTCATGAATACGTTCCTTGTCCTTCAAAATAGTAGATATGGTCGAGTGCGAGAAGCCTAGGTCGTGTGAAATGGTTGCTACTGTTTTTCCATTTTCATACTGCTTATTATCTTACTTTTCGTCTCAAAAGTATTTGACTGTCTCCTTTTCTTCTGAGCACCACCAGCACTCTCACTTCTACGCTTGCCAGTCATACTAAAGTGAATTAGATACGAAAATATTGTCAGTACACAGTGCGATCACTATCGATAACAACGACAGCCAAACACCAACTAAGCGATCTACGGCGTGGGTGCTGTAGCCACGAGGCGACCCAGCCAACGCGACGCTCTCATACGGGAAGGAAACGTTTCGGTCTAGAAAATACGCGCGTCATTTGAAAACTTTTTGGTACCGACTACGGCGGTCGTATGCGCGGGTGGTCGTACCGACTGAGGCAGGTCGTATGTGCGGGTGGTCGTAGGTCGAGTATGTCGTAAGTCGAGAAGTAGCTGTACTTCCATGCTAACCTGGGCCGTAAGCCATGCCCCATGTTAATAGCTACAAATAGCTGATTGGTTCATAGAAAATGTTTGTGTAGCTGTCCATTTATTCAGACTAAATGTGTTCCCAATTGGAAAGCAGATCTGTTATTCTCAAAAATAATGTTAAATATCTGGACTATCAAAATGTAAATGATTTCAAGGCATAAGCACTTCAGAGAAGATGTTAAATATTTTTAAATATTTATCATAAAAGGTCGAAGTCAAAGATGAAATTTGCCTTTGAATGAAGCCACTTCATTATTTCTTTGTTTTGTACCAAAAATAAAAAAAACAGAAACAAATTACACCAAACAGCACAATAGGTAATGAACTGCAGTTCCTATGGCTGGATATATCCCAAATCATTTAGATACTATAACTGATGAAATGATGAGCGGGTATACAATGAATTTATCTGTGAATAATCAAATTCGTGTAAGTTAAACCCACAAATGTTGAGGAATTACTGAACTGTAATTTATTACCTATCTTCTGTAATTTAGATCCTAACACATTGAAAGAACTTATTGAACATAAATTTCGTACATTACCTCTAGGGACCATATTCATATAAGTGAGAAAAGCTTTCGTATAGTGAGAAAGAGGTATAAGATAGGAAAAGTCATACGAATGATTTTTTGTATTGATTGTTCGTAAAATGAGGGAAACCTGTACTGTATGCAGATTACAGTGAGTTCTGCTATAACGCGTGTTTTGACAACACGAATTGGCTCTAATGCGATTTATGAATAGAGGAACGATATTTGTATAACGCGAATGCTTGTTTGCTGTAACGCGATTTTTGCTCACTATTTCTCCAATTTTGTGGTATTAACTGTGAATATGGTAAAGAAGAATATCTCCAAGAAGCGCTCTGGTGATCGCATTCCTGGTGATGATCGTAAATGAAAGGCTATAACCCTTGAAGAGAAGCTCGATGTTATCAACCTCAAAATCACCCTTCTCCCCCATCAAGTTATATTCATATTTTTCCAAGGTAAAGCGTTACATTTACTGCATGATTTCATTATTAGATATGAATGTAACATTTATTTAGACTGTGCTATCCTTTGTGTTAGGCTAACTACTAAATTTTTTTCGATTTCGAGTAGTAATCTGCACCTAACCCTATTTTCTCCATAAGCCCTGTTATTTCTATTACACGAATTTCTATAACACGATGTTTTACAAGAACACAACTATCGCGTTATAGCAGAACTGACTGTACCATTATCTTCTTATTATTAGTGTCTCTTGGTCACCTGTTTTTGACTGCCATCGAAAGAAGGAAATAAAAAAGCGAGCGGACCCGGGTTCGATCCCTGGGCAGGGTGAAACTATGGGCAAGTTTTTTTATGCCATTTGCCTCTGTCTATCCAGCAGTAATTGGGGACCTGGATGTTAATCGATATGTGGATCGTGTTCCGGAGTGCAGTTGGCGAGTTGTCCGGTCTTCTCGGACTATTCCTTGACACTGAGTCACTCAACTTGTTAACTTAGGGTGTGGTTGTTGTATTGGCGACAGCTTCTACACCTTAAACAAATTCACATCTGGGTGGTCCTTGGGCCGGCCATCCTCGTTACAGGAGGGGCAACCATTAACTGTGTGTAGTACTTGACTCTCCTATTACTTTTCTACTTTTATTTTGTCCCAGTTTATAAATTTACCTTAAATATGGTGATGAGGATGACGACTCTCCTAATCTTTCGTAATCAGTCCATCATTCTTATCTTAAAAACAATTCCATCTTACTCAAATGCAATGCGTTGATTATATATCTCGGCAGTTTCATGTTAAGAAAAATGAAATTCTCTATAAGTATATTTATCCAATCTAAACTTGCAGGTCGACCTGTCACTACATTGAGGGGTGTACCATCTTTTGTTACACCTGGAGACACCCTGTCACTCGAATGTGAAGCTCGAGGTTTTCCACTGCCCAAGGCCAACTGGACTTTTAGACCGTGTCCTAATGGAACCCAAAATTGCACTGAAAGTTTTATGGATATCAAGGTATTGTAATGATTTAGATTTTCTGTATTTATGTCTCTATTATTGTATCTACTGTCTGTCATCTCTTTAAGTGCAGTTATAGTTACTTAAAGAAAAAAATCTATCATAAAACCTACAATCTGTGCTGCAGGGCACATTCATCCCCTACTATTACCTTATATCCCTAACAAGATTTCTTCCTGATTTTCTGACTGGTGTGTAGTCAATTTGGGTTTGTACCACCAGTCTCATATGTGATAAGCCTACTTGCCCTCTTCTTAAACAGTGTGTTGCATATACTGATTGAGGGAAAATCTGGGTTGCTTGTCACTGGCCATGTTGCCTCATGGTGGAAAATGGCTTTTAGTAGTAATTAAAATGATATATGTATAGAGTAAAAAAACTGAGTACCACACCACCTAAGTAATGACACATCCAAATAATGACATGAATCTTGGAAAAATTATTAAAAAAAAAATATATATATATATATATACTACCCTGTATATTAGGTATCTTGCAGATCAGTGTTAATGCTGTGAAGCGCTTTAGCTTGGACCATGTGGTCCCATCCACCTTTAAAACAACACGGCTGCACTGTACTCAGTCTACGTACGGCTATAACTCAGTGCAGACATACCTGTTCTCATGACATATAAATAGCACACACTGTGAGAACAATGCCCAAGCAAGTACGTTCGGGTAAGGCCCCAAAGAGAAGAAAGCGCTTTACCATGAAGTGCTAACCATGGTTGACAATAAGCGCTCTGTTCCTAAGATAATGCAGACATTTGGAACTGAATACAGTTCTTTATTTTGAAAGCATATTGTAAGTCTGATCCACTTTATCTCCACTGAAAGTGGGTCCCACACACATCCGCATAATCTTCACTACATTACACACACCGCCAACTCACCAAGCAGCTGTGGCCTTGTGATGGCTATGCATGTTGCCACTGATTCATGTAATAAAACTGTAAAAGTACGTTGTTGAAAAAATATTTCAGTACTCTTATGTGACTTAGAAATAAAGAAAATATAATATTAAACAATAAAAAAGAAAAGTAAAATGATATAGGAGGTGAACATATGTATGGATGCATCACGCTCCCCAGTGTGACATCATAACATACACGGCGTAGCAGCCATATGTCTCTCAAGTCAGCTGGGTGGCTGAACTCTCCACTTTTGGTTTCAAAGGCAGAAGGAGCTATTTTGGTACATAAAATATGTGCTATGTATTACAGTATTTTCATTGTTTATTACAAATTTTTTTGCTAATCTTTGGCATACGTAAAATACAGAATAACAGAGGATTGGAACCTACTCGTTTTTACTCATTGTGAAATTTACCAATGACAATGAAGGGGATTTCATGGACATATCCACATCAGCCACTTTATCTCACACTGTACAAAGCCATCCATGCCATTAACATATTACGTCGGGATTCGGGAACTTAAAAATTTTCTTTGCGGGTCTGAAACCTTCAAGAATCTCGAACTCTATCTACATCTATTAGCACTGTAAATAAAAAACAACTAAATGCAGTTAAAAGTATATCATAAGTATTATACTGTACTCCTGTAAGTTTAGTTGAACTATTTTACTATGAGCTTAAATAAGCCAGAATGTGTTTGCATTTATGCTCGCTGTTTTGTACACTTGTGCCTCCCTGCTGATATGGATGTCCGAATAACAGTTTCCATCTGATTATTGACGTTGCTGTGGCTAACTTAGTCCGGTACTCAGGTTCATTACTGTATAGCACATACTGTAATCTGATATGTTTATTTTTACTTGAATTTTTCAGCCTGAAAACTTGGAAGATATCCTTCATGCACCTGGAAACATCAAGATTGTGAAAGGCGATTACACTCCTCAAGAGTCTGGAATTTTACACTGTGACATGAGCAACAAGTTTGGAAATAGTTGTAAAAATGTTAGCATTATATTGAGTGGTTAGTATATTTATCTCATTGTTCTGTTTACACTTGACTACTATTTTATAGTATAACCTGTCATAAAGACTGGATAAGGCATATAACCTCTTTTCCTTAAATACCAATAGAATACCAATATTCATTCTTATACAGGGGGTGTATTCAGTTTTGCATGTGGAATTACTGACATGAAGAATAGTGTTCACGATATTAGCCCTCAAAAGATGCTTTATTGTTCAAAAATGTTAGACATGATATTTTGTTTCTGAACTGCTCTACAAGACTTTTTTTTTTACAGGAACTATGCAGCATATGTCTTTGTTAATATTAAAAGGCAAATCAAAATTGTCAAAGAGATCACACCATTTTTCCAGTAGATTGTCTTCAATGTTTGACATGAAATATTTTTTTCCTGAAACAGTATTATTATGTATGTAAGGACTTAAGTAATTATTAGCTATATTAATAGTTAAAAGTTCTTAAGGTTTTAGTATTCATGCTGAGATCATCATAATGTACATACCTAGTAGAGATTAGTGTTGCTTAATTTTGCTTTTATTATTGTGTTGTTATTGAATGAATAGATAAATGAACATGAACACTCCAGATTATAAAACTTTATGTAAAATGTTTGTCAGTTGAAATTAATGGATTGAAGTGTCTTTTTTCTCTTAGACATAGGTGGCACATTTGTTTTTCGACATACTGGACAAAACAAAACAACTGGAGTACCTGAACCATATCCAGGCAAATCACTTGATGTTATTGTCAATGATGACTTCAGTATCATGTGCGGAGCCAGCAAGTTTGACTACAAGAGTGTTCAACTTCAATTTCATGGATCAAGTAAGTTACGGAATTTATACAGTTATTAGTGATTTTTCTTCGTAAATTTGTGGTAGCTCTAGCATCCTTCACTTATGATGAGTAATTATCTTTTTATTTCTTTGACGTGTTCTAGAATGTCCATGTAGGGGATCCTACTTGGAGAAGCAGGATTACATTAGATGAAGATCATTGACCTCCCAGACTCCATCTTTTGTGGTACCTGTACCCTCTTAGACCAGCATCTTTCCTATAACTTTTCAGCACAAGTACACAGCTCTCTTTTTCTATTTCTTTGGCTCCTCTCATTTGCTTCTTCCATAAGATATATTTATGAATCCAATAATTATTTAAAGTTCTTGTACCTTCTGTTTCTTATTCCCTTTCATAGTAAAAGGTAAACCTGTTACCTGTATACATGAATCATCTACCTGCTAGATAATTGCTTACCAAAGGAAACTACATGATAGCAGACTGGAGTAACCTGACATAGCTGGGTTCAGAGTTAGAAATCTGGGTGTTGGTAATGTTTTGGGAAGATTGGAAAAGGTTATCAAGACATTAATCCATAGAAAGATGGAAAGGAGGATCAGCAAGGTGGATTACTGATAAGAATAACAGGTAAAAAATCTTCTAGATAAGAGAGCTGCCAACAGGTCATGACAGCTAACCCAAACAAACAATGAAAAAGGCTGTAAAACCATTATGGTGATCAGTACAGTTTACCATGAACAAGTTTCTGGGAACACTATTGGTTTTCTTGGAAATGCCTTGAAGCATATGAATGTGTTGCCGGTAATATAAGGGTTAATGACTTTTTTTAACTAAAAATTTACCAATGATATTTATCAGTTAAATGCACCTGATCATTTTAATTATCAGAGCAGATAATATTACTTGCCTCTTGTTCGCCCTTCATGTGTGCATTAGAAGATATCTGAAAGCTTTATGCAGTCCTCGATTTATATTTTTACTTACTTTTTACTTTTATCCTCTTCACCACTGATCAGCTCATTAGCTGCTTGGGTGATCGGTCACGTCTCTTTTACTTTTCTTTTTCTTTTATCCTCTTCTCCAATTGATCGGCTTGTTAGCCTCTTGGGCGACCGGTCATGTCTCTGTTATGCACTGTTGGCAAGTACTGGGCATGCACCAGCTCCTGAATGTACCTGAACCTACTCCAGTGCTGGTCAAATCTGATCTTGAAAGAGCTCACACTCGGTGCTGTCACAACACTTTCTGGTAGATTCTTCCAAGAGTTCACAACTCTCACTCCAAAATAGTTTGCCCTCACAGTTTTCTGGACCTGCGGCTTCTTCAATCTTAAGCTGTGACCCCTTGTGGGGCAAGCGTTCGCCAGCTCCAAGTAAGGACACTCGACTGAGTAGTGCCCCTTGAGATGCTTATACACCTCAATTAGGTCGCCCCTTGCCCATCTGTAGTATAAGCTAGGCAAGTTCAGGTGCTCCAATCTCTCAGGGTAGCTGAGGTACCGAAGTGCAGACACCAGTCTGGTGGCTCTCCTTTGAACATTTTCAACCAACTGACAGTCCCTAGCATATCTCGGGGACACTGGATGGAAGGTTGTTTCAGGAATCCCAAAGCTGGTGTGAAGAGTGTTTTGTACAGTATCACTAAGGTCTTGGCTTCTAGAGACTGAGCACATTGTCTCCTGGTCTTGGTTTGCCCTGTGTGAGAAAATGATTGGTTATGTTTTCTATTTTTTTTTTTTTGTCATAAATATTTAAATTATGTCCACCAAGTTTATCACCTTAGCATTGTCAAGTCATGCAAGATGTTCCTGATAGGACATTCCCTTGAGATTGGGAACCAGTTTAGTGGTACACCTCCTGGACATTTTATGGAACTTCTTGTATGAGACATTACTTCAGGTAAGGAGCAATTTTTATATATGTGGTGAAAGGCTCTGTGTAGGAGGCTAAATGTACAGGAGTGTTTGCCTTTTGCAGTGATTATACCTATGTGATGTTCAGATTAAATTTGGTAGTACAGAGTACAAGTATGGGACCTTTTATTTGGCATTTGGAATTTGGAGCATCAGGCCTAATATGTAAAAATGTACAATAAACTCTAAAAGTAGCTTAAACTGTACATTGTTACATAAAAATTTAAAATTGTAGGCATATAAACATCAATAACAAAAGCATATAAAGAGCAAAAATTATACAAGTTAGTGTTCAAACTGTGTCGCAGTTGCCTCTTGTGCACGCCTTAGCAACACAGCAGCATCCCTAGCAACAGTGCTCCACCATAGAGGACTTCCACACACTAGCCACACAGTGCATGTAATTAAATAAAAAAAATTAAGACAATTATTAGTATACAGTAAACATTATCTACCTGAAATTAAGAGTTAAGAAAATAAGCATAACATACACTGTTAATGATTATAAACAGTTTCCTATTTCACAGATTCATAAATATTTGCCTATTTCAACTTGGATAATAAGCACAGTAATCGCCCCGTTAACTGGAATAATTGGTGCAGAGCGATTACGAGTATTGAGATGAATTTTTTCATCCCCCAAATTTTTCTGGGTGCTGGTGAAAGTTTTCCGAAAGTCTTAACTACCCATGGAGCGACTTAATTGCAGTCGGACAGACACAGAGCTGTATTTATCTATGCAAACACCACTATAAACTTGCAGTACAGGTACTCCTTGACTCACGACCTACTTGACTTACGACCACCCGGACATATGACCACCGCAGTCGTACAGAAATTTTTTCAAATTGCGTATTTTCGAGTCCCGATGTTAGTGATCGCTCTGTGTAGTGACAAAATTTTTGTTTGTAATTTCCTTTAAAATGGCTGGCAAGTGTAAAAGTGAGAGTTCTCGTGGTGCTGAGAAGAAAAAGAGACACCCATTTTAGATTTTCTATGTATTATTTTCTCATTTTCGACTTACGACATGGTAGTTGGTCCCTAACCCCCGTCGTAAGTCGGGGACTGACTGTATATTGTAAATAAACAAGATATACGACTACTGTACTGGAGAGGATGCTGCATGTGTGGATTGATGACCAAATCCAGCATAGCATGCTATTATTGCAAGCCTTATCCAGGACAAGGCCCTATCGCTGTGGCGTGATATTCGAGAGGAAGTGGCACCGTGGATGGTTTGACCGCTTCTGTTAAATGAGTCAGCTTGCACAGCATAAGGATGTCAGGGGAGGCTGCTACTGCTGAAGTGCAAGCCATGGAAGATCTTCCTGCTCTCCTGAAAGAGATGATTGAGGATGGAGGCTTCATGCCACAGCAAGTCTTCATTATCGACGAAATGGGCCTTTTCTGGAAGAACATACCTTCATGAACCTACATTGCAAAGGAGAAGAAAGCATTGGGTTTTAAGGCGGTGAAGGACCATTTGACTCTTCTGCTGGAAGTCAATGCCGAGGGTGAAATCAAGCTAAAGCCCCTCCTAGTTTACAGCTTGGAGAACCCATGTGCCCTAAAGGGTTGTGTGAAGGGGTAGCTTCCTGTCATCTGGCAGTCCAACCAAAGGTGTGGGTGATGACGGCCATAAACCATGACTACATCTTTGGACACTTTTCCCCTTTTGTCACCGAGTATAATCAGCTCCATAACCTGGACAACAAATCACTGCTGCTGGTGGACAACACTCCTTCATGGATTGGTGTGATAATGTGAAGGTGGCGTTTCTCCACCCCCCCTTAACACCACGTTGCTGCTGCTGCCCATGGTCATCGAGGAGACTAATGGCAAAAATAAGCCTTCTTTCCTGGACTTTTGGAAGGCCTACAACATAAAGATGGCATAGGGTAACATTAAGGCATCATGGGAGGAAGTTACTGTACAAACTATGAATGGGGATGTGGAGGAAGATCTGGCCTGAGTGCATACATGAATTTCAAGGCTTTTCTCCTGAAGTCCTGAATGTACGGAAGGACATAGTTGGCTTGCCGAATAAGGCTGGCTTCGCTAAGGTGGATGACGATGACGATCTCCTCAAATCATACAGTGAGGAGCTAACAAACAAGGAGGTAGCATCGAACATTGGGTGAAGAAGAGGAGAAGCTCGAGAGTCCTCCTCTTAAAACCCTCACCATTCTAGTTCTAAGGAAACTTATTTCTTCGCTCAAGGCACCATTGGACATTGCGCTGGACGTTGACCCGAATGTGAAGAGGAGCATCACTGTCATCCACAATGTCAAGAATTACGTTTGAGCCTACTATGAGCTTCTGGAAGAGAAGAGGAAGATGGCTCTCCAACCAACACTTGATGAACTTTTCCAACCCAAATCCTCCCATTCTCCTGATGTAGCTGCCACTCCAATGTCTTCCACCTCCGTGTTCCATAGGCTTTTTAGTCCTCGTTCCTCCAGCAGCAGCGACCAGAAATCTCAGCCATCTACCTAGCAGGGAACCTATGCCTTCCATGCCAGTACAGATTTTTACAGTTAAGAGTGGTGAGGAATGTGATGCTAGTAGTGTCGGTGCCGTCTCGAGTGGGGAAGCCGATGGCCCTGTAACTCCTCACCCTCTCCTTTTATTTATGCCAGCTCCATTATGCCATTGACACTCACAGGAAAGATAAATGCAAGTTAACTGTTTACACTCATTCACAAATATAGCACACACACACACATTACACACACACACCCATACCACACACACACACCACACACACACACACACAGTGTTCTTTTTTATTGTTTTTATTGTTTTGTGGTTATTTATTACATTATATTGAGTGTACCTGCATACTAAAAAGTATGTGGTGAAAGTTCCCAGCTGGAAATGCATACCCCCTAGTTACGTTAATTCTTATGAAGAAAATTTCCCTGATATTCGCAATGATTTTTAGGAATGCATCCTTTGCTATAACTGAGGTATTGCTGTATTGCACAATGCAGATCATATGCAAAAACAGAAGTGAGCGAGTGAACAAGGCAGCAGACAATGAACTAAGAGTGATATGATGCAAGAGTTTGAGGAGATAGGCTGTGAGATACAACAGCCAAACATAGGCATCTCATACATTTACATGACAGAAGTGGCCAATCGTAGCTCACAAGCACTCTGAGCATACCCACACACGCACCCAGCATGCATTCCTTTGTCGGAAACATGTTGCAATCTCTCAGAAATTTGTTTGGATATCCATAATGGAAAGATTCTACACAGAATTTCTCAGAATGCTAAAAAAAACAACTAACTATTGGAGAGTTCCAGGGATCGAAGATTCCAGCTAATGGAGAAATTATTATTAAATTTTGTGCAATGACATTGATTAAAAAAGAGTTCCTTATTTTCAGATTTGTCAATATTTGCAAATGAGTCAGAGGTCTCTAGACAAAAGCATATTATGGAAGAAAAGGTGACCTTTGATTTACAAGGAGATTATACTTGCACAGCTCAGCCTCATGATAACCTCTTGGCTCCCCATCAAAAGATCATAACTATCAATGTTCTTGGTAAGTTATCTCTCTCTCTCTCTCATTATATATCTTTACGATGGCTGTGATCTTTCCCTAGAGCAGCAAAAACCTATTAAAATCAGCATCTCATTAAACTAAATATTCTGTGTATGATATTCAGTATGTGTATCTTATTAGTTTCAGTCATGATTAAAAAACAGGATAAATGTTATAAGGTCAGAGTTATTAAGAGTAATGGAGAGGTAGTCTTCTCTTTTTATTTATTAAAAAAAAATAGTTACTGCAATAGAACTATCTAGGAAACATAAGAAATCCACTTTAGAGGTAATTGATACAAGTCTCCTTATGTATAACTTGGTCTGAATATTATATTAGGGATGAAAACTGAATGACAAGAAGTAGTGCAAGTCATATTATTTAACAGAAGCTCCTTATCTGCCATCCTTGACCTCACCATTGCTAATAAATGTGAAAAGTAAATAACATTTTAAGAAGAGCATCTATATGTTTATAGCTGAAGAACGAGTGAAGTTCACTAGATACGCCAACATGTACATCGAAGGCCAGACAGTAGTGGTGAAGGAAAAAGCGCCTTTTTCTCTCAACTGTACTGTCACAGGCACGCCAAAACCAACCATCAGCTGGTATAAGGTAAATAACCTGTACTGGGTGAGTGAGTGAATGTGCATGCATGTATATGAGTGAGTGAGTGAGGGGTGTGTGTGTGTGTGTGTGTGTGTGTGTGTGTGTGTGTGAATATCTCTGTTAGCCAGAATTGAAATTTTCTCGGAAAATCATTCCCAAAGCCAGAATTTTCCGGAAAATTCTGGCTTTGGGAATTATTTTCTGGAAAATTCCAAGACATTTTTCCCAGTACTACCGTACCCGGAAAATTTCAGAAAATTTTAGGGATGGGGGATATTTTCCTGGGTTTGAGAGATGATGTAATTGGCAATTTCTGGAATTTCCAAGAACATTTTTCCATTATCCGGAAAGTTCCGGGGATGAAGGATTTTTTCCGGCTTTGAGCAAGTCGTCTCGTTACCCGGAAATCTCTCTTTCCCAGAAGTGCTCTGCACCATTTGTTCCGGCTAATGGAGATACCACTTTCAACATTTATAAATGAATGTACAGTACTGTAATTATGTAAACTAGCATTTACCACTACCATAGGAAGAATTCTAGAATGCTCAGCTTATTTTCTCATGTCGTGGTTTGGAAGTAATGTATAGGTACAGGCTTGGGGTGGGCATCTCCCTCATGTGAATTTTCACTCACATGCTCTGTGTGAAATGGTTCCATTGAACTTCATTAATTTATAAACTGCATGGGTCTGTACTCACAATAAAAAAACACCTGTGTGAAGCGAGCCCTACATGAAAGCTCCAGCTAACCCACCTGGTTTGAAATATTACTGTAGGGTATCAGTATTGTAATTTTTAATTTGTGAACAAGCGGGGTATGCTTTGTGAATATCAAATAGGGGTGTTAAAATATCAGTTGAGGAGAAGTAGTGTTGCTAATAGCGAGGTGTTCCTGTAATGTATTTTAATTTTCTATAGCAATGTATTTGAAGACTTAAAATTTGAAATTCTGTATTCAGATGTATTTGAATATGAATACTGTACCCTATTCCTGTTTCTCATATCTTTACACTGTCTATAAATAGAGTGTACAGTAGAAGTCCTGTTTTGTTTCTGTACTTATGAGTATTTATGTTGAAGAATTGACAACTGTGTTTCCAGATTTTCATCTGATGCTTTTTTGCTAAAAGAGACTCAAGTGAGTGGGCTGGTACCATACTTGACTGTGTACGTTCAGAGCTCTGTTATCAGATTTTTTTTTCTCAGGATAATGAGCTTCTGACTTTCAACTCCTCCCTTTTTGACAATGAAACAACATTCTTGTCGAGTGATCACCAAAGACTTTTGTTGAAATATGTGTTTAAGGAGAAGCACGTTGGTCACTACACCTGCCGTGCAGAAAACCGACTTGGCCCACTCATAGGCTTCCTCAGTGTCAGTGTTCCTCGTAAGTGTGACAATTTTTTTTTTTTAAAGATGCTTCTAGAAAAAATATGAATTGATAATTTGAACAATGTTTGTGAAAGTCTCAGGAATTTTCTATTTAATACAGTAATAGTATAATGCATGCAATACTTGAACCTCCTCCATTTTCAATTTTAGCTGTTTGCATTGAGGTTTATACAGGTACAGACCCTTGAAACCAGATTTCAGAAAATCGGATTCTCAAAACTGGACATTTTCCTCCCTGACTACAAGTTTTGCTTCCATAAATATAAAAACTGAGTTGAACTTTACTTTCTTTCTTATGTACCAAAATTTTATTTATAAATGCATATATATACATTTAATAAAAAGTACCGTAAATACTGTCTACTGTATTTTGAAGTTGACATTTCTCTAAAAGTAAGTTAAATTGGTTTGTTTACATGCCAGCAGCTTTTCTACAGTTATGAGAATTTTGAAAGGAGTAGAATCTATATATAAATATTGTCTGATAGCCCAGTGCCTTGATTATCTTGTTTATATTTCTTTTATTAAGAGAATAGTGTTATTTTCACACAGCTTTTGACATTAATATAGGTCAAGTTATACCAAAGATTTGAGGTAACCTATGCCAGGTGCTGCTTGTTCTCACTACCCTTTATAGGTCACAACAGTCATTTCTTTTCACATATTTTATAAATATGTATTCTGGACAAAGGTTTGTGTCAGGTCGAGGCTTTAGATATATATCCACTTCCTGGACAATAATTAACACTGAATTGGATGGCACTGCTACATATAATCTGGACTTGACAATTGCACAAATCATATTCTGCCTTGTGTTTGTCCACGAACAGTTTATATGATAAAAGGGACCTAATGATGGCATTGTCTGTCACTAACACGACAGATATTACTGGTAGATTGAGTTTTATAGGTGTGTTTGTTGGGGGGGGGGGTCTTGTGTAGTGTGATGTTCCTTATCCCTCCCCTGCCATATCTGTCACTAACACGACAGATATTACTGGTAGATTGAGTTTTATAGGTGTGTTTGTTGGGGGGGGGGGTCTTGTGTTCCTTACCCCTCCTATAACCCTCCCCTGCCATATCTGCTCACCTTTTTTTTCACTCATGGTTAATGTTTTAGAAGGAAATATAACAAGTACAGTCTTTAATGTCCACATTACAGTAAAGTACAGGTATTTATTTATTATCAATTCATTTATTTCTTGTATAACTGCATAGGATTTTAGTATTGAATATGTTCCCTTCACTGACCAGCCAGGACTATATACTATTTTTTTCCCAAAAGCTACATTAATCAGTTTAACATGGATTCAGTAGTACAAAAGTCATCCAGAAAAATTAACCCCATATAAAAATGGGAGTCCATTGTATTCATAAAGGAATAAGTTGACAAATTCCTGAAAAGCGTGTAATTTATTTTAATGTGTGATCAACTCGAAGTGACTCATTCTTTAATCATTGCGCAGGGTTCAAGTACAGTACTGTATTAGTTATTTCAAGGAAATTTCTTGTACATTCAAATGTTTTATTTATTTTGTAATATATATATATATATATATATATATATATATATATATATATATATATATATATATATATATATATATATATATATATATATATATATATATATATATATATATATATATTCCATTCCCACAGGAGCTGGTCTTAGTACTGGAGCAAAGGTTGGCTTGGTCATTGCTTTCATAGGAATAGTGTTTCTGGTAGTAGTTGTTGTTGTGCTGATCAAAAGAGTCAAGACAGAACGAAAATTCAGAAAATCATTCCGCAAGAATGAGTTATACTTGTTTGAGAAAGGAAACATTGGTCAACTTAACCCAGACTGCACAGCTGATGAACAAGCAGAGCTGCTGCCATATGATCCAGCATGGGAAGTTCCCAAAGAAGACATCAAAATTGGTAAGCTCTATTTATTTTGATGCTTTGTTGCCAGTAAGTCTTATGTATACAGTAGTGATATTATACAGTACTATAGTTTCGATTTACGCGGATTTGGTTTACTCGTTTGGTCATTTACACGGCACCTTGCCAGACCGACAATTTTTATTTACACGGTTCATTCCATCATTTACGCGGGAAGCGGCGCGGGCAGGGTGCGCACAAGGTCGCCCAGTCAACAAAACATGACCAAGTTCTTCACCCGCCACCCACCACAGCCGACCCAAGTCAGTGATAGTGATAGTGAGGATATGGACTTTGAGGGGTTTGACAAAGAGGCCCTGCAAGCCTCTGTGGTGGATAGTGATACAATTGTTACAAGTGATACAGGTGAGGGCCAATAATCTGCCCTCTGCCTCGGAACCAACCCCCCCATCCCCGTGTGCCCAGCCATCTTTTCTACTAATGTAAGTGTTAAAAAACCTAATATTACTGATATTTCTCTTAACTATTAATTGTATGTGCATACCATCATAAAATTAAGATGTTATTTTTACTACAACGTACGTATTGTGTCGGAAAAAGTGTAGTTTGGGGGTCGGCCCAGTCTCTATTTCAATTAATCCCAATGTTCTGTTATTTCGTTTATATGTTTCTCGTTTTATGCGGACCTCCACGGGTTCAATTGACCGCGTAAATGAAGACTATACTGTACAGTATTTGAAAATATGGTAGATCCTGCCTGCTACAGGGATGATATTTTTGCAGTTCATAACCCAACCCACAGACCTCTGACTCAAGGGATGATGGTGTACAATGAGAGTGTATTTGCCCATCACTGATTATCCTTGAATTGATCCCATAATTTTTCTTTGAATACTTCAGTTTCCTTCTGAACTGATATTGAACTCATGAATGATGAAGGACAAACTCATCAGGAACAATAAATGGGTTCAATAGGCCACTGGCCTCCTTCCCATAACAGAGCACCATGCTATGATATGAATCAATGTCTAATGCACTGTATATGAAAACTAATGTAATGTAGACTTGGAATATCCTTCAAGAAGAACCAGATTGTCACATTGATAAAACTCAAAGAGAATTCACTTAAAACTGCCATCATGTCATTCAGTGCTGTAAGAAACATGTCTTATATACTCCAGCAATCTGAGGTAAAAGATGGGCAACAAATATCCTCCACTATTTCCTATTTGGGAGAGAAAACTAAATTCTCCTGAACCAAAAGAAGTTCTCAAAGACAACTCTTAGATTTATAACAGTTCTTGAATATTTCATTATTCAGTTGTGAGTCAGAAACATATTAACTGTTGCCAGTCAATGTTCTCATACATATAATCTCTCCAAGGACGACACAGTTATTTTACTATTATGCAGTAGTAAAATTGGTGATGGCAGTAGAAGTGAAAAGTGATTGAAGATATTTAATGAAATTTTAAAAAATGAAGGCCATTGATACCCACAGTATGCTCATGAAAAGTTGAGAGGTTTCAGTCTTTTTGGTTAAGTGACAACTTTTTGAGAAAAAAAGAGAAATGGTAAATGGCAGGAGCTCTATCATTTTATGTGTAATTTTAATCATAAATCACTATTTGAAGGTCTAGAGTCACTGTCTTCATTGGTTGACATTCTTTTCTTTTTCATATCTACCTGTAGTTAGTTTAATAAATAAATGACTTATTAAGAAATAATTTAAATTTATCTAAATTAGCATAATTTTGCATAATAGTAGTAATTTAATTAAATGATTACTGTACGTAGAAAAAAGTCTCATTGCTATGACTGAATAATGTGTTTTAATCCTGGTAGGGAAGATTAATGATTAAGTAACTTAACATTGAGTATTGGATAAGCATTCATGATGAGCCCAGATATAAGTGATACTTACAGTTAGTTAAGATTTTGATCATATTATTTCTTTACTTTGAAAAACCTTTGTTGTCAGGGAAACAGTTGGGTTCTGGAGCTTTTGGGCGTGTTGTAAAAGCAGTAGTGTCAGGATTGGATGAAGATGGTCAACCCACAACAACTGTGGCCCTCAAGATGTGCAAGAGTCAAGCAGATCAGTCGCAGGTGCGAGCTTTGGCACTAGAACTCAAAATCATGATTCATCTTGGCAAACATCTCAACATTGTGAACCTCATGGGTGCCAACACTGCTAATGTCGGCAAAGGTAAGGGTTTGGTGATTTTAGCCTATTTACTTCAGTAAAACTAGATGCAGAACATAAAATTAAGTTTAAAGTTTTTGAGTTTCAAAAGAGTTTAATAACCTCAATACTGTGCAAATTTCTGGTCTTCTGACGAACTGAAGATGCATGTCTAGTCACTCTTGTATACAGTAGAGGATAATAGTTCTAAAAAGTACAAGCCAAAGTACAAGTAGTTGAGGTACTGGAGGAAGAGCTGAGATGTAGAGTGACCCACAAAAATCCTGTCACATCTCCTGAGCCATAAACCCCAAGATTCAGACTTGTGAACCCAAAGCAGTAAACACTGATGCATTGTTTTGTCCATAAATGCTTTGGATTCGCAAGTCTGAATCTTGGGTGTTTGTGGTTCAACTAGCCTTTGGAAACCTTATGAGTATTGTTCGTCAGATAAGTCCATATCATTTAGAAAAGAAAATCTACTTTATACTTCTTTGTACACTTCACCTCTCCTCTTCATATGAGCTTCAAGTGTATCTATAATAGAGTAGTAAGTAGATACACAAAATTTGTCTCAAAAATTCAATGTTGTTTCTGGTGCACTGCCATCATTTGCTTATTTTTTCTTGTTTCACTTGTGGGACTGGGTTTCTATGTAGTCAGTGTCAGGCAAGATATCTTTTGATATGTCTTTAAATCTTTTGAGATCATTCCTCAAAGTGTGTAAGTGGTCTGCCTATGATTGGTAAAGGTCTGCACATTTTTTCAAATCCAATTCCTTTTTATTGGAGATCTTGACTTGTGCAGTGACCGTGTTGTAAAATTTCATTCCACATGGCTAACATGAATACAAACTCTGGTTCTTGCATCTTGTTTGCAAATTTTCTGCCTCGTATAGTTTCTCCCTTTTGTGATTGGTCTTCAGTGATACTTTCTAATGCATCCACAATCTTTGAGTAGGACTCCAGAATTGCATTTGTTACCACTGCATGTACCTCCCAGCAAGTATTAGAAAGAGATCTCAACACATGATCATTACCCAAATATGTTTTAAGAACTGGCCATCGGTGTGTTGAGGCAGAGAAAAATGTATACAGTAACTCGACTGTTGAGAAAAAACTTATTGCCACTGGACAAGAATCAACAGCACTTCAGCTGCCAACAAGTTTGAGAGAGTTTGCAGCACATGGTGTGAATACAGTATGGCATATTTGTTCTGTTCTAAAATCTACTGTTGCATTCCTTTATAATGTCCTGACATGTTGATGGCATTGTCATAAGATTGACCTCTTCTCTTTGAGAAATCTATTTTGCAAACTTGGCACAGATACTGCAGTATACTTGATTTGCCATTGCTTCACAAGTGTGGCTTTTCAAATTGAGGAATGTTATAAATCGTTCAACTGGTTTTCCATCTGTGGGAGAGGCATACAGTATCTTAGTATAGTACTCAATTGATCAATATGTGAAAAATCAGGTGTAGAGTTGACAGATGAACTTAAGTACCCAGCAGTATTTATTTCATCCACAATAGCTGAACGAACTTTGTCACTCATTAGACCAATGAATTCATCATATACTGTCTTGGATAAGTATGAGGGTTACCTTTGCCAGCATTCCCACATTTTGAGATATGGCCTGCTAAAAATGGGTCTCATTTGATCCCCGGAAAGGCATTCCACGTTCAGCTAATGTTTGAATAACAGCTATAACACACTGCAAGACATGTTGCCAGTATTCAAGCTCCACTTTAATTGGTTCTTCCAATTTTTTGTCAATCCAAAGCCCTGTCTTCGTTTTAAATATGGCAGAATGGCATCTCTGTGAGTATTGCTGTTCTCATGTTGTTCATTTAAAACAGTATTCCGCCAGCCACTAAATCCATCTATACACAAAGTACAATGAAAACACACATACAACTTCATAATTTTTATATTGATTAATGCAGACCCGGTTTAGCTAGGAATACGTAATAAAAAGAGAGCAGAAAAATTGGGGGACAGTGTCTAACATAGTTCTGATTTTTCCCATGTTGACTACTTTCATGCTTTCTTTGAAATATCAAATACATCAAATTCTTTCTGAAAAAAATTTCAAATTTTCTTTGGTGCCCCTGCTTTGCTGGTGCCCAAAGCACATGTTTAGTCTGCCTTTTGGGTAATCAAAGACTGTCCCTACCCAAATGAGATGTATACATCTCTAATAAATCACATGCTATAACTGTTCTTCTGCTTGGACTGGTTGCTGGAAAGCATTCATATGTATGAAATATTCATGTTAACAACCAAAATTGTATTGCCAGGAGATAGTGCATCAATATAGGTTAGTGTTCACATTGAGAAAGGTTGCCAAAAACAGTACAGTATTACAAAAATTGTAAATTCTTGTTATTTTTGGAATATTCTTGAGGCAAGAAAGAAACCATCATCTTTGCATTACCCAAAATTTTTTGGCTAGAACATATTTTAGTTTATCACGGAGTCTATTGGAAAGTATGTTACATTTAATATAGTGATTGTATGGAATACAGGGCATATCTGTACTGATCCATGTCTAAAGAGACTAAGGACACTAATCTTAACCATGGGTTGTGATCTTTTTCTTTTCTTGTAATATTAGTCATTCATAAAAAATTGGACTTTCTATTTAATTGTTTCTAGGATTGTAGTTGTCTTTGCTAATATATTTAAGGTATTTAGTTTTTGTATTTACTTATGTCAACATTAGCCCATAGGATGCTTTCATTATGATTATGTATCCCATCGTGTTCACTAAAAGTTTGACTGACCCATTTCAGTAGATTAATATTTTTGTGTTATTTCAAATCTTAGGAGAGCTGTGGATCCTGGTTGAATACTGTCGCTTTGGTAACCTCCTTTTGTTCATGCACCGTCATCGCAAGCAATTCATAAATCAAATTGATCCTGTCACTGGCCAAATAAATCACTCAAAATTGTTTATGGATCCTACCAGTCCACTGTCACCCACATCAGAGAGTACAAGGTGAGATTTGTTAATTTATTCTTTTTTAATTTACTGCTTTGACAGGGAAAGGAACCCAATAGTTTGTTTAATACCACACACAACAGGATCACGGGGGAAAATGAGAGCCGTGAATGTCAGGGAGATACTGACATGGGACCCAGGGTTAGGGTAGATTTCACCTGCCCTAGATGACGCTGACAACAGCAGGTGATGTTTTTCCACCAATAGGCAACCATCTCCAACTCGGCTTGCCTTCACATACCCTGTAGTTATCACTCGGTTAACTAACAGTTCGTAGTGTGCCAAGTATGTAGAGGTGATTACTTGTGTATTTATATGGGCGAGTGACCCTTCTATGTTACAACTGCATAGCCCAAGATTTTTCAATGCTGTACTTTAAAAAGATGTATTTAAAATAAACATCAAGCATTACAAAATATACCTAACCTAATCTAACTTAGCCTAACCACTAGTTAATATTGGATTGTTCTGGTGAGGGCAATTTTTGTGTAGGGCCATTTTGGTCAGAGGATAAAGCAATTTTGGCTAGAGTGGGGCTGTTTTCTCCTAGTTCCTTTCTCATTAAAGTCTTACTTTCGGACAACATTGGAATCTTAGAAATTTTATCTTTGCAACCAATAGTTAAGACAATTATAAGACACTTTTCTTTATAACGTTTGCCTCACAAATGATGTGACCTCTGGGGGATCTCCCCCCCCTCCCCCCTGGCATATGTAAGTCGTTTGTGAGGGAAACATCACAGAAGAAAAGTGTCTTGGAATTGTCTAAATTTCTGATTCCAATAGTTAAATTCCCAAGATTCCCCGGATGACCGAAACTAAAATAATACCCCATTCTCAATATATGTGCACTGATGTTCCTGTGACTCTACCAGCAATGATGTACACTGGACCCCTGATAAAGAGTGTATCATAAAATAACAAGACATACTTTTTTACTTTTAATTTTATATGTTTATTTATTTATTATTTTTGGAAAAGACAGAGCCTATGAGAGTGCGAGCAAAAATGTACTTTTTTTCACAGGTGTTAAAACCCTGAGTGGTTAACCCTTGAGCATTGGGTTAAGGTGCTGCTGGCAGCCTGCACGGGGATAAATCACTAAAAAAAATAATCAACTTTTCCAAAAATAATAATAATAAAATACAATAAAAAATGGCGAGAAAATTGGCGGACGTTCTGGGTATAAAAACCCGAAGAGTATTCAGTCTAGGCTAAAAATTACAGCAGGTTCGGTGTTCTCATGTAGCTTGAGTCAAATCTCCCATCCACTGGAATTTTCCACTTTACATTATAGATAATATAGACCCAGAATTTCGGCCAACCCGGACAGGCCTTCCCCCCAATTAGTCCAGATTTGAGGACGTTTGCTGTACAATATCTACTTTCCTTCTACGAATATGGATAAGTAAGTCACTTAATCAACAGTTAGGTTACCAGAATACACCTACCTCAAGCAAGAGACCCATGCTGCCATCTAGTGATACATGGGGAAACATTTGTTTGTCTTCTGTAATCTCCTGTTATTGTCCCAAATCATGCATAATGAGTATAAAAAAGACATTCTAGTCCTTTGCCAAGCATATTTTTCGTCAAGGAACAGTGAAAATGTAATGTTAATTGTGAAATTAGACATTATTATTAAAATGAGTGTCAACATGCTTATTTTTTTAACATCAGACAATTGGCAGATAGATAGATATACAGGTTAGCTGATATGAGGTGGTAATGGTGGTAGTGTTGGTGGGTGGTCAGTTGATGATTGGCTTTGAGGAGAATATGATGCACTTGCTTCTCAATAAATCATTCCTCACCATTATGCAAAGTACAATATTCTCATGTGTACTTTAATGCTGTGACACCATTATGGCCAAAAATCAGTACTCTTAAGTAAAATTACTAGTAGGCATAGTATAGGTGAAATAGGTCAAATTGTGCCAGGTCCAAAACCTAACCGCTTATTTTCCCAAAAAGTTGAGGGTGTACAGTAGTGTATTGCTTAAATATTTTGCTGTTTACTAACTAGGTATCACTTGTTGTATTATACTAAATACAGTAAACCTTTGCTTGTCCAGACTAATTGAGAGGACAGGCTGTTTGGACCAGTTGATCATCCAAACCAGCCAGCAAATAGTAAATAATATGTGTACCTGTACATATATAGACAAAGCCTAATTAACTTCTATAATAAAAAATAACTAGGCCTATAATTATATTTAACCCAAAAATTATACAAAATTAATAAAAAATGTAAACTGGAGTAAAGTACAGTACTGTACTGTAAGCTTTTGTGATATTGTAATAGATACATGCTTCCTTTTTCCTTTTCTGAAGCCATTTAAAACATTATAAGGTCCTCCAAGTGTAAGAAAGGGGGAAAGATAAACAAGAACTGAGCCTCGTGGCACCCGTGGCCACTAGTAGTGAGAGTCGTCCAAACCATCTGATGTCCGTACGAATGAGGGTTTCCCCACGTGCCATGTTATAAATTTTTACGTTTACGCTGATGCTCAATAAATAAATGAAAACTAAATGACTTGTGCATGTGCATAATGTTTTTATGTTGTATTATAAGAAGGTTTAACTTATACAGTTTAACTTGAGGCACTACCTATTTCAGACAAATGCTGTTAACTCTATATATAAATATTTTTCCATTAAACAGTATGTCATATAAATCCAAATGCTTTAGTATTTATATATATAATGATTACTTAAGGATTAATGTACTCAAAATTATTTGTTAGAAATATTTTTTTTTTTTTTTTTATGAAAACTAATTCTAAGATGCTTGAATTTACACTATACTGTACACTCACTTAAATTCTATAGACTGGAATGATTAACCACTGTTTAAAACTTTATTATTTATTTTTTATTTATTTATTTTTATTTTTTGTATCCCAGGACAGGATACCGGACTGCACCCATAACAGACCAGGATGGATATTTAGCTCCAAAATTCAACCTGGCTGCTCCTCCCCAGGGTCGTAATACGATGTCTCCCCCTCAGTCTCCTACATCCCTCACAGGATCCTCAGGTGAAAGTTTCCAGTTAGGTGGCCATCCAAGACAGCATATGGATAATCCAATATACAGTGCTAGGCTACAGCGCTCTGTGAGTGACTGTCCCGAGGGGGATCCAGGGACCCGTACTAATTCTGGGGGATCCCAGATACCACTGTCCAGGCTACAAAGTGTAGGATCCAGTGTCCGTTCTGATAATGGATCTGTTGGATACTCTAGACATGATATGCCAGTCATAAACACTGACATGACCACACTTCACTCCGTGCAGTCACCTCTATCCCCTTCTCCCATGTCTCCAACTGGTGAGTGTTAAATTATTATTCTTTTTTTTTTTCATTTTCATTTACCATTTTGAATCTTTTTGGGTACTTCTGCATTCAAATTAGCGGTGGATCTCAACATTTGTGGACTTCATGTCCACAGTTTCAGCATTGACCTAAAGTGTATACAATTTTAACATCCATGGATGGAGGTTCGACTGTTTGTGGTCAGAGCCCAAGTGTGTTGAAGTGATTCCTAGGCAGATTAATTAATTATAAAATTGCAGCACAGTATATATAAAGACAAAAAAACATACATAATTTATTGGATGATATCCATGACCTAAGAACAAACACCATAGAATACCTTCCCTAAACCTACTTACATAAAATAGAGCAGTAAAGGTTCTCGCCTGTTGGTATAGTGAAGTGTTTGGGTGTTGTTTTCATTCACAAGTGTGGCTGAGGAACAGAATTCTACCTAGAGTCCGTATTGTACAGTACATTCGTTTATCATATAGTCAAAATATACCACAATGCAGTTGAGCATTTTAGTTACTGAATAAAGTATGTATTATTCTCTGTAATCACTTCAAGACTTGTACAAAGTACCATTAACACAACCACTATCAGGAATCTGGATGATCCGTCGCTTGTCACGATCTTCAAGAGAGAAGTGCTTCTCCGTCTGGAGTATAGTAATCCCGTGTTTTTTGCGGGAATTACGTTCCTGAAACCCCCGCGAAAAGTCAAAACCGCGAATACTCCTTTAGGAATCACTGTACTTGTGGCCACCAAACAGCTCAGGTAGGTTATGCACTTAACCACACCAAGCCCTCCACTCACGGCCCAGTAGTCACACTGATGCACTGTACCGGCATTTACTAACATTATTATTTGAAACTAATCATATTGTACAGGAGTATAATAATGGGAAAACGTAAACACAGTTTTATACAAAAAAAAAAATATTTTCAAGTAAATAAAAAAAAATATTTCACTGAGGTCGGCAACACCCGCATTGCCTGCCTCTCCCTGCTGTCCCGGTGTCTGCCCACCCTCATGCAGTCACAGTAGCGTTCACTGTACGGTAGGCACATGTGGACTGAGGCTTCTCGGGGCACCGGGTGTCTGAGTTGGGAAAGGGTGGCGTCTGTTTGCTGCACCGCACAGGGGAATATTGAAAATGGCGCAAAATTAAAATTTTTGTTTTTAAAGGATATTTTATATACAGTATATAATTTTTTTAATAAAAAACCATGATAAGAAAACCCGCAAAAAACACGGGACTACTGTACTGTCACCCCATCTGGTCCCCGAGATATGCTAAAGGCTGTCAATTGATTGAAAATGTCCAATGGAGGGCCACCAGACTGGTGCCTGCTCTACCAAACCTCATCTATCCAGAGAGATTAGAACGCCTGCAACTGCCTAGCTATACTGCAGACAGGCAAGGGACGACCTAATCAAAGTGTATAAACATCTCAGAGGGCATTACTCGGTTGAATGTACAGTACATACTTCACTTTAACGAGTTTCACAGTAACGATTCATCACAATAATGACAGTATTGAAATGCGACACCTCAACACATTAATAATACATTTCAACACAATAACGATCATTAGCGCAAGTTGATAGTCACTCTGGGCAGCCATCTTGATGACATCAGTGAGCGGGGTGATTTGTTTTGATCAGAGCGTGTGAACAGGTGTGGTGTGTCGACATTCAAGAGGGAGATGACGACACTGTTGATGATAATGTTTTAAGATTTACCTGTGTGGGGGCAGGGGGGCACTAGCTCCACTCCCCTGCCTTGGATGACAGCAAACAGTCTCATTAAGCAGTTCAATGAGTGTCTAAAGATTAGTTATTATTAGTTATTAACTCTACATGCAGTATTAATGTGTGTGAATAAGTGGTTGTAATTTTTTGTGGGGTTTATGGGGGCTGAAAGTGTCTGAGGACTGGTACCAATTGGCCCATTTAGTATGTAAACTATACTCACCACATTAATGATTTTCACTTTAACAACCTTTTTTGTGGTACCAATTAGTCGTTAAAGTGAAGTATAAACTGCACATACCTGGAGGTGGCGGACACCCGCCCCACAAGGGGTCATGGCTCAAGGTTGAAGAAGCCACAAGTCCAGAAAACTGTGAGGGCGAACTTTATCGGAGTGAGAATTGTGAACTCTTGGAACAGTGCCGGACAGCGTTGTGAAGGCACCGAGTGTGAGCTTTTTTAAGGCCAGACTTGACCAACATTGGGATAGGCACCGATATACTGTATTCAGGAGCCAGTGCATGCCCAGTACTTGCCAACAGTGCATAACAGGGACATGACCGACCGCCCAAGCGGCTAACGAGTCGATCAGTGGTGAAGAAAATAAAATGAAATTAAAAAGTTAAAGTATGCCTGCTGAATGTTGGATTTTCAATAGAATTATTAGATTTGTTAATTGGATTAATGTTTATGTGCACCGATTATAATCAGCGCATGGTAATAAAACATAGAATCACAATGTTGCAATTACCAGTAATTGCACTGTAATTACAATTTCTTCACATTGTGTTAGATATTAATCACATTACTGTCTCACACAATGTGATGGGTTGAGCAGCAGGATGCATTTAAAACTTTCATCAAACTTCTACAGCAACTTATGGAGATACTGAAGACTTTGTCACCGAACTTGATCATTATACACAGGTATCTTGCTTGCACCAAAGGCCCTAGTAAACAGCTGCAAAGTGAAGTCATGATGTGTTGATATGTTGTGTCTTCAGGATGCCCTGAATGATGCAGAAGGCTTCCACAAAGCCTGTTTTCAGGCTGTAGTGGAAATAACTGACAAAGTCAAAAGTATGTAAGAGACAGACAAAGAGAAACAAACTTCATGGAGACAACTGATAAATATTAAAGGCATTCACTAACAGTTTCATTCCTTGACCACATAATTATAGAGATGGAATCATGGTTCTCTCAACTACAGGAAAAGGGCATCCACAGGGCTAAAATAATCCCATATATGCTGGTATGTGACCCTCTGAATGAAGGGAAATCAACAGATTTGAAAATAATTTGCCATCACCGTCCGAGAGTCTTGGATGCTGAATTACAACAGTGGCATAAACTGTGGAGAAAAACAATAATACACTTTCCTCCATTCAGGAGGCTCTTCCTTAGTGTGGTGGCACATTTTTCCCAATGTCAATATTATTTTAAGCGTGAGTGCTACATTATCATAACAAACTACAGTAGTACCCCGCTTAACGCGGTCAATAGAACCCACAGGGTACCGTGTTAAGTGAAAACCGCGCTAAGTGAACAACAGAACATATGGGATTAATTCCAATAGAAACTGGCCCGACCCCCAAACTCCACTTTTTGACGACACACAACTATGTTGTAGTAAAAATTTTATCTTAACTTTATGATGGTATGCACAAACAAGTAATATAGAAGAGGTTAGGTTAGGAAAAATAAAGGTTAAGTTAGGAAAAATAAAGGTTAGGTTAGGAAAACTAAAAGTTAGGTGTAACACTTACGTTAGTAGAAGACACACACTGCGCAACCTTACAGCGTGGCTTGCCCAGGCGGAGGGAGGCGGGAGGGAGGGAGGAGGAGGGAGAGGCGAGAGCAGGCAGGCAGGCGGGTGGTGGGTGGGGCGAATCTAAAAATAGCGTCTCGAGCCGGACACTCTGCGCGTATACGTGGAAAAAACCCGCGTTAAATGAAAGTTCGGCTCTGGCGAGGCACCGCGTATACGTGGAAAAAACCCGTGTTAAGTGAAAGTTCGGCTCTGGCGAGGCACCGCATATACGTGAAATCGCGCTAAGCGAAACCGCGTTAAGCGGGGTATTACTGTACAAGGTTGGTCAAAATGTACAGTACCTGCATTAAACCCTGCTCCAGGATCACATCAGTACATTGGTCTCCATTCCTCATGGATGTCCACAGAGATAATTAAATAACTTTTACTGAAATACAGCATGTTTACCAAGATTGAAAAAACAAAAACAAGAGAATTTCATGCCCAGTATTATTCCAGCTCTTTGGTTACTTATTAGATGGGGACTAGCATGTTGATTTTTCTGATATTTTAAGTGTTTCACCAATTTATATTAAATGAATACTCATTCTTATATTTATAGGACAATTTAAGTTATTAAATTATGGAGCATCTCTAATTTGTTTGAGGTACAAGACAGGATGTTGTGATGACATTACACTAATTATTGACATTTAAAAATGGACATACAGTACATAAATTCCATTGTATGGTTAATTTATTAGTTAGTTAGTTAGTTTGAAAACATTACATCACAATCTAGGTTATGTAAACTAGGTGTTCTTCAATCAACATGTTCAAGAGAGTATTCTTCCTATAAATAAAATTTTTCCTTGGGGGAGCATGCACTGGGATCCCCCCAGCAGGGCTTGTGCTCCCCCTGTAATTACATCTCTGGACCCCAACCGGTGCCCCAGATCTCATGTCTGGTGAGAAACTGTCCTTATATATATGTGAGTTGAGGTATACCTTGGAAAAAAATGGCTGCAGCACTGGTCAGTGTTGGCCCTGTAGCCAACTTACCAGCTATCCAGCCACTGCGTTATCAAGCAAAGGTAAACACTTGTGATGCCAAGTATACCTTCCCCATCACTTAACATATGGGACTGTGTTGACAGTGTTGTCTGATTTAATGGGGGTTATGGTCTGCCTGTGTTGTGTGAAGTAATGGGATTTCAATTTCAAGTTTCGTTTTTTTTACAATTCTTACATGTTTGAGGAGACAATTATTTTTCTGATTTATTTTACATGATTTAACTCCAATCAAAAAGTTGCTGTCTTAAAACTAGGGATTTTACCCTTTTGATTTGTGTTTCTGATCATGAGTCACTTGTGGCAAGTGTCAATATTGTACATAAAAACAGGTTTGAAACAAATAACATTTGATTATTATAAGTCAGAAGCCCCCCCCCCCAAAATTAATAAAATATACATTTCTTTGAACATTAAATATAGTACAGTACTGTACACCAATATTGTTTTCTTTTGTCATACTTTCAGATTCATCCTATTTCACTCAGTTGGGTTTAGACTCTCAAGGAAACCCATTTCCCTTTGAGACTGGCCATATCCCAGGTGTTAATGTGCCTTTCACCACAAGTGACCTCTTATGCTGGGCATGGCAAGTTGCACAGGGCATGGATTATTTGACCAGCAGAAAGGTACTGACTTTGCTTTTTTTTCCTACCTAATTTACCTTATGGCCACTCCACCTTTAGGAGGCCATGCAGGGGGGTCCTGGGGGTCCAGACCCCCCTTTTCATCAAAGAATTCTAATACTTTTTCTTTAACCCTTAAGCCCTGGGTTAGGGTGCAGCTGGCAGTAACTCCCTCCCCCCTCCACGGGGATAAATAGAGAAAAAAATAAAAAATAGGTGGACGTTCTGGAACATCACCCGGGGCCTAAAGGTTAATGCAGTACAGTAATATCTCCGTTAGCCAGTACAATTGGTGCAGAGCACTTCCGGGAATGAGAGATTTCCGGGTAATGAGATGACTCTCTCAAAGCCGAAAAAAAAAATCCTTCATCCCTGGAATTTTCCGGGTAATGGGAAAATTTTCTTGGAATTTTCCAGAAAATGTGCCCCTCGGAAAATCATTCCCAAAGCTGGAATTTTCTGGAAAATTCCTACTTTGGGAACGATTTTCTGAGAAAATTTCAATTCCTGCTATCGGTCTCAAAATGCCCATGATATCAGTCAGATTTAGAAAAAATTCTGGGAGGGGGGGGGGGGCTAACAGCACTCCCTCCCCTCCAAAACCACCCCAGCTGAGTAGGCTTGCTGTGCTCGCCATGTTCCCCCACCCACAGCTTCGAGGACCCCCCTTTTGATATTCCTGGCTCTGCACCTGCCATGTCAGGAGAAGAAGACCAATGAACCTGTGTAGAATTACAACATTGTTCTTGAGGTTCATTGAAATTTTGTTTAAATCTTTTATTTGTTTATTTATTTTTTTTTAATTGAATCACATCTCCGGGACCAATGCTGAAACATTTGTCATCCAAAAAGTCACACAGAGGTTCACTTGTCAAGTATACTGTCTACATAGAGATTCATTTGCCAAGTATTTTGTCATTCGCTTTAAAAATATGCCAAAAAATTATGAATTGGTAAATTTGCGGGTTTTGGCTTAAATATCCCATCAGAGTATGCCATTTTCTGTGATAATGTTTGTGAGTGCATATGTGTGTTGCTGAGTGGTGGGTAGCCTCTCCACCATTGTCCAAGGTTTACGGTATTATTTGCCCTAATCAGAAGAGAAAGTAAAGGGGAAAATATAAGAAAAGAAGTTAAAGACACCTCTGTTATTCAGAAACTTCAAAATGTAAATAAAAAGTATGCAGGAGCAGATCTTGCACCATCTGAAATTAATTCTTTGAATGAAGATGTATCTGACAAACAAGCTTCATAAATGGTTATGAAGATTATTTTCTCTTTTTTCTATAATAATATTTTAGAACACTCAGTTACAAACATGTACAAAGGAAATAAATTCTGGTAACTGTAAACTGAAAATAACATAACAAACTTAAAATCTTCATAAACTTTCCTGCACTTTATTGGGTGAGTGGGAGTGAGCAGACAGGGGCAGCCCACACGCGGTGTACAGTGCCTTAGGTGGGAGGTACGGCCCCACCACAGGGATCAGGAAAGTGTTAATCACCGCCTGTGATTAAAGATGGAAATTAATGCACTTAATCTTTCAGGTTCTTCATGGAGATTTGGCTGCTCGGAACCTCCTTCTTGCTGATAACAATGTTGTAAAGATTAGTGACTTTGGTTTGTCAAGAGAAATGTATAAAAAGGATGTCTACATGAAAAAGGGAGATGTACGTACCTGTAATTTGTATTCCTTGGCTAGTAAGGGCTAAAGAATATGATAGTGCTTTGCCAATTCTATGGTGTCCTAAGTTCTAACAACTTTTATTATCTAGTATGATTTCTTATTTTGATAAAAAGACTTATCTTCCCAGTGAATCCAGGACTGTATTTTATGGGAAATTGGTGATCTGTGATAGACAACACCACTGTTTCACCATGTTTTCTCTGCTTAAGTTGATGATAGATAGTTCCTAGACTTTCCATTGTAATGTCTTTGCTTTTTTTGCCATTATGACATCCAACTAGCACTCTAGGTCTAGAAACACCAGAATAAAACTGTTAAGCTGATCCATGAGGATGTAAGTATTATTGACGTAAGGGGAAACTGTTGTCCTGCACCTAGTGACCACCTGCTCCTCCCTCCTTGCACTAGCCCATGATCTTTCTGCATTCACTGTTTGGGGGAAAAATGAAGAATATGTCTCATACAGATTTGTAATTTATATGACATGTAGCTTCTTGGTACTAACCTCATTTTATCTATATGGTGAGATTTGGCTGTGTTCTTTTGTAATATTTTCTTTAGGGACATAATTCTTGTTTCATTGCATAAATAAATGTTAGATAATCACTTAATAAACATCAGTGAAACAGAAGTGAAATTTGCTGTCATAGTCATCAGTATCTCTGTTCCTCTAACAAACAGAAGAAAATGCAGTGTATAAACACAGAGTATGACTTAATACACAAATTATATACACAATGTGTGTATTATAAACAACCATGATAGGAAAAGGTTCTATTTACATATAAGTCATTTTAAAAAGTTATGAAGACTATTATGGTAATTAAGTCAACATAGGTGAAGTTTACTGTTTAGTCCTTGCCAGTGTGTTACTATAATGCTGCAAATTCAGTAATATCATAACTGTTTATTCCCAGACATGTCAGATTATTGGCATTGTGCTCTGTGTGTGTGCTGGAATGAAATTTGGCAATTTGGCAGGTATCATTGTTCCTGTTTAAAGATGTATAAGTGATTTTATTAGGATGACAGGTTCATAGGTTAAGTTTATTAGCTAAAGGCTGGACATGGGATGTGCTGCACTTTTCATGAGTATTTAATGTGTCTTTGGTAAACTTGTTGTTATAGGGTAGGGAATTTGAATATTTTCCAGTTTTTTGTTATCATACACACAATAAAGATAAACTAGACTTGAATTCATTGTAAGTTATATAAAACAAGGCAATCTATCAGATACTTACCAATCACTTTTGACCATCAGTCTTGTTGTGGTTTTACTTAAGTTTGTCCTAGTTACCAGTACTTTTTGTTTCAGGATTTAATGCCGATTAAATGGATGTCGATAGAAGCTATTCGTGATCGCATCTTTAGTGTCCAGAGTGATGTATGGGCATATGCAGTCACCCTATGGGAACTCTTCTCCTTGGGTTCCACACCTTATCCTGGGATAGAGGTCAACAAGGACTTTCTGAAGCTGCTTGAGGATGGATTCAGGATGGACCGACCAAAATATGCAAACCAAGAAATGTTGGTATTTACTTACTGTACTATCAATGTAAATATATAATACGTAGGTAGATTTTAAGCATTTTTTTTTTCGCCACTAACCATTTGCGGTTGGTCTATCCAGTGTTAGTAAAGGAGGAAACGAGGGAACCTGTGATGTTAGGGAGGGTCACACAGGATAACACCCTCCTCATGTTTAGGTAGAGTATCAAACCCTTGTCATATTGGTGAGAATTATCTACATTACTGCTGTACCACCAACACCTCCCTATTATTATACAATCCTATCTGTTCACATATCAGGATTGTTTATTTTAGGTTAACATATATGAAAAAATAATTGACAGTTAAGAGGGAAATAAAAGTTATTTGGAAAGATACCTGTGGATAGCAAGACTTGCTCTTACAATGAAGTTAGTTTTAACATTTTCTTGGGTAATGTTTAATGAAAAGCACCAGTGAGGATTTGACTAAGCCAGGGTACCCAGCCAGACAAGCCATTATGTTCAATAGCCAGGGTACCCAGCTATGCAGACACTCTGAATTAAAAAAAGGGGCTGACTGCCACATCTAGATAAGCCCTTAGCAGCAATCATACAGCTAGTTTTTTTTTTTTTAACATAGCTAGTTTTGATGTGGCCATAAGTGAGTTAGAACCATCAAATATTTTTTATGGTTTTTTGAGTCCCAAAACTCAATTCATATGGGGGGTCACCCAAAATTTTCAAGTGATCATCCCAGAAAGGGTTAAAGAATAAACTTGAAAAAACCTTAAGTTTTATACTATCAGTGATTCTGATGAGGCAATGTGCAAAAGAAAAATCTCAGTGAAGCCAAAGCAGCCAGCATAAATGTTTTACAATTATAATAAACTGTAGTTATTCAAATACCAGGAGTCACCAAGATTGTTTTTGTTCCATCTGACTTATCCCCAACAACTTCATCCTACCTGTTCATCTTCCAAAACTTTATCTCGTACATTAGTTAACATACAAGAATAAAGAATGAGAAGATAGGGGTGTCTGGGTGCTTGGTAGGGTACTAATGTATGGTAGACTGGGTGACCAACATTATTTATATTGGTTACTCCCCACTAGACAAATGTAATAACAGCTCCTGCTAAGTATTTAGAGAGGAAAAACTGAAAGTTAGCATTTTTTATGAAATTCAGTTTAGTGAAGCAGAAATTTTTGAAAAAACAAAACCAGATACATACAGTAGAACGTCGATTTAAAGCGATTCAATTTAAGATTATTGATTTAAAGCAAGACCGACAATTAAGGACATTGTTTTAATTTAAAGTGAATCTTTCCTATTTTGCGTGAGTCAATATGGTGCATCATTTCTTAAAATTAGCGCCTAATGTTTCTCTGGGCACACTACACTGTCCTAAGGGCAAAGCTGTACTGTACATGTACTCAGAATAATGTACTAAATGATTACTAAAATTTTTGTCAAGTGCAAACTATAGCATGATTATATTCAAATTAATCACTATCTTATATGAATTCCAGCAATGTAAATTATATTCTCCCAATCACTTCAGTGGCATTTTATAAACAAAAAACAAAAACTCAAGCTAAAGGGCATAAATAAACAAATAAATACTTCACTAGACCTTCGGTGCAACTGTCTAACATGTCACCTCCCCTTCCCCCCCTCCCTCTCCCCGATCTTCCCAGCCAGGGTTTGGTGGTTTTAAGCTTAAGTTTTTATCTTATATAATATCACAGACTAAAGTTAGGAGAATATAATTTGCATTGCTAGAATCCTTGCAAGTCAGCTAATAATTTGAATATAAACTCCATATATTTTGCACAAGAGATAAAAATTTTAGTTCTTTGTAATAAAATTACGGTAATTAGAACATGTCAATTCAGTGACATTTTATAAGAGAAAAAATTTAAAGTCACTCTTAAGGTCTTAAGGACAGATAAATAAATAAGCACTAGACCTTGGCATCAACTGTCACATATCACCTCACCTCACTTCTCCCCCCCCCCACCCCATCTTCCCATCAGCTGATCCTTAGTAAACAAACCATTTCACGTCCCATAATTTTAGCTGTGTTGATTTATGAGTGTTTGTTTTAACATAATACTACAAAAAAACAATGTTTTGTTTATTCTAGGAGATGGGCTGAGGTGCATCTGAGTAGACTCTCAGTCTTTTTAGTATTTTGTGTTTCTCTCAAGTACCAAACTAAATTATTCCATTGAAACAACACTTCGATTTAGTGGGAATTCGGTTTAAAGCGACCTCTCTTGGAACGTATCCCGTGTTATATCGTCGTTCTTCTGTATTATGAAGTTGAAAATATTGTGCAGCTGGCAGACCCACTTCAAATCCTCTGGGCCCCAAGCATTTTGGATTCCAGATACTTACATGCAATATGAATACAATTTTTACATATACGGTACTCATGTTATATGAAACCAGCTAAAAAATAAAAAATAAATAAATTAACCCCACCTTTTTTTATCAAACTATGGTGCTGTATTAGATATGTGCACGTTGTACCTGGGAATTTTTATTACTATTGGTGAATTATTTTTAGAAATGAGCTTTTATGGTTAATTCACTTAACTTTTCAAAAATAACCTTTTGTTTTCAGTTATGATTTACTCCTAAACTGCTGGGCGAGTGAACCAAGAAACCGACCAGGTTTTCAGAAAATTGCTGAATGTCTTGGTGTTATGATGCTGCCAGACCTGAGAGGAGTAAGTATAATTTTATTTTCTACTCTTGTAATTGACCGTGGAAGATACAGTAATATGTTAAATTACAGGACACCTGCACATCTGGAACAGTTTTAAGCAAACTTATGTAAGCTTGGCAGTGAGGCTTTTGCTTCAGTGATACTTGACAAGTTTTCGTGTTGTGTTCTAAGATTTGTATATGTGTGGTTTAGTGGTACAGTACACATTTTTTTTAGGCAAAATTTCTTGAAAAAATCAGGCATAGTAATGGATGATACTTAAGTACATACCCGGTGCAGTATTTGCCAACAGTGCATAACAGAGACATGACCAACTGCCCAAGCAGCTAACACGCCAATCAGTGGTGAAGAGGATAATTAAAGAGACAATAGTATGGAAGCAAAGGACATGACTGGCTTATGGAGGTTGGCCTCATACTTTGTATTTTGTTACAAGCACAACTCAGTAACTTAAATAATGAAAATTGCCTGTTTAAATACAATAATCTCCCATTATCCGGACTCTTTGATTCCCTGAACTTTCCATTACCCGGAAATTTTGGGGGGAGGATTCTGAGAAAAGTCTCAGTTCTGGGCGTTGAAATGTGCTGAGCACGTGAGTGAGTAGGCTCAGTGTTAAAATTGGCTACTATTGTATGTGACTGCACGGGATGCCTATGATTGCCTGATGTATCTCTCTCAGTCTGATATGCTGTATAATTTGGATATTAGAGTATGTTTTTTATGAAATTTCCTTGCCAATATGTCAAGATCATCATCTTGTACAGGTAGTTTTAAGTTCCTTTGGAATTGTGAACATAGGGAAATGTATGCTCTTTGGTATATGTTAGCAAACATTATTGTTAATTACAGTACATGTACTTTGTTAATGGTTAAGCTTCTGTGGCTAACATCCTCTGCGGTCTCCATTAATTTTGTTAGTTAGCAATCTCCATGCTGACTCAGGCCCTTCACATGATGAATGAACAAATCAGTATTGTACCTGTAACAGCAAATACCATATTTGCTGTCGTATAAGATGCACCACCACTTCTATTTTACAAGGATATTTGTGGAATTGTGTTTTTAGTACATTTATTGAAAGTGATTTTAAAGTGGTTTTGTAGGGGAAAACATATGATTTTGTGCATGTAAATACAATATATACTGGAATCAAGTAGGAAATCATATAGTATATAGTAACATTATACTAACCCAACTCTACCTCTGATCAGGGCGGCTGTGTGGCTTGTTTATATTTTGGTCAAGAGAATTACCGACAGGATGTAAAACTCGTATTTTTGGCTGTGATGTTTTGTGTTGCCGCGATCTGCCACCACGGTGTAGCATCATCGCTATTGTTTTGGCGTCATCAACTCATTGCAAATGGCTGACTGGTGGCTGAACTTTCTGTAAACATTTCTTTAATCTTTCTATGGTCATTTTTCATTTAGATAATAAACAAATGTTTCTTAAAAGGTAACACAATCGTTAAATAATGTAAGACATGTATCTGGTGTGGGTTGCGTATGCTGGGGAAGGAGGTACAGTGAGATGTTGTGAGCTTCCCTCTGCTGTTAAGCCATTATTTACGCCATCAGCAAATTTGCTGTAAGTTTGTGATAATAGATTGTGATAATTTGGCTTGTTTTTCAGTATTTTATTATCAGTAATATTATTAGTAACAAAATTTTTGAGCTTAGTGGACTACTGCTTGTCCCAGACTCCCTAGCTAGGCACCTCTGCCTACTGCGCTCGGCCTCCCATCCGTGGGTGCATTAGACGCAAGATAATTTGTGATACATTTTTTAGGGGGAAAAAACGTTTCTTATACGCCGGCAAATACGGTAATACCATTTCATCACTTCCTTATTGTACAGGATCAAGCTCACTTCTACACTCCCCTGTAATGAATATATATCTTAAGAAGACTGATGTTTTATGCAACATAGGTATTCAAGTTGAAGTGAACATTTCTAAGCAATAATATTGGTTTTCCTGTTAATTTTAATTATATGATAGTACTAAATTAATTCCTTTGATAATGGTTTTGATATATATACATACAGTAATTATTTTAAAGTAATACTGTAATATGTTATTCAGAATACTGAATAAGGAAGATTTTACTCCAAAGGGAATTTACAGGCATTGTCCTTTAATCTCCAAAATGGCTGGAAGAAACCTGTTTCCCAAAAGGAAAAAATGCCACTACTTTTCAGAATATGAGTCCTAAGAATGATAATGTACAGTATATATTTTTTCTTTTTCTTTTTAGGGAAATTTAAAGTTCCACAAGGTGTCAAAGACAAAAGGTGATGCCAATGTAGTGTTTTGACTTCAAGAATTATTTGAAAATTTATTGTTTTGGGATAAAATGAGTCTTTTTGGATTTTCAGCGATACATGACAATGAATGACCCCTATCTGCTGATGAATGAGGAACATTTTAGGACAAAAACAGACTATCTCGACATGCTATCGAGTCCTGATTTTGATAACCTCAACAGGGAGGATGATGAGACCAGAGCTCATTATGTCAACATTCAGGTAACTAATTTTTTACTCCTAAATGAACTTCTCATGAACATTGTGTATACAGTGTATTGATGAGTTAACATATTATATAGTACAGTATTGTACTTTATGTATATTAGTCTGAATAAATTATAACTGTTTTTTGTATTGTTCATTCTAATTGATCTATTTGCAGCACTTGAACACACTCAGAAGCTTCCCCAAATACCACTGTTGACCTCCCATGAATAAAGTAGCTTATATTTTTAAAGAATTGTGGATGTAGATGAGCTTGTTGCATAAGCAGTACACAACTTAACTTAACATGTACAGTATTCACCATTAACAACCAAAATAGTATAATGGATCTTCTTCAAACTGTAGCTGTAGGTCCATAGGAAGACACTCCAAACTCTGTGTGTACTGCTTTGATTATGTGATTCCTGGAGGTATTTTACATGCCACTTACTTAAACAGTTTCTGGTCAGAGCTTCAAAATGAAGTACTGGATTTCAGTACAGTATTGGATTTATGATTTATAAAATATCATTACAGGTTGGATATCTTTTATCCAAAATGCTTGGGGCATTAATGGTCTCGGATTTGGGATATTTTGGGATTTTGGAATACAGTACCTATATCGTGTATACAGAACCTGTATAATGCGGTAGCTCACCCAGCTGGGATGGGGCCCAAGTCTAGGCACAGAATTCATTTATATTTCATTTACAGCATATGGATACATATATTCTACAGGTAGTCTTATGAAATATATTTTAATCATTTTGGGTATAAAATATATGATAAGATGTACACTAAAGACCCAGAAAAGTAAGCAATCACTACCGTCTGTTTGGCATCGCCATGACTCCTGACTCTTAGGCACGAAGCAGCCTGTGTCTTACCTTTATTCCTTACACATACATACTTACCCTAGTAAAAATTATGATACATGTACCTGTATAAGCCATATTCAGCGTACAGTATTATCTACCATAAATATAATGAAATAGACTTTTGGATTTCAGAGCATTTTGGACTTGGGAATTTCGGATAAGGGATACCCAATCTGTAGCATAATACAGTTTAATGATTTTAGCCAATAATTCAAGACCTAATTCACTAATCCTTTTCACACTGAAACTGTAGGAGTGGGATTACTATTTCCCCTCCCAAACATAGCATTCAAACTATGAAATTATTTATAATTTGGGAACTGTTTCTTAACAGTAATTTACAGTATATGTATGTTTCCAAATTGGAAAAAATATCTTAAAATAAAAATTATGGTAGGCAACAGGGAACTTAAACAAGTAAAAAAATTTGTGTATTTGGGAAGTAACATAAGCTGTGATGGCAAATGTATGGAAGAAATCAAAACAATAATAGGGCAAACAACAGCATTTAATGATCTAATACACCTAATGAAAAGAGACATTAACTTCAATTGAGAAAAAGACTACTGAAAGGCTTTATGGCAAGGACTATTGTATGGGTCAGTTGTGTGGACACTTTCAGCAGACACCAGAAAGAGGTTGGAGGCCTTTGAAATGTGGTGCTATAGGCAAATGATAAGAATAATCTACACTGACAGGAAAACAAATGAAGAAGTACTAAGATAGCAAAAAATTCTAGAGAAATACTTGAAATGTACAGAAAAAGAAAAATGGTTATATAATTAGGGTTGAGGGAATAATAACAGAAATATTAATGGGCAAAGTGGAGGGTAGGAGGGCCAGAGAAGGCAGAGACTGGGATGGATGAAGGAAATTAAAGACTGAGTCCCCAGAGAGATACAAAACCTTGAAGGATTGGTAAAAACAGCCCAAGAACGTTTAAAGTGGGTAACTATGGTCGCTAACCCTCAGCTATGAGGAAAGGTACTCTGATTGATTGATTGATATGCATTGTCACTTTTCCTCATTAGCTACCTGGTATCTGCTTTCCAACAGAATGGTGAATTTGGAAACAGAGATGACAACTACCTGAACATGAGGTCACCGGACCTAGTAGGGTACTCCCGTGTTGGTATGGCTCCAGACACCCCGTCAGGAGTGTCTAATCCCCACTACCTGCACATGAATTCCACCCAGGGCTCTCCAACTCCCACGGCTGATGTGTTTAGTCCACGACCTGATGAAATCTCCAGGTTAGTAGTACTCCTGGGAATACAGCCTTAAGGTTTATTATGTCTGGTATTAATTAGGGTGTATATAGACATAAATTAGCAGTTATGGCATGTATGTACTTGAACTTCTTTGAGATAAAAGTAAAAATCAAGCCTGGCTAGTAATATGTGTGATGAGTGATCACAGATATAGTTTAGTTGCTCTATAAATTTTCCAGTAACTGCCGGGTTATGCAACTGGTATTCTATGAGGTGAGATTAGGGATTTAAAATTATTTAATACATTTCAGTTGAGTTTTGTCTGCTTTAGACTCATTCAGTTTTTCTTGCGTGTGTGTGTGACTCAGATTCACCTTTGGGCAAGGAACTGAAAGCTCAAGACTGACTGAGCTTCCAGAGGAGGATGAAGGCACCTCTCAAGATGCAAGTATGAGCACAGATCACCAGACTACTGAAAATTCATCCTTGATAAATGGTGTTTCTAAAGATCCCTCTCAAGATGATGCTCTTTCAAACCATTCCTATCATTCATCCAGTAGTCAAACTAACAGCAAAAAAGAAGAAACATTAGATATGGATATAAATAATGGTGAAATGACATATATAAATCTTCCAATGCATGGCTCAGAATATGCAAATCTTTAGTAAACAAAGTGTAGTGTTTCTTCTGCTGAGTGTGAATAACTGGGATAGGATGCTCAGTTATTATATGCAATTTTCTAGCATTCCTAACCATAAATTGTACCTAAGATTAAATTTAAGTTTAGTTTTTAAGAAAGGTATTACACTACCAACCAATGGAAAGATTACTGCCGTGGACATGTACCGGTATATAAAAGATTATATATTTTCCCTGATTTTGTACAATTATAATAGAAAATGTGTATAAATAGCTTAATTATGTAATGAAATCAATAGCTTTCTTAGTCCATCATATTTCTTTCATATTTTAAAATACATATCTCTATGTGACTTATTTGTGCACCGAAGCTGGTTATACAGTACTGTACTAACAAGCTTAAGGCGGCATCACACAATAGGTCTCTTAACTACAGAATACATGCACTAACTGGAAGGGGCTGCCTCTACTGTGCACTGGATGAAGGGATGTTATGCACCAAACAGCCTGTTTTGTAAATCATTTGCTATGATTAAGTAAAGATCAAAATTAGGTTTACAGGTTCAGAATTTAAAAAAATAGTCATATTATGAATTATAGAGGATTTAGTGTAGTTAATAATTGAAAAAATTAAGGAGGATGACTTGACTTCGCAGTAACCCTTTGATATGTTTATGTTTTATATTTTTTTTTACATGATCTCTATAAAATGCATCACATACAGTACCTGTACAGTACTGTAATTTTAGACCAATTTTTTTTTATTACAGGTTGCCCAAATTTATGTTGGCTTCTCAAGAACCAGATTCAAACTTCCATGGTTTTCTTTCTGTTAACCAGATTTCGATTACAGTAGACCCTCGCCAACTGCGATTTCCCATTTGCAGATTCTGGGCATCCACAGTTTTTACTCTGTATACCATTTCACCAACCACGGTATTGAATTTTGAGTATCCGCGGACTAGTGTAGCGTCTGTATCCCTCTGCGATCTAATGTATTCCTCCGTAAATGTGAGAAATTAATAAAAATAATATTAATTAATAAAAGAAAAGAAAAAATACTGCATTACCATTTGGCAATCGTCTCACTAAGGACATGGGAGACAGAAGCTCACTCCCCCCTCCCTCTCCCATGATCTTGAGCTAAATCATGCAAATGTAAGAAATGTTTACAAGTGGTCGCCGACTTACGAATGCTCGCCGATACAAATGGGGTTAAACTTGAAATTTACAGTATTTTATTTACCTGCTGACTTATTTTTTACTTTCATTTACTGTATTTTGTCATTCTATTTCTTCTTTTGTCTTAAATTAAGTTATTTTATATGTATAAAAGGACTTAGGGTATGATATATGTAGTGGGATTTTAAACATTGTTCTGTAAGTACGGTATGCACATAGTATGTGTTTCGACTTACGTACATTTTCAACTTAAGAACGTTCTCAGGAACAGAGCCCGTTCATAACCCGGCGACCTCCTGTATTCTCTTTGTTTTTTATTTATTTTTTATTTTATTTTTTATTTATTTATTTTTTTTAGACTATGAGTTGAAAAAACAACAACAATAACACAGCTCACAGCTTGTCCTGATAAGGAGAGGCTGAGATCCCCGCCACCACATTCCCCTCACAACCTTTCCCCTCCCACGATCCGACACTTAACTCCCGTGGAAGTAAGAAATGCTTATTCTCTAAATTTTTTACCTTATGATAATAATTTTTTTTATTTATTTACACATTCTGTATGAATGATTGTGTGTGCATGTAACAGTAAAAAAAAATGAATAAAAAAAGTATATTACCCAAAAATAAGTTGAAAAATAACAATACAGTAATACAGTTTGACCTGGTAGGGTGAGACACAGGCGACCTGCCAAGTCCACACACACACGTTCACACCCATGCTCTTCATTTTTCTTATTTTATAGCAACGTACCATCTCCACAGAGATATAGTGTAAAATTTGTATTACTATTTAATTTATACTAAGCTATTTATATTTATTTGACTCAAATGTAATTCAGTGTACAATACAGGTATTGTTTAGTGAAGGAACAGTCAACTTAGTTAGGATTTGACGAATGTTATCCGCGCCCATGGAACCTAACCCCATATTTCCCACAGATTTGCCAACTACTGGGGTTTTCAGGATCCTAACGCACACGGTTGGCGATGGACTACTGTATGCCAGGCTAACATTTGTGTGTACACAGGTGCACATAATGCTTTATCTTAACCACATGTAATGCATCACAGGAAAAGGGCTTACCAGAACACACCTGGGACTTGTTGTATATAAACTTTTATTCTACTCATTAACTTGATTTATTTTTTTGCCACTGATAATTAGATCTACAAACTGTTATTTAAATAAAGAACCCCTAAGGAAGCCTTAGATGATATTTATACTAGATATTAAGTGAGGGCATACTTTTTCGGAGTGAGAGTTGTGAACTATTGGAACAATCTACCAGAAAGTGTTGTGACGGCACCGAGTGTGAGCTCTTTCAAGACAAGACTTGACCAACACTGGAGCAGGTTCAGGTACATTCAGGAGCCGGTGCATGCCCAGTACTTGCCAACAGTGCGTAACAGAGACGTACCGATCGCCCAAGCGGCTAACGAGCCGATCTTTTGGTGAAGAGGAAAAAAGAAAAGGAACAGTAATCAAAGACGTGACCGATCGCCCAAGCGGCTACATTTACAGTCAAGAAACAAGAATGAGGAGCCCATTGTTATGAAAAATGGAGAAAAAATTAGTTTGTAGTGAAGACCAAGATCAGAAGTAAGTAATGCTAAGCTGTACTAGTATTTGTGAGAAAGTGCTGAATGTATTAATTTGTATATGTGTTAATGTCAATAATATTGTAATGTGTATAGTTGTCCTTTGTTAAGAGTATACACAAAACTTCATACAATATAAAAACTATCATCAAAGGAGGGACTGATCCATGATACAGAAATGCAACAAAGGTTAATAAAGTTGAGTTGTTATGTTGTGGATCTATAATAACCATTCACTTAATAAAGTAAATTGATGATGCATTCCAGGCAACAAAAAATATTCAAATTTTTCCCCCAAAAGTTATATTGATGAACAAAATACGAGTACATAATACTGTAATAATCTGCCCATCATGAAGACAAACCCATCTAAAGGTGAGTTACTATATTCAAATAACTTAATATTTGCTGATGAAACAAGGTCATGCTTGTTGCTTACCACTGTGCCCTGGATTTAGTCTCTAGGTTGGATGTGAGAAGGGTATTAATCAATGCAAACCTGCAAAAGAATGACACATTTTCTCCTGGTATTCTGGTTTCCAACATTAAAAGTCAAAACAAAGAATAGCTTGAAAGCTTAAGTGTATAGATTTTAGAGTATATACTGTACAGGGATCCCTTGCTATACAAATGTTCACTTTTATTAATATTCTATTTTTTCCACCTCTTTCGCTTATATGAATATGGTACCTTAAGGTAATGTACCAAATTTATATATATATTTTTTTTAATGTGTTAGGTACCAAATTACAATAGATACAGTACTTGAGTCTGTCATAAACACACCTGTACACTGTATATGGTGTTTCAGTATGTTTTTCTTCAAATACACATACAATGGTGAATTACGATAATAAAGCAATGAAATTGATTTACTTTTTACTTTACTTTTATCCTCTTCACCACTGATCGGCTCTTTAGCCGCTTGGTCGATTGGTCACGTCTGTTACGCACTGTTGGCAAGTACTGGGCATGCACTGGCTCCTGAATGCACCTGAACCTGCTCCAGTGTTGGTCAAATCTTGTCTTGAAAGAGCTCACACTCGGTGCCATCACAACACTTTCTGGTAGATTGTTCCAAGAGTTCACAACTCTCACTCCGAAAAAGTTTTCCCTCACAGTTTTCTGGACTTGCGGCTTCTTCAATCCTGAGCTGTGACCCCTTGTGGGGCGAGCGTCCGCCAGTTCCAAGTAAGGACACTCGACTGAGTGGTGCCCCTTGAGATGCTTATACACCTCAATTAGGTCACTTTTACTTTTTTACTTTTATCCTCTTCGCCACTGATCGGCTTGTTAGCCGCTTGGGCGATCGGTCACGTCTCTTTTCCTTTATATTCTTCACCAAAAGGTCGGCTCGCTAGCCGCCCGGGCGATCGGTCACGTCTCTGTCACGCACTGTTGGCAAATACTGGGCATGCACCGGCTCCTGAATGTACCTGAACCCGCTCCAGTGTTGGTCAAGTCTTCTCTTGAAAGAGCTCACACTCGGTGCCATCACAACACTCTCTGGTAGATTGTTCCAAGAGTTTACAACCCTCACTCCGAAAAAGTTTGCCCTCACGGTTTTCTGGACTTGCGGCTTCTTCAATCTTGAGCTGTGACCCCTTGTGGGGCGAGCGTCCGCCAGCTCCAAGTAAGGACACTCAACTGAGTAGTGCCCCCTGAGATGCTTCTAAACCTCAACTAGGTCCCCCCTTGCCCGTCTGTAGTATAAGCTAGGCAAGTTCAGGTGCTCCAATCTCTCAGGGTAGCTGAGGTGCCGAAGTGCAGGCACCAGTTTGGTGGCCCTCCTTTGAACATTTTCAACCAACTGACAGTCCCTAGCATATCTCGGGGACCAGATGGGGTGACAGTACTCCAGATGGGGAAGCACTTCACTCCTGAAGATCGTCACGAGGGACGGACCGTCTAGATATCTGAACGACCTTCTTATAAGACCCAATAATTTATTTGCCTGATTTACCTTCTTCTCAAAATGGCCCGAGAACTTCAGCTCATTGTCAACATACACACCTAGGTCCTTCTCACACACAGTCTCAACTAGTACATTTTCTTCATCCCGTTGGGACATATGGTACGCCTCCTTACCGTTGGTACGCCCCAGGTGCATCCTCTTACACTTCGTGACATTGAATCTCAGCAGCCATTCCTTCGACCATTCCTGGAGCCCACAGAGGTCCTTCTGCAGCTCTTCACAGTCCGCTTGGTTCTTAATTTCCCGAAATAACTTGCCATCATCGGCAAACATTTGTATGGAGGAGTGTACAACGTCAGGCATATCATTTATGAAACAAACAAACAACAGCGGGCCCAATACACTACCCTGCGGTACCCCACTTGTTACAGGTACAGATGACGATTTCGTGCCATTAATCACCACACACTGCTTGCGGTCATGTAGAAAGTCTTCTATCCACGCTAGGACATTTCCCCGAATTCCGTACCCTTCCAGTTTGATTTTCAGCCTTTCGTGGGGTACACTGTCGAAAGCCTTGGCAAAATCTAGGTAAATATTGTCGATATTACCACCCCGTTCTAGAATATGGGTCCAAATATCCAATACCTTGAGCAATTGTGTCAAGCAAGAGCGCCCCGGCATAAAACCGTGTTGGCAATCTTTTACAAGGTTGTTTCGTAGTAGATGTTCCATCGCTGCATCTCTGATAATACTCTCAAGTACTTTACATATTATGCTGGTCAGGCTCACCGGTCTATAGTTGTTCGTGGAGTGCCTATCGCCCTTCTTGAAGATAGGACTCACATAAGCCACTTTCCATTCACTGGGGACCATTTGTTCATCCAGGCATTTACAAAACAGAATCTTCAGGGGCTCTGCAAGCTCGTTGCACAGCTCCCTTAGCACTCTAGGATGCACCATGTCAGGTCCAGGACTCTTATGGACCTTTAGCCTGGACAGTTTATTTCTAATACCCTCTTCTGTGAACACAATGTGGGTCAGTGCTGTGTCGAACCGTCTGTCCTCAAACGCAGGAAGGTTAGTTGCATCCTCTCTTGTGAACACTGAGGAAAAGAAGCTGTTCAATGCCTCAGCTTTATCCTGGTCAGAATCTGCGTAACTACCATCTTCAAACCTCAGGTCTGATACTCCTACTCGCGTTTTCAATTTCGACTTTGCATAGCGGTAAAACGCCTTTGGGTTTGACTTGACCTCGCTTGCAACCAGCCTTTGGAACTCCTTTTCAGCCCTCCTACACTCTATCTTTGCTTGGTTTCTGGCTCTTGCATACATCCTCCTGTCTTGCTCATCGTTTGACCCAACCCACGTCTTGAATTTCTGGGTTTTCTTCTTAATTTTGTCGACCGCTGCATGGTTCATGTGTAGGGATCCCCTTGCCCGTCTGTAGTATAAGCTAGGCAAGTTCAGGCGCTCCAATCTCTCAGGGTAGCTGAGGTGCCGAAGAGCAGGTACCAGTCTGGTGGCCCTCCTTTGAATATTTTCAACCAACTGACAGTCCCTAGCATATCTCGGGGACCAGACGGGGTATTTAAGACAAGTGTTATTTTTTACAAGCCAAAATTGTGACTTTTATCTGTTACTTTTTCCTTGTGACTTTATTTCCCTTCACCCAAAATCCGACCTCTCCCTTACAAAATCCTGGATCCGCCCCTGCAGTGTGCTCGTGTAAAGAAGAAATCCTCTTCGAAGCCGAAGCCGGTGCCATGCCTTTAGCTTCGAAGCCGAAGCCAAGTCGTCCCCCCCCCCGCAAAAAAAACTTCCAGAGCCCAAGTCTGGTTTGACTTATCTTTAATAAGGAGTAATTAACTGTTATATAATTATCACTCTTCCTTCCTTCAGTATAATTTGCATGCCAGAAAATAACCAGAATTCACGTGTCTGGCCCTCTTGCCAGCTGGCAAAATTATTTAAGGGGATTTATGCTGAAGCCCAAGTATGTAGAACTTGGCATGCCTGAGTGGTGGTAGCATAATTACAAGTTAATTAATTGACGATAAATATAAAAATAAGTTAGTATAAATTCTCGGGCATGCCCAAATGAAATATAATTAAATTGAAAATAAAATAGAAATAGCACTATACATCTAGTTCTTAAAGATTGGAATAATTTACTTAGTTATATTAAACCCGATACTAATCTTGAGGAAACATATAAATATATAGTTGTTGATTACATGGCTGATGAAAAAACTTAACATACATTTTATAAAATTGCATATTTTATTCTCGTGCAGTCTGGAAAAAAGTGTTGATGTTTTTTGAAGTGGATGACATCAGTTTTCAACTTTTCATAGAAAAACTGGAACTGGCAGTGGTGAGGTTAACGTCTTCAGTATACACTCCCACAACTGTTCTTTTGTAAACTTTTGACGTAAGCACAGCAACAGATTATAAGACATGCTACCGCAATAAGATATAGAATTGGAATCCTTATGTATACTACTGGATGCTACATTTATAAGACTTATTATCACAACGCTGCAAGAATTATCTCAGTTCAGACTCCATATTAAGTAAGGGAAAGAAGGTTTAGAGTTTATATCCAGCTGATGCTTCTCAGTGAGTTGTCGTGATCGTGACATACAACAGCAGGATAAAGTGACTGTATTGAGTGTGTCGGACTTGGAGTTGACTGGAACACGAGGTATAACGCAGCGTATGTAGATTATGTTTGTGATTTACCATTTAATCGATCACATTGTTAATTATTTGGCATTTCAGAAAGAAACTATAAGCCTAATATCCAGATACGTGTGCCGGGTAAATAGTAAAATCGGTGTGGATAGATGTTCTGTAAAGTCAGATATTTGTTCAGTAAACTCAGCTTACATATTCATATTGGCTGAATATGTACAGTATAGTGTAGTTATAAATATATAGTGCAAGTACAGGTCGTATATAATCACACTTCGTCGATATTGTTGGTAAACAATGAGTCGATATGACCAAGAAATTTAAAGTAAGACATTTAAAATCCTACACATAAAACTTCACATAACTGTTAATGATCAAGTGTAAGTGTCTCTAGGATCAATTTATAACTGTTCAAAGTGCAGAAGTCAATGATGGTGGGAGCCACGAATTACCCCACAGTACCCAAAAGTATAGCAAATAAGGGTAAAATATTAACGAATATCTGTTATACATACACAAAACTTGTTTAATAATATTTTTAGTGTTATTTTATAAAAATAATTTGTAAGATGAAATAATAAACAGCGAAAAACTTTCAGTATTGGCGAACGCTAAATTCCAAAGAGTTCGTGAACAAGGGAGATAACTCAGATCCATCGTGATGCACTTCGCTAACCTAACCTAACCTAACGAAAAGTAAATCCTATGGCTATGATAAATACCCCAAAGTAACAGAAACATCGGTAATTATATCTCCATTTTGGATAGGTGACTCTTTGGAATTTAGCGTTTTTCGCTGTATTATTTCATTATTTTGACTACATTTCGATAAAAACATTATTAATCAGGTTTTATTGATGTAAAACATATAGTATTCGTTATGATTTTACCCTGATTTAATATACTTTTGGGTACATTTGGGTACTTTTCGGTAATTCGTTGGACCAAATGATGGTTGTATACCTGAACCAGCAACTTGAGAACATTTTGCTGTAGAAGATAAAGCTTTATGGGAATGGCAAAAGGTATTATTGCAGTTTCAGCCAATACACGGCCGACTGTTTTAACCATCCCCAACCTTTAGATCTCCTTATTAGGAATATTTTTAACACCATTTCGGTATTTCTTAACTTAAGTCCTATAATTCTTTACGTTAAATCTGGCAACATTTGTGAAATCTACAGAAAATTCTAAGACAGTTTTCTTCGGTAATATTGCAGTAAACAGCTCACCGATAGAACACAGAGGGTCAGCGTAGATGGTGATAAATCTGAGTGGGGCTGTGTAACCAGTGGGGTTCCCCAGGGGTCAGTACTGGGCCCACTCTTGTTCATTATCTACATATACGTCTAGATACTAGGATCAGCAGTGACATAAGCAAGTTTGCGGATGACACCGAAATAGGGCGGCTGATTAATTCAGGGCTGGATGCAAATGCACTACAGGAGGATTTACACAAACTGCAGGAGTGGTCAGAAAAATGGCTAATGAAATTCAACACCAGCAAGTGCAGCGTACTTAATATTGGAAGAACAAATACTGTCAATGTATACAGCCTTAACAACATCAACCTAGAGAAGTCGACTTGTTCAAAACACATTAAAACACGTCGGTAAAACAGTGTTTCAACCTTAAAATTGCCGAGAGTCCACTTGTAAATATTTACCCCTCTATAATGGGATGTTATGTTAGTCCATTTTGTTGACAGGTTTTTCTGATAAATGTTAACTATTATGGGTAATAATATATATTAGTGCTCCCTATCTGCCAACTGTATCACCATAGGAAATACAGTACAGTACAGTACAGTACAGTATATGCAAAAGTGGGAAAAATAAATTTTATAGCTTGGGGGTTTTCTCTCATAAATTAGAACATGGAACAAAATAACACTATTGTAACTTAGAATTTTAGTAAACCAAAGATTCACTGAGCCATTTACTCTTTTCTGCTTTATTGGCAATTGTTTCCATTATAATAAGAGTAAATTTATTTCATAAATCCAAGGGATCTTTCAAATATGTACAACCATTTAGGTCCTGGGAGATTTTTCTTAACACTGAAATGAAATAACCAGAACTATTGAAATTATAATGCTGCCTGTAAAGCTCACGTAGAAACATCGTCCCTAACCTACTCCAAAAATTCTGTTTTGATTACCCACTGGGATGTATTCTGGAGCATAGGGTACTCCTATAAGGAATCACTACCATAGGAAATGCCAACACTATTCGTGTAATGCATATTCTAGATCACTTAAACCATGTGCCTTGCTCCATGGCTGCCAACATGTGTAAAAGGGGCTAGTTTTTTCGACTATTGGTAAAGTATGCTTATATCTCTGTTACTATCAGTTTGCGCAACAAATACCGTTGAAAAAAAATATTCAAAATTAAATTCTACACAAGAACCTACGGGTATTGTCATTCTAACTTAATGATAACTGAACACCTTAAAAAATTACTCAGTAAGTTTGGAAGAGGTGTGTGGGTTAAAGAGCATCATAAGGAACTTTCAATAGAAGAAAACTTCTTCCTTTTCTGAAGAACATCCCAAATATTTTGGAGGAATCAAGTTTTACCTAACCAAAAAAGAAAAACCAAAAGAACCTAAGGAATCAAACCTAACAGCTCATATATTAGGCTACGTGAGTTTTCCAACCTAACTTAAACATCCCGGCTATGTAGCCTTCAGACTGTCCAGCCGGGAATTCCCGGTCTGTGGTGTGTATTCTTCCAAAATATGAATTTAAAGCATTGGACACTAAACTAATTGAGTTTTATTATCAGTTGCTCATGTTAGGAGTTATATATAGCATTTCATAAATGTACAGTTATCCCTTACAAATGCTGGCTACTGTAATGCTGAATTTACAGGTGAACAATTTGTTTGTATAATATACTAAAAAATCATAAATTCTTTGGATGGTTTGTACATAAATGGTTTAGAATAAACATTATGTGAAACATTTCCAGACAAGCTTAATACCTGTACTGTACTGTACTGTACTGTTCAGTACAGTACAGTAAAGTAAAGTAAAGTAAAGTAAAGTACTGTATAGTTAAACCAGATTTTATATGATTAGAGTTTCTTAGATCTGGTACAACCTAACACCACTTGGGGAAGGTTTGATTTTATTTTGATTTTATTTTTAAATAATTTCCATCTGTAAGTGTGGTTGCATGGATTTAGGCTTGGATTTCTGTATCCTGTAAACAGGAACTTGTTAATTAACCAGTATTTCAACTCCATATTGAGGAATGATGGACCATATTGTGTCTGTATTAGTTAACAGGAATTTTAATTTTGGCTTTTCTGGTCACCCATGTTTGTTTTGAATTATTTGTCATATTTTTTTACAACTTATTTTACTTGAAGAAATTTTCATCACAAACTATTATGATTTTTTCCTGTACTTTTACCAAATTTGTCTACTTGACAAGGGAGCTATGGTATATTAATATGCTAAGCAACTGTTGCCTCATTTATAAATGTTTAACACTGAGTATTACAAAATGGATTTGTATGTATTTTCAGTTATTTTTACTGAATGTTAAGTAGAGGTCTTAAGATGATTTATAAAGACTGATAATCAAGGGCCAAGTCTTACCTGTTGTAAATTAATAACCAAATGGGACAGACTACATTAACTGTGAATCATGAAATGAATTTATGTATGTTTAGAGAATATACCCAAGACTAAGTAAACAAATTATTTGTCACTAAATAAACTTAATGAATTTGTCATCTTGGTTTGATGGCCAGGTCAGAATGTAAACCCAGAATATTAATTTGTCTCAATTTTGTCTTTGCAGCAGATTGATCACTAGAATGTCACGTATTGTGTGGGTGGTCACTCTCACCACTCTGTTTTTGGGTGTGGTGTGGGCAGATTTTCATCCAATTGATGTAGAACCTGTTATGAAGAAGGAACAACCAGATTTTGAGGTGAGGAGCAAGTGGCGAAGCAAAATCAGGTGAGGAGTTGGTAATGAAGGGCAATCAGGAGCAGATGATGATGGATAATCATGTAAAGAGCATGTAATTTGGTAAGATATGGTGAGGGAATATCAACCTTCACACATATGTTTTGAGCTTAATATTTTGTTGCTCGTGAGTGATGTTTAGTGAATTTAGGAAATTATTCATTCAATAGCTCCAAACAAATAATATTTATGTTCTCTTAGTGCATAAACCATCTAACATAATAATAATAATAATAATGGGTGCTCCTTGTATAATGAGGATGGCTAACTGCACTGGCTAACCATTACCCCGGAATATGATCCACAAATCGATTAACATCCAGGTCCCCAATTACTGCTGGGTAAACAGAGGCAAATGGTATGAAGAAACTTGCCCATAGTTTCACCCTGCCCAGGGATCGAACCCAGGTCCACTTACTTGCGAGGTGATCATGCTGACATTACACCACAGGTCGCCACACCATCTAACATAACATCAGTCTTCAACACCTGTGTACTGTCCTACCAAGTCTGGGATTAAAGCAAGAGAACCCTTAGGACAGTAGTGTTTGTGGCCGATCTATTAAATAGTTGTCATCTTTCTACTCTCCTATCCTGCCTCTCAGTGTCATATAATTCATCATACTTATGACCCACTGGGCTTTAGTGGTGACATGACAATTACCCGAAATGAGTTTATACATTTTGCTCTGTCCTGCAGGATGACACTGGTAATGGAGCAGTCGTTCACAGTGGCAGCGGCGACAGGTTCCCCAACTCTTCACATGACACACAGGACAAGAAAGATGCATCAGATGTTAATTTCCTGAATGCCTTTATTGCTGCCCTGAGTATGATCATAGTAACAGAATTGGGCGATAAAACATTCTTTATTGCTGCCATCATGGCAATGAACCACCCAAGAGTGACAGTGTTTTCTGGAGCTATGTTTGCATTGGCTATAATGCACATGTTATCAGGTGAGATCTAAGTTATTGGCATTATTTTCATGAAGTTAAAGGATGAAGTAAGATTTGAACGCTATCTAATGAAGCCATTCAAATTTAAGCACCCTCTTCTACTAGGACATGATATATTATGTTGCATGAAATTTTTTGGTGTTAATCGAAGAAAGAGATAAATTTTTAATTTTACAGCACATAAAGAGAACTCGTTAATTTTTATTACATGATAGAATATTTCTTATTTGACTATTTTCATTGTCTCACTCAAGAAATTACTTGTTGGTGAGGGGTACCAACATCCTCTACTCTGAGACGGAGACACTAACACTGGCATAGATTTCACATGTACAGTATCTCCTCTCACAGTGGAGGGAGGGAGGGTTGGACATAGATGTAGCTTCCCTAAGTATCCCTTTTGCATAGGGATGCCAGGTGCCTGTTCCAGCATCTTTACTTCTACTGATGATACAAAAAAAAAAAAAAATAATAATAATAATAATATAATAACCAGGAGTTTCATTCATATACGAGAGTAAAATAATTATTAGTATTTGAAAATATATAAGAGGAATTTGCCAATATATACTGTTCCAAGGTTTCTCACTGCTAGAAGTAAATCTTTTTATAATGATTTCTAATATTTTTTTCTTCAGAAATTTGCAAAATTTCTCGTGCTGAGTTTCAAGGAATTATGTCTGAATTTTGTATACTGGGAGACTGTAAATTTATGAGATTTGATTTATGAAAATTCATATTGTAAAAAAGAAAAGAAAATAATTAAGTCCCATGAGTGGAAACTACGAATATACAAAAATGGTACACTATTACACGGTGTTGGAAAGTTTTTATGTTCTGTTTTGCAACTATTTTAGATATTCATACCACAAACATAGTTTACCACATACTCTCTCTAAGTTTCTTCTCATAAAATTAGTGCAATATGACAGTTCCTACTTGGCATTGGCTAACAGAGCATCAGATGATTTTTTGGTAATCCTTGATTCTTGGAATGATAGCAACTATCACCATTTATCTGGTTACTGTAAAAATGTACACCATATACCTGTATATGGTAAACTGTATACTGGTATGCCTACAATATATTTATATGGTATTTTTGTTTTACTCATACTAGAAAATATATTAATACATGTAATTGAATATACAGGGGGTCCCCTGGTTTTGAACGGGTTCCGCTCCTGAGGCCTTCCTCAAGTCGTAAATGTACGTAAGTCGGAACACATACCCTATGTGCACTATATCAGAGCCCACGTCCTTTTATAGATCTTGAATCACTTAATTTACAAGAAAAGAAGAAATTGAATGAGAAAATATAGTAAAGAAAAGTAAAAATTAAAGTTTGACACTTATATTTGTAGGAGTGACAGAGGCTTTATTGGGATGGTTGAACTGAAACTTTCTTCTTTTCGTCATAAATTTCTCTTTAGCATTGTAGATATTCAGTAATACCTCTTTGAATCTTGGTGAATCTTGCTGTGTTGGCATCTTGCTGTTTAAATTTAAACAATGCTTCTTCAATAAGCCTGAAACTATCTGCCATTTCTTTTGTAATGAATCGCTTTGGTTCTGGAGTTTCAGCTTCCTCTACATCCTCTGACAAAATTTGCTTCTCCAGTTTAATCAGATCCTCATTGCTTAATTATTCAGCATGAGACTCATGCAACTGTGTGACATCATCCTCATGAATGTCTGTGTCACTTCTCCAACCTCGTTTTCAGAACCCCTGAAATCATGGACAAACTGTAGGCAGTGTTTTTTCCAAACACCATTTGCCCTTACCTTGAACCGGTTAAACCAGCCCCTACTAGCAACAAAATCTTCCTCATCACTTTCACCACCACGTTTAGCCTTCAAGTCAGCATGCAAGCTTCTCGCTTTTTCCTGAATCAAGGCTAGACTTAGAGGCAAATCCTATTGATAACTTTGATCATCCACCCATATAACTAATAACCTTTCCATTTCAATTAACAATCCACTTCTTCTTTTTTGTTATCACAGTTGAGTACATTGATGGAGATTCTTTTACTTATTCAAGAATATTCTTTTTGCCTTTCAAAATTGTTCTGACCGTTGAACGACTGAAACCCAACTCCTTACTGAACACTGAAGGTGTTTTCCCTTTTTCAGAACATTTAATTACATCAACTTTCACTTAAATTGTAATTGTGTTCCTTTTCTTGGGTGCACTACTATCACTTGCAGCAGGATTGCCTTTGGGAGCCATGATGAGGGCTGAAAAAGAGAGTTATTAAGCAAAAAACAAACAGTTTGCACTTGATCACCCATTTTAGGGCAGTGAGGGTAAAGCGTACTGATGCTTCCGCTACCTCATGGCGGGTGACTGGGTGCGACTCATCACTCCCCATGCGCTGCTTCGCCTCTCCTTTACGCCTTGCAAACTAATTCTCATACGTAACTACTAAGAACCATTGTGCTTATGTCGGAATTTTAAAATAATTGACCTTATGGGACCTCGTTTGTATCAGTGGGTGCTCGTAAGTTAGACTTTCATAAGTCGGGGACCCCCTGTACTGTACTAATACTGTACAGTACTCTCTTCAGCATATTTGCATTTATTTCTTTGACCATAGGCTTGTCACACCTTCCCATCATACTCTAGTCCCTGAAAAGTGGAAATTTTGAGGCAATAGTTGTTATTTGAGGTAGAAAACAAAGAATTGTGATGTCACATCAACTTATGTGTGTACTAAGCTAGACTATAAATCTCATTCAAGAGTTGAAGTCCACACTGTTTGTCATTGCTCAACAAGTAGCCCCGGCAGGGAAACACTACTAAGTATTGTAGCTTCTGCTTGTAGCAGTACTGTAGTGGATTTTTTGGCAGATTCACTTGGCTCTCAGTGTTTATTTATTATTTATAAAGTGAGTTTTACATTTGTTTATTTAGTATTTTAAGAATTTAATTTTGGTAAGGACTAAATTGTAGTTACCATTGGGTATGTTTTTAAGGGATTGACAAATTACTCATTGTGACTTCAAAGAAGAAAATCACTACCTGGTGGGGGTAACTCAATTTGTATTTTTTTTTTAATGTTTTTGTTCACTGGATAAGATATCTTGCCACAGAGGAAGGGGATATCCTGCTTGTTTTTTTTCATGAATTTTAGCACTCCTGTAGGATTATTTAGGAAGTAGTGAACCCCAATGTTCTCTAAATTGTTCTCATTTAAGTTTTATATTATTGTATGTACTCTCCTGCAACATGTTCTGTGTATAGTTTGATCCTGTTTCTTTGATTATACATACTGCCATCTATAGCCTATTGCTGGCTCCGGTGACTCAAGTTGAAAGTGCAGGGTTCTCAGAATCCCTGTCAGTGTTGAGTGGAACTATTCTATAACCCCCCCTCGTTTATAGGTCGACTCTGATTTTTTTACCAAGAAATCGTTAATTTATGATATTCCTTGTTTATAGGTCGACCCACGTTTTTGAGGGTAATGGAACAACAAAACCTTCAGTAAAAACGCTCTACGTCCGATAAACTGAGGCTCGCTGTGCCTGAAACACCGAGTGCCGAAGGCAAATTGTTTACCATTTATTATTACGACACTTTACACTGAAACGCGGGTAGTTTCAACAAAAATATTGTATATTTCCATTCAAGTATTTATTCAAGTCATTTAGGAGGGAATATTATTGTAATACAACAGTTTTTTAACTAAACCATTCGAAAAGCGATTACGGTAACATCATTTAAACGAAAGAAAGCGAAAGTCATTGTTTTCGTCACGATTTTATCCTACTTTCCACTGTAATACGTACGTAATTTCAGCAAAAATATTACATTTCCGTGAATGTATTATATCAAGCACAGTATGAATAGAATATCATTGTAATATAACAATATTTTAACCGAAAACTATTAAGAAAACGAGTAACATCTCGAGAACATCGGAAGCTTAGGTAAAGTCTTTTGTTTTCGTCATGTATTTTATCCTATTTTACATTGAAATACATCGCGTTTCAGCAAAACTACTATTTCTTTCCGAGAATATATTCATTCAGGCGCAGTTTAGGTAAAATATACGTGTGATGTAACAGTTTTTTAACTGAAAACGATTCGAAAAACATGTACCCTCTAGCCCTGTTCAAGGAGAGGACTGGGAGAAGCTGTTTGGTGCTGCAGACGATGACAAGGAAAATGATTTTGATGGATTTTAATGAAAATATTCAGAAATATGGTATCGTAGTATTTATTCAAGTCAACTAGGATAGAATATTATTGTAATACAACAGTTTTTTAACTGAAAACCATTCGAAAAGCGATTACGGTAACATCTTTGAACGAAAGAAAGCGAAAGTCATTGTTTTCGTCACGCTTTTATCCCACTTTCCACTGTAATACGAACGTCATTTCAGTAAAAATATTACATTTCCATGAATGCATTCAAGCACAGTATGAATAGAATACCATTGTAATATAACAGTATTTTAACCAAAAACTATTAAAAAAACGAGTAACTTCTCTTGAACATCGAAAGGTTAGGTAAAATCTTTTGTTTTCGTCATGTATTTTATCCTATTTTACATTAAAATACATCACGTTTCAGCAAAACTACTATTTATTTCCGAGAATATATTCATTCAGGCACAGTTAAGGTAAAATATACATGTGATGTAACAGTTTTTTAACTGAAAAGATTCGAAAAACACGTGTACCGTCTAGCTGAGACACAACAGCTGGTGGTGCGTCATGCATCGTTGTAAACAATAGGAGGTTGAAGTAGATTACCGGGTATTATATTTAGTGTGAAATATCGAAAAGGTTTTTATTACCGTTATTTTTTGTAGATCATTGAGAACTGTGACACCGTATATGATATGATAAGTTAGCCTGTGCTAAGAACTTCAACATAGACTACTGAAAGCACGTTGTAAGGTAATTTAGCCTATTGTAAGTTGGTGAGCTTCATTTGCTGAAGGAACTGCACAACTTTTCATTACTGATTGGTACATATTTTATGTTTCCATTGTTTACTGGCAGTAAATGGTAAATATTTTTCATGTCTGAAGCTAAAAGTTGCTCCTCGCCCTTGCCATCATGCACGGGTTCAATCTAACAAAACTATTACGCATGTATAGGACGACCCCCAATTTTTTGCCTAAAAATTTGGTCTTATAAACTCGAACTATACACGAGTATATACGGTAACTTTCCCATTGCAACTCTTATCTATTTTCCCGTTTTGAATAGATAAATGTACTCCTAGTGCAAAGGAAAAGTGGAAAATATTGTAAAATCAATTATTTGACTTTCTGAAGTTGTGTTATACGATGGGCTTGCATTATTTAAAACTCCATCACAAATTGAAATATCGTAAACCAAGTTCATTATAACATGGGTTTCAATGGATACATTCCCAGCCAGTCCAACACACACTTGTATCACTCAAGAAAAAATCCTACATTAATAAAATAAATAGAAAACAATTGAACACCACTCACCGCATCATTAAGAACAAGCTTCTCCAGAGACACGGTTTTCCTGGGTGCCTTGGCCTTACCAGATGCAGGAGCCTCAGCAACAGCTTGTTAGACATTTTCAAAGTTACACTGCTCACTTCACAGTCACAGTAAATTCAATGAATAAATAAAAATAATAATGTTAAACGAAATAAAGGAAAAAATACTGTGTTACCATTTGACAATTGTTTCACGGGACATGAGACAGAGAACAGCTGAGAGATCCCTCATGCTTGTCCTCTGCTCTGAGGGCTGACTAGTGCATGTTAGAAATGTTTATTCCCTTATGTTTTTGTCCCTATTATAATTACTACTTATATTTTTTTATTTGTTTTGCACATTCTGTACGAATGATCGTGTGTGCATGCAACATAGTAAAAAAAAAATTATTTTTATCTACCCAAAATAATGAGTTGAAAAAGAATAATAATGCAACTCATAGCTTGGTCTGGTAGGGGAGGCTGAGATCCCTTACACCGCACCCACATTCTGAAGCCAAGTCTCGTAGATATAAGAAATGTCTGTACTCTGTATGTGTTCGACCTTATAATAATCCTTTTTCATTTTGTTTTGCACATTCTGCATGAAAAATTATATGTGCGTGTAACAGTAAAAAACACATAGAGAAAATGACATACTGTATATCTACCGAAATTATATGCTGAACAGTAACATAGCTCTCAACTCAGTCTCACCCACTCATGAGTGCTATTGGGTGGCGAGTCAAAGACTCTGCTACACAATTATGTGCCATCTCCATGGATGTTATTTCTCGTTATCCCTCAATCAGGATATTTCTCATTATCCCTAGTTTTTCAATCGTTTCGCATTAATGATGGATTTGTCAGGAACATATCCCACTTATTAAACGAGGGATACTTGTACAGTATTCCACACGCAGCGAGTTTGGCCAGATGATGGCCATCATTCTTGCGAAATTGTTTGATCGTGAAATACCTGTACTTGACATTGTTATAGTCAAGTGGGATTACCTGAAGCAGGGTAGTGGATTAGTGGTACTTAGGTAATCTGACTTGAATGCATGTCTGCTATTGGCCGTGACTGAAAAGACACAGGCAGTCCTTGAGATAATTTGTGGGTTGTGGCTGCATCCCTACATGATGCCAGCTGAAGAAATGGGAGGAGTCTCTCTGGCAATATGATTCAAAGTACAGTGTGGGCGGGAAAGTTATTACTGCATATTGTGTGATGATGTTTACCTAAAATGGTGCAACAATTGCAATGAAAGGGTTAAAATTCCAAGGGTCTGGGAGATAAAGTTATCACTTATAGCCTAAGGATAGGTGTCATCATTAATACAGTCCCCTCTTTGACCTCATATGACTGCTATACAGTACTGTAAAGCATCATCTCAAGGGATGACCCCACATTTCCAGTCATCCAGGTGGCATATACCATACAAGCTCAAAGATCATCTCTTAAAAAGGGCTCCTTCTCTAAGACCCCAATCCTAATATGTCACGTCCGAATGCTTAAGAGTCCAAATTCCTATAGGCAGCTTAGGTTAGTTTGGGGTTTAATTTACCTCTAAATTTTGTTTAGCTGCAGTGACTGTGGTTTTGATGGCCAGTAAATCTGAAGAAATCAGTCAATCAGCTGTTTTTTCCTGTATACTTCAAAAGCAATATCAAAATAAATTTTTTTTCCCCAGCTATGTTTGGCTATGTCATAACATGGATACCTCGTGTGTACACGTTTTATGCTTCAAGTGTCCTTTTTGCCATCTTTGGATTAAAAATGCTGAGAGAAGGATGGAAAATGAAACCAGATGAAGGACAAGAAGAACTTGAAGAGGTGCAGTCAGATTTAAGACGCAGGGAAGATGATGTAAGTATTCTCCTGTTTATTTAACTCAATCTTAACACAGTATTTTGTCAGTGTTGTAAAACTAAGTACAGTTTTGTTTTCTATTAAGGCTAAGCATTTTTATTAATTTATGATTTTCAGAAAACCAGCCTTCAGCCCATCTCTTATTATAATATATATATACTACAGTGGTCCCTCGGTTTACGAACGCCTCGGCTAACGAATTACCTTCCATAAGAATCTTCACTTCGGTTATCGAACAAAAATTCAGTTAACGAAATTCTTACGAAAATGTTTTGACATGCTTTGGCTTGCTCACCAGCTGGAAGATTAGTCCTCCAATACAGAAATCGGTTCTAGGGTTTACATTCGTTAAAATTGGAATAAATAGCAAGAAGGTTGTACTATTCAATAATTTTCCAAGTTTTATATTATATTTTTTAGTCATTTTAAGAATTATTTAACATAATTGCAGTACAGGGAGCTAGTTTTTGATGCGCCCATCAGCCATTTCACTCACCCATCAAGGCCTCAGTGTGTATCTCTGTTCAGAGGAGGAAACATCTTGCTTGTGGGTCTCTTGAACACAGAGTATTTTTACGTTTTTACAGTACTGTACAATTATTGGTCATTCTGAAATTTATTTAACATATTAACAATATATAGTGCTGTGCAGTGTTGATTTAAAGAAAATAATCTTGAATTACACCTAGTGAACTTAAAATTTTATGGGTGAAATGACGGCATCAAGCATGGGGTGATTTCTTTTCCACCCCCACTTCCTTCTCTTCTCCCTTCTCCTCCACCCCCCACTTCTAATTCCCATCATCATCATCAACCAGGAGCCTTCTACATTCACACCTCAAAGTAAGTGTACTCTACTGCATATTTTTTTTACTTTGTATGTAATTTTCGGAACCAATTACAGTGGTCCCTCGGTTAACGAACGCCTCGGTTAACGAAATTTCGGTTAATGAACTGCCTCCCATAAGATTCTTAAATTCGATTAATGAACAAAAATTCGGTTAACGAATTTCTTATGAACCGACCTCAACATGTTTTCACTTGCACTGGCCGGTCAACCAGCTTTAGTATTAGTCCGCCAATACATTAATCGGTTCTAGGGCTTAAATTCCTTACTATTTTAGTAAATATCAAGAAGTTTATAATATTCAATAATTTTAAAAGTTTAATATTCAATTTTTTAGTCATTTTAACAATTATTGAACATAATTGAAGGTAAAGTGACTAGTTTAATGCGCCGCATCCAGCCTCTTAACACAGCAAACAGGCGTTAGTCTCTCTCTGTTTTCACTGGAGGTAACATCTTGCTTGAGACTCTTCAACTAAACGCTTTTTTCTGTGTTTCCAAGCAAATTATTGGTCATTTTGAAATATATTTTACATATTCACAATATATAATGCAGTGCAGTGTTGATTTAAAGAAAATAATCTTGAAATACACCAAGAGAACTAAAATTTTATAGGTGAAATGGTGCCATGGGGTGACTTCTTTTCCACCCCAATGCCTTCTCTTCTTCCTTCTCCTCCACCCCCATTCTAATTCCCATCATCATCATCATCATCATCCAGGAGCCTTCTACATACACATCTCAAAGTAAGTGAACTTTTCTACCATTTTTGTTGAATTTAGGCAATTTTCAGTGAGCTGGAACCAATTACCCAAAAACCCATTGAAACAATGGTTTCGGTTAACGATTTTTTCAGTTAACGAACAACCTGCTGGAACGGATTGTGTTCATTAACCGAGGGACCACTGTACACAAAATCCCATTATGTAGAACCATCGTCACTCACGAAAACAATGCTGTCTTGTCTGCTCGTGTGTGTTTTAATATTCTACGTATTATTAATGAATTGCATTGTTCATTTCACATATATAAACATTAATTCAATCAAATACATATTCAGTAATAAACAATAATGAATCTTTTGTACATAATCTTAAGATATATGACTATGTTTCCTTGAGTGCGCACGTATACATTGGCATTCCACTATCAGTCTCACTTTTCTTTAATATCAGTGGTTACTTCTACTGTACATTAAATAACATTAATTAAAACACATATTTTTTACATTAATTTTACTACAACAACAACCAGGGTCTTATTTTCTTCAGTTTCAGGTGGATAACTGACATTATGGGTGTAAACACTGACAACAATGCCTTCTCTTGTCCTCTTGTGTGTTTTAATATCCTACGTATTATTAATGGATTGTATTGTTCATTTCGCATATATAAAGATTAATTCAATCAAATACATATTCGGTAATATACAATAATGAATCTTTTGTACATATTCTTAAAAAGATAAATGACTCGGTATCCTTAAATGCGCACATATATGTTGCCGTTCCCAATCCATCTCTTTTTTTTTCTTTGCCATTAGTGGTTAGCTACTTCTATTGTTCCATTTATTAACATTAAATAACATTACTTGAAGCATATATATTAATTTTTTTACATTAATTTTACTACAGTTACAACCAGGGTCTTATTTTCTTCATTTTCTCATCTAGAACTATCTTCCTGGACTCACGGCTGTAAACACAAACGAAAACAATGGCGTCCCATCTCCTCTTGTGTGACCATATTATTATTCATTTATATAGTACAAGGTGCATTCAGAAACATTATTTAAAGAGTATAGTTTCCAATTTTCATTAATTGTATTGTTTTGGGAGGAAAAGAGGGTAAAAAGCCACACAAAAGATATGAAAAGGTCACACTTGGGAACGCATCTCATTATTATTGCTTTATTTTAATGGTAATTAATGATTTGCGATACGATGATTCACTTTACACTGCAATATTGGAGGACACATTAACGTTGTTATTCGAGGCTTTACTGTGCAAATAAATCACTGTAGATGCATGTGATCCATGTTCTACATGCTGATAACCACATAGGAAAAAAGAAAACACAAAGTTCCCCAATGCTTTCGTGTAATTCACATCTTCAGGGACGAGTACAGACTAAGGAGATGTTACTGACTAGGCTAATATATACAGTAAGGGAGAGAGAGATCAAGTCCCTAGGGATAGCAGGTGTCCACCATATTCAAGTCATTAAGTAGTGACCTAACCCTTTCACGTGGTTACAAATCTTCTTAATCACAAAATTAACCAATTCGTACATGCCATTACTCAGTTCATGTTAACAGATTCGGTATTTTTAAAGAGACTAAATTCTATAATGTTTCTACTGACGATTGAATTACATGATAAGATTTCCTGTAGTGCTTTCCCTACAAAGGCCTTGATCCACTGAGAAAATGAGTACACCTTCAATTTCACTTTTGTTGGAAATCTTTTCTAGCTGCCATTGCTGATAGTCCTTATCAATATGTTTAAGTTACTTCTAAATGAAGGGCTGGGCACCACATTTGATCTATGGTTGTGCAGTACTAACGTGTGTGTGTGTGTGTGTGAGTATGTATGTGTGTGTATTAAAAAATTTCATATTTCTTACACAGTATCGACATGGATCTGTAGAGGAAGGTGCTGTAACAGTAAGTTGACCCGCCTTTCTTTTTGTTTTTTAAAATAAAATGAACAAGTATCGGTTTATATAGTAACTATATACCAGCACCTGTACTGTGTAGGCAATAACTATATGGCATTATCCAATTAAAAGGAAAGGTGACACCCAGGTCCTGCTCATTTTTCTTGCTAGAGCAAGTTATACATACCAGGTAATTTGATTTGGGCATTTCTGTCCAAATCCTTGTAGAGAATGTTGAGAATAAGGTAAGTGCCTCCTTGTTTGGCATTGAGGTTGAGTTGGGCCACAGATACTGGTGCTGCATGAGGTAAGTGTTTGTTTTTCTTCTCTTACATTTTTTTGCAAGTGTTTCAACATGTAATGACCAAACAATAATTTGTTGGTGTGGCCATCTGCGGGAGCTGTCATGCCCAATACCACAGATATCCACTCTATTTGGCTTTAGTCCAGTCCATTATTTTCACTTGGTGTTTCTTGATAACCTGTGGGCCAACTTGAGGTTTCTTAAAATTCTATATTGGCAAGGTCGGGTAGTATTGCCAGATGGTGCTATTCCAACATCTCTGAGTGTTGAGACATGGTTACTTATGCTATGTACTGTACTGGGTATGTTTGTATTTGATGAGACTTGTGGTAATTTTTATCTCAATATTAATTAGGGCTGTACATATTTGTTTTTAGAAATTAATGTATATTGTCCATGTCTGAACATATGAAAGGACCCTTTAGAGGGGCCTGATAACTGGTGCACTGTGTTGGTTTTGTGTTAGTAAATGTGTTTAGGAGTCTTCTCTTTTCCTTAATCTGGGCTATATCCATTTTTTTTTACGGGGAATAGCCCACCCGAAGACAGGTCATCGACCCACAGTGGGGCCTGGGGGGGTGAAAAAATAATAGTAAATAGAAAAATTAGAAGAGAAAAAGAGTATGTTAATCTACACCATGAAAATGCCAGAAAACCACTTAAGAGTGGCTCTGTGACTCTTTATAGATATCTCCTGGGAGCATTCGGAAAGGTTCCATTACTTTCTTTTCACATTGTTCTCACTTTTATTTCACAAGCCTCAGTTTGTTTCACTTGTAATTTATTAATTACCTGGTACTGTATGTTACTTCCTAGCTACATCTATTATGAAAAGCTATTATATTTGACATGATAGCCAATTAACAAAGGTGTTTCTTAGTTCAAATGAAACCAGTTTGTCTCAATCAGTGCTTTAGGTTGCTCTTCCCTTGTAGTTAGCTGGATTTAGTCTCATCTTTTTCATTTGGGTGCAGGTGTGGAGGATTGGGAGACCTTAAGTGGTGTACAGGATTTGGCTAGGTACTTTTCCTTTTTCATGTTTCTGAGAGGGATATTTTGTTTCAAATCTTAGTCCTGTTTCTCAGGTCAGTTGGATCTCTATGAGGTAGGGAAACCATTTAATATAGCATCTGGCTGTTTAACCAAAATTACAAAGAAACATAAATCTGGTACAGTAGACCCCTCTTTATTTCACAGTCTGATACTTTGCGGTTCCCTGAATTACTCTCATTTCTCTTTACTGTGCAGTCATACCCCCTTTATTATGTGGTGTAAGCCTTGAAAAATTAGATATTTTTAAGTGGACCACCATGTTCTTCAGCTGAGAACAAATGAAAGTTTCCCCTGCATTTCAAGAAGTGACAGCACAAGCCATTCACCCAAGGCCAGCCATGCTTGATTACTCTTCTCTGCTGCTCAACTGCCATGCTGTCTGGACACTTGCTTGTCTTAACATAGCTTTTAATTATGTGCAACAGTTGCCAGCACCCATCAACGCCTCAAGATGTCTAAGCATCTGTCAAGTGCTTCTACCACTGCAAGTGCCAAGAAGCCTCACATGACTTGTTAATTTAATTGGGGAATGTGTCTCCCCAGGCTAACATGGCTCCAGCCACTGCCTGACTGTTGGCTACAGTGTGTCACAAGGTGGGAGGAGTGACACAGCATCAAATTCACAGTACTTTACCAAGAAATAAAGAAACCCATTTGGATGAGGGCTATATGGGTGAGATTTGCATCACACCTCTGGCCTGGGAATGTCTTAACTCTAAATCTAAGAAAGAGTTTTACTAGTTCAAGGCACTTCTTCCAGGTGTGAGAATTTTTGTCTTACTTTCAGGAGTCTAAATATACTTGACTCATAGGAAAGTAATTTTCTGCCTCACCTGTTTAGATGTTTGGCTTGTTGTGGATTCTAATTAGAAAGAGGTGAATTGTGGTAACCAAAGACTCACTTTTATTGGACAGAATGGTTTTTATTTGTGATTTAGTTAGAGTTTTCAGTGGTTAAGTCTCCAATAGGACAACAAAAATAAGTCAGCTACCTTTCTAGTTGAGACAACTTATGCCATTCCAAGGAACTTCACATTCTCATGTCTCAGAGGAGTGTTGTACATATGTTTGATAGGAAAGTTGAGTTTTGAATTTCATGTATAAAAGTTAGAAAACGTTTCTTTTATGATAAATCAGTCTTTAGAAAAGAAACTTAGGGATGTGCTCATCCAGTTGCCGGGGAAGCTGAAAATTACGCCTCATTGGTGGATGTCTAAAAAGTGTTGTCATTTTCAGTCACTTGGTTGCTACTAAAGAGTGACTTGTTGGTTTTGACCAATGCTTCCAATCATGATGGGGTTTCTGTTTCTTTGAGGACATTGAGATAAGGGAGTCTGGTCTCAGATATATTGTATATGGGTTTTAACATGTACTTATGAATTTGAAGGAGTTCCTGCTTCTTCTCATTTTTATTGAGGGCCATGTGAAAAAAGAGATGAAATGGAGATGTCTTGTTTTATAAGAATGCATAAGCAGGTGTACATCAAGCAATAGGTAGTAGATAGTAAGCAGCTATCAAACAGGGAGGTACTACTGCCTGGGAAGATATTGGAAGCATAATGTATTGTCTAATGGTAGACCCTGCTGCCATATGGCACCACAAAAATTTTGACCAAGTCCCAGGTTACTGATCTGACTTTGTCTTATTTACACACAATTACAGGTCTCAATTGTTTCTCTTACTTTGATAACACAACATACATATACGGTATTATTTCTCACTCTTGATATTTTTTTTAATTTTTGTATTTATTTATGGCTCTTTATCATTATTATTATTATTAATGTTTTTTTATAAATTTTCATTATTATTATTTGCTTTTAATATCTGTAATTGTTATTTATTTTCATATATTGTTATTAATTTTATTATTATTATCATCATCATCGTCGTTGTCGTTATTATTTATATTTTGTCCCCCCCCCCCACCCCCAGGCCTTGATGTGGGTCATTAAAAATGACCTGTGCCCAGGTGGGCTAATGCCCGTAAAAAAACGAAAAAAGGAAGGTCCCATTGGGTCCTCTCCATTGTACTAACATTTGATTGTCAGGACAGATGCTTTGTCCAAGAATAGTGTGATACAATATGGATGGACATTACTTTGACTTTTATCTTAAATTCCTCATAGGTGGCACACAACTTGACTAGGGTGGGACAAATGGTATGGTTCTTGACCAGGGTGGGACAGATGGTATGGTTCTTGACCAGGGTGGGGCAGATGGTATGGTTCTTGACCAGGGTGGGGCAGATGATATGTCTCTCGCTCTCGCTCTCTCTCGCTCTCTCTCGCTCTCGCTCTCTCTCTCTCTCTCTCTCTCTCTCTCTCTCTCTCTCTCTCTCTCTCTCTCTCTCTCTCTCTCTCTCTCTCTCTCGCGCTCTCTCGCTCTCTCTCTCTCTCTCTCTCTCTCTCTCTCTCTCTCTCTCTCTCTCTCTCTCTCTCTCTCTCTCTCTCTCTCTCTCTCGAACTAATCATTATCTTCTCATATCCTCAGTACTCAGCGGATTCTGTGAATGGTGATGAAGCAGTGGTAAGTTTGCTGTGTTTCATCGTGTGAAGTGTCTTGCTTGTGTACAGTGCTAAAAAATATGATGATTATATCTGTCCTTACTTCCAACTACTTCATTTCATTCTCTATCTTTTGTACTCATTTTGACACTTAAGATAAGGAAGTGCAGGCATTCCTCGCTTAACACAATAGTTACATTCCTAAAAAGTTAAATTTTTAGGTGAAAATATATAAAGAAGTTGATAGTCCCTATGGAAAACCTGTAAAAAGTGTTGGCTGTGAATTTGTGATTATGTTTAACAAATATTAATATTAATTGTGTGCTTAGTACAGTACTGTATGTAAGTGTAAAGTAAATATAATAAAGCTGAATAGTGGAAATACAGTCAAAGTTAAAAAATCCTAAATTCACAAATCTTCTCTGTTCAGGAGTCAGCACAGAGTTAGATCTAAAGTGTGCGCCAAGATTCAAGTGTGACAGTGTGTGTTGTGATGGGATTTAAATTTACTTACTTATACAGTATGTTATTAATTTATTCTTACACAAACAGTTTTTATTTGCATAAGTATAGAGTACCTGTGTGTGTGTGTCTGGTGTCTCACTGTGGAAGGGGAGTGGCTCTCTGCATGGTGTGTTGGTGAGTCAGGTTCACAATTGAACAATGCATAATAGTGACAGAGGTGACACTCATACCTATAACCTCGTGCCCCGTAAAAAACTAATGGTATTACCCGTAATCGGAAAGAGTCCTGGTATATTAGGTGGTTGATGGTTCAGATGGGTGGTTTTGGTGGTGCTCGTGGTTTGTTGTGTTTCTGGTGCAAATGGTTGTTGGTATTGGTGATGCTCTTTGATTGTGGTGTTGATAGTGCTAATGCTTGGTGGTACAGATAGTTGTTGGTGTAACTGGTCAATGGTGTTGGTGGTAAAAAATTTTGGGGATACATATGGACGTTTGTGTTGGTGGTGGCATTAGGTGGTGCTGCAGTTGATTCATGGTGTGGATCTGTAGATGGTTGATCTTTGGGGAGATCCCTCAATTACTTTATCATACAAGCCTGATAAAGGTGGCCAAAACTGACTGACTTCATTACCGGTAACTGGAAGTAAGGCTGGCACTGCAGGCCTGCTCTGTGCCTAGGTCAGCTACTTATTGAGTGGGTTGTGGTGACAGTGTAACTTCTTTTCATATAAGTTGTCAGCCATCAGTGGTATTCTTGACCTCCAGTACTCATAATTAAGAGTATGGTTGTTATGAGAGGGTTGGCTGATCTTCATTTTAGCCCCAGCCACCTTAGTTTACAGTTTCTTGTGTTACAAGCACACGTAGTTTGGCAGACACAGACATTCACTGGTTTGGTTATAAGATAAATTTTCATAATCAATCCATAATTATTCTGCGGTATTTTTTGTTTCCGTTTATTATTTATTATTACTTCAACACAAACCCAAGTTTTCATTCAACTACATTGACAACTTTATACTTCGTTCCATTTACTGTGAAGCTTTAAAGGCATTTTCTGTGTGACACTTCAATAAAAATAATTCCTCTTTTACTCGCTTTCTGGAACTAATTATTTTTCTCTCACTTCCTCAGTATACACCAGATTCTCGGGAAAGTGGTGAAGCAATGGTAAGTTTACTTTAAATTGCTCGTGAGTTGCCTGACTGATGTGCCAAACTGTAAAATGTTATAGTTCCAGTTATTGGCATTTCTGTGTCCATTAAATTGCCTCAGATCCATAAAGTAGAGAAGTGCATAGATGTAGAATCCTCTAAAACAGTAGGAAATGGTGCATTCCTCTTTTATTTTCTGGCAAGTGCCTTCTAGCCAGGCAGCTCATTATACAGGTTGACATACTGTGAGAGCTTTTGAGTCCCTTAGATTGGAACCTCACCCTTAGCCTTGCTTAATCAGTTAATCTTTTTGGATATACTGACCACCCTTCCCGTCTGCTCTGCAACTTTGGCTTGAAGTGAGTGCAGGAGGTGTCTGTTGGCATAAGATCTCTGAACTGTGACTACTCAATTAACAATCGCCTTCCAGAGCAATGTCTGTGTCATTTATGGATCTGCTGAATCCACACAAATCCCAGTTGGATTGACTGATCAAACTATCATTTCCTAGCTGACTGTCTGAAAAGACAGAACACTGTTCACAACAGCTCTGGTCTGCTTTTATCTGAAAAAGTTCAGTAACAAGACCAGCTTCTAATACCTGAGGGATTTGTTGGCTACATACCCCAGGTTTAAGTGTTATCAATACAGTTCATAAAGGCTAAATTTCGTCTTGCATATACTGAGTCATTGTAAATACCACTGTACTGCGTATAACTTGAATTTTCTGCATTCAGCAATTAATTGGTTGCATTTATTTTTCGCGTACGAATGAATCCGCATTCTAAGAATGCGTGATAAAGGAGGCTTAAAAACATAACAAAAGAATTTTTACTTTTGAGACTCATCAATTCAAAGAGCTTTTACCACTTAAAAGCTCGTTAAAATGTAAGAGCATGTGGGATAGCAAGAAGAAACAACACAGAAGTTACTTTGTGTAGGCCTTGCAAGAGAAGTGTACAGTAGAAGAGAAAATAGAAGGAAAGAAAAAAATACCCTTCCACTCTTTGTGTTTGATCTCATTAACATTCAAGGGCTTTTCATTTATTTTGAGTCATAGAGGAGTTGTTGTTGACTGATGCTTGTGGCCCAGGTATAGTTTGTGAAGCCAAGGAAGAGGTATGGAAATTCATATAAAATTGAGTAAATTCCAGTGAAAAGTATCCACATTTATCCATTCTGTGATATTTTGGACCTTAACTGGTAATAACCCTATTTTGTGACTTTTTGTGGGTCAAGTCACACTTCAAACATAGTACAATTTTTCCCATGGTTCATGACCTCGTATAGCAGATTATCTTTGTTTACATATGCACAAGTCACTTGATCTGTACAGTATGCCAGCAAGACTCCCACAAATATAATGTTCAGTACTGTAGTGTGTACAGTATATGTTACTGGTCTTAACTTGATCATTGAAAGCTAACCAATTCAGGTGTTTGGTGATTAGTATTTGGAGAGATTTTGCACACATTGTTGCTATGAAAACAGGATGCAGTGTCCAATAAGATACAGCTCCTGTTTCATATCCTAAAAATCAGTGGGTTGCACCCAGAGCACCCACTGCTCACACAGCTGTGAATTGGTACCTAACTTAACATTTATTCCTTATATTTTTGAAGGCAAAGTATACAATCTGCACTGCTCCTAGCAGGCTGCCAAGCCTATGGGACCCCTTTCACAACTATGAAATATGAAACATTTTAGGTTGATGTGGTGGGATTTAAATTCCAGTATTATATTTGCAATTTCCAATAAGACTCTCCAGGTCCAAAACATATGTAAATTTATGACTGTCATTAAACTTTTACCCCTTGACTCATAATTTTTTAGATTTAGCTTTGCAATACAGTAATATAAATTAAGATACCATAATTTAAACTAATTTTGTGTCTGAAATAGTTTTCACTGGTCATTTTCTCAGTGCAAGCAGGATTCTAAAGAAGGTGAAGTAGCGGTGAGTCTATTTTCATTAATTTAATTTAAATATAATGAGATAACTGGTATAGTATTAAGGTTTTTCAAGGTCTTTTGGAGCATCTTAACTTCTGAGTGGTATTTACAATGAATGTGAAGAATTTACCTAAGATACACATTACTACTAATAAGCTGTAATGCTTTGTATCTCTTAATTTATACTGATTAGTCAAAATGCCGTTTATTTATATTTTTTTAATTTCTCCAATTCATCTCTTTAGTACAAATGGGATTTTAAAGAAGGAATTGAACTAGTGGCAAGTTTATACGTTAGTGTTGACACTTATACAGTACTAATACAAGTATATAAGTTGTTTAAATGTGGCACCTGTACACATTGATTCCTTCTTACCCTGTAGGTACAGTATTACCTCTCTATACTGAAATTCGCTATACGCTATACTGAACCACTCCTCAGATTCCAGTTTTATCTCTCGTTACCGAACGAATTTGCGATACAGTATATCGAACCCTCTACCAAACCCCTCTCCAAATATCTCGTACTGTAGTCAGTCATAATACTCTAATAATAATAAAATAGAAATAATAAAATAATTTGCTGTACAGTATTAATAATAAAAATATTGATTACTTTGTCCTCTTGTGTAAAGGAAATTTTGGTTTTCGTTCCTACTGCCTTGTTCTTTGTGACCTTTGTGCACGGAGAAACTCCTCATGTTTTTGTTTTTTTCAGACTAAGAAGCTGTTATTTTTGCATCAATTTGACACCAATTGGCTTCAGAATTTCTTGGGCTTTCATATAAGTAAAAAAATACCCGCGGGATGCAAAAATTATGAGGTTTTCAATGGTGCAATCTGATTTTTTGCCATGACTAATACTTTTATTGTACTGTAACTTATTAAAAATTGGAAAAAATTAGCGAAAAGTAAATTTTTTTTGTACTTGTGCTACAAAAACACCAATCTCTTTAAATAAAAAGGTTTTCTACACATAACAATAAATTTTATAATATTCATATTTTAAAATGATAATGTGTAGTTAACATTATTTTTAAGAGATTGGTGCTTTTGGTTTTCACATAGCGTGTATGGTTTGGTGGTAATCAAATTTATGCCCCCCCCCCCCATAAAAAAAATACAAAAATAAATAAATAATAATAAATAAAAAATATATATAATTGGAGTAACTTTGCTACTTCCCCCTACTGCATACAAAATAATAAAACTAATTACAGTACAGTCAACCCTCGCTTTACACGGTCCCACATTACGCGTTTCCACGTTTACGCGGTACCCTGCCGAAACCGGAATGCTCAATTTCCGCGGTGCGTGTACCCCTTTACGCGGAGAGCGGCGCGAGCAGGGTGCGCACAAGGTCGCCCAGTCATCAAAACATTACCGAGTTCTTCACCCGCCACCCACCACAGCCGGCCCAAGTCAGAGATAGTGATAATGATAGTGAGAATATGGACTTATATGGACTTTGAGGGGTTTGACAAAGAGGCCCTGCACGCCTCTGTGGTGGATAGTGTTACAATTGATACAAGTGATACAGGTGAGGGCCAATAATCTGCCCTCTGCCTCGGAACCAACCTCCCATCCCCGTGTGCCCAGCCATCTTTTTTACTAATGTAAGTGTTAAAAAACCTAATATTATTTATATTTCTCTTAATTATTAATTGTGTGTGCATACCATCATAAAATTAAGAAGTTATTTTTACTACAACGTAGGTATTGTGTCTGAAAAAGTGGAGTTTGGGGGTCGGCCCGGTCTCTATTTCAATTAATCCCATATGTTATGTTGTTCACTTTACGCGTTTCTCACTTTACGCGGGCCGCCGTGGGTTGAATTAACCGCGTAAAATGAGGGTTCACTGTATTATATAAACTTCAATGACTGTATACAGTAGGTGTGTAGTTTAAATGAAGTGGATGTGAAGTGGAGATGATGTGGATGTGTAGCAGATATGTTGTGGACCTGTGGGATATGTAGTCAATATCAATAAGTTGCATCCATCATCGGTCTCATTCTAATTGCGCTTCACTATAACTTCAAGTTAAGTTTCACAGTACGTACAGTACATGTATTTATTACCTTACATTTTTTCATAAACAAATCATTAGTTTTACATGCTTAACTGTTGGTAATTATTTCTTATTTACATCATAATTCATAATTAGTAATATGTTTATACAATGCATTGTCATCCATCCATAACATCTTGTTATTAACTGAGTCACAACACACGATACGGCTACAGTATCAGCAGATGACTCGCCGTTCGTGTTGACATTTATTGACGGCTGTGTATCGGCTTTCTTCATTTGATAATTATTTATTAAACTTTGAAAAATTTATTTAATGAAAACAGGATTAAAAACATGTCATATCCACTAGACAGCCACATCATCTCCATTACACACCCACATCATATCCACTACACATCCACTTAGCTCACACTACACAACCTGGGAGGCCACCCATGCCATGCACACTCAGTAAAAAAAGTATCTACAATTCTTGTGCGAAACAAAATGACACCATTCATGAAGGTTTTTGATAAAGGCTCATGAGACATATTATTATTCACCAATAATATTGCAACAAACTAATTTTATATTTTGAATGAAATAACTAAATTAGGCCTGCCATAATAGGTAGGAAATGTCTCACAGTCAAGCTTACCAACCCTAGCGAGACAACAGGATTGTTCACTTCCAAACTCATTGGGGCCCAATGAGTTTGGAACAGCGTTGTTTACGAGAAAGTTGATAGTGATTGTGAAGAGTGCTTACTGATAAAGTTAGAGACAGGGTAACAGATGTTAGGCCTGAGTGAAGATAGAGTAGAGACGATGGTGTATTTCAGATATCTGCAAGTAGGTGTGTCAACGGTGGAAGGAAGAGTGATGAATTAAACCACTGAGTGGACAGAAGGAAAGAAAGAACAGTCATACTTGCAAATATGTGACATAATAGTAAGCAATTTATAATGTTTGATAAATCAATTTGTTCCTTTATTTAGAGTGATTACATGGGTTTCTTAGATGTTTGAGCACTGTTCCTGGGCTGGTGATAAAAATATTGGGTAGCCTTCTGCCAACAATCTTGGTTGCACTTACTCTCAAGGTCAACAGTGCCACTCATCTCTCACTCTGTTATGATCACAGAGTGAGTTATGTGTGTTACATTATAGCTTTCTTGTGTTTCTCTCATCTGTTTACAGTATTGTAATTTAAGGGCTTTCAAGCATCCTCTACAATCCGGAGAATTGTCCCACATGTTAATAATGGCTACATGCTTGTCTGTCTCACCAGGTACGTGGTGTGGAGATGCCTGAAGGGTAAATGGGATAATAGACATAAGAGTTGGTTTCTCTCTATATTGGATAATGAGAAACCCTTGAAAAAATGGATTTGAGACTCGCAGAACACTTGCTCTAGGTATTATAGGAAGTCTTCTAAAGAGTTCTTCTACTCTCTCTCACACTTAAGTAATATCACACTCAAGACACAGTGCTTGTTCTAGGTTTATAGGGTACTTTCAGACATGGTAGCCACAGGGATTAATTTTCAAGATATTGGGCAGCTTAAGTGAACAGATAAATGACTTGATGAGGTGTAGGCTAAGCCAGTTGTCTTCCTTCAGTACTGATCAGTTTGAGCAGTTGTTATATTGGCCCGATCATTTTGTGCCAACAGCAGTCATTTAGTGACAAGCTTTCATTTGATGCGACCTGAAAAGACTTTTTGACTCCCACAGATCACTCGGTCACCAGTTCATAAAGACTTAATTATCTTCAGCTTTCATATAGCCACTGTATGATTTGACGCCCCAATGTCAGTCCAGTTGGTGTGTGCACAATGCTCATTTTAACTGTACATCACGTCTTTGTTCTTAAACAAAAATAAAGGATAAAGAAAGGGAATGTTATTGTCATTGTTCAGGTTATTTCTCTGTTTATTCAGAACCTTTGTGTACTGTATCTGCTCATTCATTTTTTGTCTGAATATTGCTAACTCGGTCATTAATCTCCCCTCCCTCCCCCTGTGTACAGGGTTTTGTGGCATAACCATTTTTATTACATAAATATTATGTTAACATCTTGTATGTGATTTGTACCTTGTGCTACTTTTTTGTGATGTAACCTCATGTAAGGTACAAAAATTGTATTGAATGTTTACTTAAGGGCAGAGCCCAAGCATACCTACTTCAGGCCCGGCACTCATCAAATGACTGCCTCACTCTTTACCATCTTCATAGGCAGTAAGTCCACTGTAGTAACGAGACTTTGTCTCATAGGCCCTTCAGGTTTCCAGGTCCTGGGACAACCGTTCCTCTAGACCCTATCTGCTTGGGCTCTGCATAAGAGGACCTTTAAATATAGAAATAAAAAAAAGCAACTTTTAAAGGTACCGGTAATTTATATTTTAGTATGGTTTTCACTGCCACCTCACCCCTACAGGGTTGTCAGTTCCCAGTCAAGCATCAAAGATGACAGGGATTGTACAAGTATATTCAATATTTTACAGTATACTGTACTGTACTGTATACTTATCCCCCTTATTTGCAAATTTACTTACTGTACTGTATTCATGAAAAATTATTAATGACCGATTATTCAAGATTTGCAATTGAAATTCAGCTATCTGCAAGGCTGTTATAAATTTTTTGACCGACTGTTGGCAGATGCGCATCTTTCGCACACACTCCATTGTTAGTCAGTTCTCTCGTGTGCCGCACCGCCCTTCCCCTCTCACTCCACCCAGTACATGGATGTGGGAAGGGAGGGTGCTGTAGGATCCCAATATTTTTGGTATAAGGTGCTATACAGTACAATGCACCACAGAGTATGTAGGACACCAGAATTAATATTCGGCATCCCCTGGTAAAATTTGATTCCCACGTTACTGACCCAGTAACATCCCCATTTACTGTATATCAGGTCACTGTATGCAGAATGTCTCTACTTTTACTGTAAATATAATGTCATAGACTTTATTTAATTTACAGTGTCTGAATTCCAACTACTGTACACTGTATCCGAATCTTCCCGGTATCCAAACTTTGTCCCCTTTGGTCCTGTTCGGCAAAAATTCTAATTTGGTTCAACCAACCAAACACAACTGAAGTCATTCATTCATGCTATAACTGCTTTGTTTAAAAATTTTTATGATAAACAATGAAACTGATACATAACATATTATAAAATACAATAGCACATATTTTATGTACAATAAATAGCTCCTTCCACACACAAAACCATCATCTGGGTGATGCCACACAGTTCAGCCAGGTAGTCAGCCAGGTGACTCTGAAGACGTGTGTGTGTGTGTGTGTGTAGGTGTTTGTATGTATGCTTTGACGTCACATCAGGGGAGGGAAGCGGGTGAGACGGTGATGCAGTTCAGCTCACTGCCTCCATGCATAAGTTAACCTCCCACACATACACACCTGTGCTCTTTATTTTTCTTATTTTATAGTTTTATATTAGATTTTGTATACCGTATTTCTAAACCACATTAGCGTATTGTAATTTTTACTTTCTTGCTCTATATTAAAGAAAATGGTCATTGAGAAAACAATTATTTTTGTTAAGATTTATTAATTTGTATTACAAAAACTCACTCCTTATAAACATCAACACCATCTCTGAAACATTTATCATTTCTTACCCAAAAATATTATGACAAAAATGATAATCTTGGTAGCCATGGTACCATACCCTATTTTTTCTATAAGGTATTAAATTCAGTATTGTATTTGCGAATTCACCATTTGCGACAATTTCTAAGAACGGGGGATAAGTACTGTATAGTCTGCAGCACAGTCCAATGATACAAATGCTGTAATTGAAGATTTATTATTCTATCATTGTGTGTACTGCATGTGTGTGTGTGTGAGAGAGAGCATGCACACAATGTTGGAGCATGGTATAACTTGATAACCACTAGTTACAAGTGTCTTTGACATCACTCACACACCTCTGTTTCTCTCATCTACGATATCAAGTGCATGGTATAGGTTACTTACATGGTCTTATTAATACTTTTTTTTTACTTCAGTATAAATAGAAAAGAATCTTATAATGTTTGGAGGATTTCCTTTCCATTTGCAGGATAAAGGTATGATGATTTTTATTTTAGGGGGTATGCAGGGTAGGGAAGAAGGCCTGGCCTCTGTATTGTACAGTACCAGAGAATCTGCTACACCTCAGTCTGTATGCTGCCATAATAAGTCTGATCTTAAGAGGCACTACTGTACATATCCATTCCTTCTATTCCTTCTACTGATATGATTTTCAATCCTGTGGGGAAAAGATTCAAGTACAAGTGTGTCATGCAAATTGAAGGTGGTATGCACCACCATGCTAATGCACTGTAGGGAATTCAGGTAAATAGCTGAAGAGAAAACTACTTTTCTTTAATGTTCTTAGAATTTCCTCATTGAATTCCCAGCTGCTAGCTAGCCTCATCTTTTTAAGAAAGATGGGAAGGATTATTATATTACTCTCTATTGTTGATATTTTATATAATTTTTGAGATTATCAAATCTGACATACTGTGCTGAACTCTTGTGTTTACTCAGGAAATTTAATTAAGATTAATTATTCGATGCTCACCCTCAGCACAAACGGGATGCTAAAGATGAAAGTGAAGTTGTGGTGAGTTAACTCTTATTTGTCACAGTGTAATGAAGTCTTTGGTGCATTTACAAAAGTCATATTTACTATCTTGAATTATATTTGAAATACTGTACAGTACTGTACGTGCAAAGGAGTTGGGAGAAAATGTATATTGTTGTTGTCTCCTTCTATCACATAGATATAAAGAGGGACCAAGATGTCACTCAACAATTCTCTATTTGACAGTCTACCTGTACCTGTACCAGTAGGTTTGTTGAGCAACTTCTGAGCCCCCCCTGTACACTGTACTACTTAACCTAAGATAACCACATATTTTTGAGAATCTACAGAAATAAACCACATAAATATCTTGGGGCCTCTATAGCCCAGCATTGATTCAAGGAGACTTGTGCTTTTACTCAACAAGTCTGAGTTGCAATCCATGCCAACCCTCTCTCTATCTCTTATCTGTTTCATTTATATCTCTCTCTCTCTCTCTCATGATTATTTTGTACTCAGACACACACACTGTCCCCACCCTACATGGTTTTGTTTCTTCCAACCAAATTTCATGTACTGGTATACTGAACTTGTTACATCTGTAGAGATGCTTAGTTCAAGTGTATAGTTATTGTGTAAATGGTGGATTGGTCTTGAGATTACATTTTATAAGAAAGTCAGGAAAGGGCAACTTGACTTTGCTCCCTCCTCCCTTTTGGGAATTAAAGTTGGCTGGTCCTGGTGACACCCATCTTGTCAACAAAAGCAGCTGGAGCATGTGTGTTTATAGTTAGCGGCAAAAACTCATCAACCCTCTATAAGGTCCCTTCATAACATGTGCCTCTTCTTGGAAATATGAATGAGTCCTTCACTAAATTTTGGGCACCAACACCACCTCACAGCTGATTTATTATTGTCACGTTGACACTGGTAAACAGATTTTTCACTGTCACCTCGATATTACCAGATGATATAAAGTGTCTACACCAGCCAACTTTAGTCATACATCAGCTTACACCAGCCAGCTTTAGTCATAAATTAGACTACACCAGCCAGATTAAGTCAAACATTAGCCTACACCAACCATAATTTAGTCAAACATTAGCCTACACCAGCCAGATTTAGTCAAACATTAGCCTACCCCAGCCAGATTTAGTCAAACATTAGCCTACCCCAGCCAGATTTAGTCAAACATTAGCCTACCCCAGCCAGATTTAGTCAAACATTAGCCTACCCCAGCCAGATTTAGTCAAACATTAGCCTACCCCAGCCAGATTTAGTCAAACATTAGCCTAAATTTAGTCAAACATTAGCCTACAGCCAGATTTAGTCAAACATTAGCCTGTGCTAGCCAGATTTAGTCAAACATTAAGCCTACCCCAGCCAGATTTAGTCAAACATTAGCCTACTCCAGCCAAATTTAGTCAAACATTAGCCTACACCAGCCAGATTTAGTCAAACATTGGCCTTTGCTAGCCAGATTTAGTCAAACACAGTAATCTTGCTAACCTCTCCCCTTTCACTTTCAGCACCCAGTACTGTACCTTGAACATACAGGCATTTCATAATTTACGAAGGGGATCCGTTCCTGAAAACACTTGAGTGAATTTTTTTTTGTAAAATGACACATTTTCCCATAGACTCCCATTATAAAAGCTGAGATACATTCCTAAAAAATGTCTAAAATGCAACAAAACATATTTTATAGGTCAATAATAAACATGCAGTACAATATAGTACAGTACAGTAATGACTATTCTGCATAGTATATCCTTACAAGAAACTGGCTGAGATTTAAAACAAAGTGAACAGTATAGAGCACTAAGCCAGTATCTGAAATATTTTTTTTTTACAGTACTCTACATTAATTCCCATTCTGTAATTGGAGATAAGTTCTCTACAAAAATGAATCACACACTCGACCCCTGATGAGTTATTGTATCATACAAAATTCCCGTTGCTTTGTTTACATGATGTGAAAGCTGCTGTCAGTCAGTGGGCACTACACTCGTACTCTCATGTGTTCCTTTAGTACAGTACAGTACCCACATCTCCAAACTTTTGTTCACAAAGTTTTCCAAAATTTCTCAACTTTGCACCTTTATTGTACAAAATTAGCTGAGAAAATTAAAGAATACAGAATAAGTTTCTTATATTTAATTTTTCACATAGGTACTGTATTACATGAGAGTAAATGATTAGTAATTGGCTGAGTGACTGTGTTGGCGAGGATGAGTATTTGTCTGCAGTGAGTTTATGGAGTAAAGCTAGGATTCCATTCACGCGGTAGCGTTAGCGCCAAAAATGGATCACATTGAAATGTACACCATTGTTTCCATTGGCACGGTTGCATTAGCGTTATGCTTTTTCAGTACATGCCAATTGCTCCTTGTAGCGATTCAAATGCAACTGCATGGAAACGGATATGGAAATTCCACAGTGACATCACTATCCCTTTGTTTGCACTTCTCGCCCAGCAAAATGCCTCGAGGGAAAAAATTATGTCGAGGAGACTGAAAAGTTGATTTCACTCAGAATATATCCCAACTTATTTTTGTAAGCCCTCAATAACTCGGCATTTGATAACTCAGAATTTCACATAACTCGGCATGGATATGGTCTGGGAATGTATTATAGTATAACTCGGGTAATGCCGAGTTATATAAAATTGTCTGGGAAAATCTCGGCATATCTGGCCACCTGCATCACCTACCATGCCTCTGTGTCACCTACTGTGATGCTTCATTCTTTGCCTGCAGTGCTGGTAAGTATTACTATTTTACATTTAGTAATTACATGTACACATATGTGGATCAATAATTTTGTTGTTGTATTTTATTAAGGAGGGAGGAAGTGCCTCGATAGGTCGGAATTTAGGATAACTCGGCAAGGCCAGGTCCCCATATGTGCCAAGTTATCGAGGGTTCACTATAGTACATTTAAAAAACCTTTATACAGTACTGGATATCATTATATGAGATCCATACATTTTTGACACAACTGTTTTCAAATGAAGGTTCGTGGTCTCAATAACAGGTTCACTGGAATACTAATATTTGTGTCACATAATATTTATCTATGGTACCTATTATTTCCTATTTATAAGCATATTGTACATATTGTACATATTGCAAGTCACCGCCTTGGGCAAATGACTTCTCTGTTCCTGCAGTGTTTCACCAAATCTTCAACCATGAAAAGGACATGTGATAGCTGTTGTCTGCTCAGACGAAAATATTTTTTGTATTTTTCTTCATCCAAGCTCAGGTCTTATACCAGAGTACTTGTACTGTAGGCTCCATATTTGGAGGTTAAAAGCAAATCATCCTGTTCATATAAATAGCGTCGTAGCTTCGAGGCATTAGGCACCATCTTTCCTCTCCTGTTCCAGCTAGAAAGACAGCTGCATGCATATGGAAACGGGGTGTCCATTTTTCAGGGCAATTTAACGCAAACGCATACCGGTACTGCAAATGCTTATGTGGAATCCTAGCTTAAGTTATATGGTGATTGTATGAGAGTGATGACACATTGAAAGCTTATTTTTAGACTTAGCACTTGCGAACCGACATATTTGTAACATCATCTACTCCTATGCACGCGGCTAGTTGTGACCTGAGCTATTTTTCAGCAACCGGTTTATTTATTTATTTTTTTAAACATCTACATTGTACCTAAAATTGGTTGCTATTTCACATTAAAGAATACAAAATGGAAATAAGAAAAAAGAAATAGTTTTGATAATGTGGTTAAGCATTATACAGTAGTATATACAGTAGGTAGTTTTCAACACAAACAACTTGTATTTTATCCAACAAAAGTTCAAGAACAGGTACTGTAAATACAGTAAGTGTCATACAGTACTTCAACAAAAAGTGAAAAAAAAAATTTAAGCTTTATATGGGTGAAATCAGAAATTGTATAGGATTAATAATAAGGCTGATATACTGTAAAGAGAAAAATGGAAAATTGGGAAATTTTCCAAAAATGTTCACTTTCTTTTTAGTTTAAACCATTACTTTTTTTTCATTGGTTAGTATAAGTATCTAGGTATGGTGTGTTATGGTGGTTTTAGAATTTTGCTAGCATGTACAGTTTGTCTGTAAGCAATTTTAGAATAAAAAAATCCACCCCCAGCAGTTCACATACAGACAACGGTTACAAGCTTGAATCAGTTGAAATTGAAATATAATCTAAAAAAACATTTCTGAAAACTAATAAATATTTTACAAACAGTTTTGAAGGCAATATTAGTGCACAGTGAAGGACAAGTAAGAGAGAGAGAGGGACAACATGAGAAAAATTAAAGGGAAAGTGTGCAGCACATGCTTGCTTGACTGCTGGGAGGCTATTGAAGTGCTCAAGTCTCATGCTAGGAGAGGTTGCCATATATCTGATTAATGTTGGATTACCATAAGGGAGAATGGTTCAAGGAGTGTACCGGCGTACTGTCTTTTGTGATTTTTTCTTTTAAATGACACGAGAATGGCGTCGGTGCCAATTGAACGAGACTAAAAATGGACGCAAATATTGAGTGATGGTGCGTGAGTGTTAATAATGTTGTTAGTGTTATAGAATAATAAAATAAGTTTGTGAAATAAGTAAGCACACTGGTAGTAAAAAAGAATTGTAATAGTATATTTTTTTTATACTCCCCTCTGCCACTTATCAGCTTACTAGCCATTTGGGCGGTGTTAGTACAGGAGGAAACCATAGTCCAGGAAAGGTGTGATTTTTAGATGGGTCACAAAGGATAACACCCTTCCCACATGTGTTCTGGCCACCGAGTACTCAAACCCTTGACATATTGGTGAGATATACACACACATTACTGTTGTACTACCAGAAATTAAAAAAAATAAATTGCAAAAATGGTGAAAATTTTATTTTGGGATTTTCGTTCATAAATCAAATCACGAGACTTCGTAACTTATATTTTTTTGGCGAACCGAACCCCCGTAAATCTGGGAACTGCGTGTAATAAAAAACAGCACACTCCCATTCCTCCATATAACTTATTATTAATTATTGCACTTAGTGTACTTGTTGTATCAGTCCTGTGAATAAGAGGGAGTATGCAGCGTACTCCTGTTGGCATGAATGTGTGCATGACTTCCTTTGATACATTATTGCCACACCACCAAAATCAACTTATACTTAAATGATACAGTATACTCATGTTTTATTTCATTTGTATTGTAATTATTATATTTTAAAGTACAGTACAATGAAACAGATTACTGTATATGGAGAGGAAAATCCATTATATCAAAGGTCCATTAGATGTGAAACCTCCCTCTAATGGATTATTAGAGGTTTCACTGTATATTGTGACCTATGTATGAAAATAGTCACTTTTGCTATAATTTTCTCTGTCACTCATTATCCCGTGGACAAGACCAAATTACTGTACGTACTGTATCACTTTTGGGGTAACTCATTCCTAGGTTAGGAACCCATGCCCTTATTTTACTGGTGATACTGTGTGAGTTTCTTGATCACAACTCCTGTTATAAAATGGGATCTTAGGATTGGTCCACCATTTTCACTTTCCAAAGATCATTTATTCTCTGCGGAATCTTATTTGTGTACATGTTTCCTTAATCGTAGTACTGTACAGTATACAGTGCCGGACAGTATTTATGATGTGGAATTTTTTTAATGATTTATCAGTGACAAGATGAGGAGTCACCGAGTAACAGTTATGTTATTGTGAAATTGCACAATGCTTTGACTATGAGAAGTTTTTTCCTTAACTGTATAATTATGACATTTGCTAATAATGGCATGTGATACACTTAAAGGAGAGCAATATATCCTTGAAACAAACTCTGTTGGAATGTTACAAACATGAATATTCTCACACTTTCTTCTACAGATATTGTGTTATATATCTTTTGTGATAGTCATAGGACATGGCTTCCATACTACTGTACTATAATCAGCAACCTTGGTGCACAGGCTCGAGCATTAAGTTGCTTTTTTATTGTTGCCGTAGAGAAGTATTTTCATGTATAATTGAAAATATTATTGGTGAAAATGATATTAATAAAATGTACAAAGATAGAATTTAGCCTTAAAAACTGTAGGTGTTTTAAGTGACTCATATATATACATACAGTATAGTTAAGAAATCACATTGGTGTACTATAATGCTGCTCTGTCCCCTAGCTCAAACAAGAATCTCCAAAGGATGGTGAAGTAATGGTGAGTGTACTGTTAGGTTTTAAGATTATAACACTGACTAATCAAGTTTCATATGACTCCCAACTTTTGGAAGTTGGTGGGTATTATAGAAATTTATTGTCAGTCAGTCTTTCCATAAGTTGACTTGAGTTTTTTTTAGTTTTTTATTAGAGCATAACTCAAAACTATTTCAAGAAGCATCTTGAAAGTGTACATGCAAATTAGTCCTGGTGATAAAGAGATGCTTTACTAAAAAGTTGATAGGAATTTTAATACCCTGTACTGTGTTACGGAAGTATTGATGACTATGTTTTCTGGTTTTAAGTGTGTCCATAATGGAAAAAACTCACAGGAGACAATATAGTACTGTAATATTTTATCTTTATGTATTTCTTAGATAATTAATTTGTTTTGCTTTAGCTAGTCCTTGTTCAGGCATATGTCAATATTTTTTATAGTTTCCAAGGGAAGGACGCTCGTTAGAAGAAAGTGGAGCTGGGTCGCGACGAGGAGGACGCAAACGTGTGTTTGTATTGCAGTCTCGCATCTTCCTTCAGGCCTTTACTATGACATTCTTAGCTGAATGGGGTGATCGTTCCCAGATTGCTACTGTTGTCATGGCAGCAAGAGAAGTAAGAAAATAATTACACTATAACTGTACCATAGTATTGTATATATTAACAATGTTGGTGGAACTGTATTTAAAATTTGTGGGTGTTAATGTTATCAAATTTTCCTTTGGAGGATCTTATGGGGTTAAGTTTATGTTTATGAACAATTTTATGTCAACATGTTAGTAATTATGAGAATTTGTACTGTTATGTTTGTCTCTTTGTACTGTATCCACAAACTGTCTTGTCGGATGGCTGATGCATAGTTTCCTCCCTATAACATTTTTCCTTATTCAAGACTCCATAATTGTGCAATTTCATCTTATAATATCTCTCTGCCTAGCCATGCCCTATACAATTACTGTTTTTTTTTTTTTTTACAATTAATTGCCCTGAAAATTTTTTTTTCCCTCCAGACTGTGTCCTAGTTCAAAAGGTTTGTTTTTCCTTATGACAGGACTTGCTCTAATTATAATAGATTAAGCTTGCCATGATAGCCTAGGTGAAGATTAGATAATAAGTATTATAATCTGTGATATCCCTCGTCAACCTAACACTGGTTTACCTGAAAATCCACCTACTCCTCATGTGCAAGCATCAGCTTGAAGATAAGCTAATGATTTACTTTCTGACCAAGGAGACATTGGGAAATGATCCACTTGGCTATTACTCCCCTATATTAAGAATTGAAGGAAGTAAAATTATATGTGAATGCTTCAGTACTACATATAATAAAATTGGAATCATTGATAGAAGATTGGAATAGCCCCAGTTGCAAGACATTCCATATTCTACTTACCTAAATCTACCGCCTCTTAGGGTCAGGTCTGCTGAAATGTCTCAAGTCATAGCAATGATGTGGAATGATATTTTGGGCAGAAAATCTTGATATGGATAATCTGTTTACAAGGTATTGTACTAAGAAGTAAAGTTCCACTGGGCCCCTTTCTTTTGGGAAGTTTTTGGGGAGAAGTTTCATCTTGAAGCAAAGGTCTCTTATTAATTGGGTCAGCACATGTTATTGTGACAACTGATATCAGGGTAGAGGCCTTGTCAAGAAGTAGGGTAAGACAGTGATGGGGCGATTGATTAAAAAAAAATTTTCACGACTTTTATATCTGGGAATTTGTCCATTAGTGAGCAGGTGTGCAGTACTGTATTGATAATTATCTCCACCTTGACCATATTACACACAATCCAAAGGACGGTTAAGCAGGAATGGATTGAACAAATGAAGGATTTCATCATTGATAATTAATTCATTTTGTCATGGTAGGTTTTTACTTCTCTTCCACTTCAGGTTTGTATGACTATTCTTCTGCTTTATTCTCCTTCCTTGAGTCAAAGAGTAGGTAGAGATGTAGTCTTGTGTCTTTGCCCTTAGTTTGCCCATTGCTTGTCTTAATTCCCTTGGTTTGACTAGCTATTTTTAATGGAGATTGTTTGATTTGGTTACATTCTGATTTTGAGGCTTCTTTGATTTCAGGGTTTGTTTATTTGTTTTTAAATATGAAAATATACCTGTAAGTTTTAAGAACTTGCATTTTTTTGTGAAAAATGCACATATGGTGTGAGCCACCACAAAAACAAGATTCATCTCTTCACCACAGTTCAACCAGGGTAGATAAATTATTTATACTGGCATGAAATATTTTGTGTAAAAGATATTATCATACTTAAATGGTAATAACAATGATAATTAATATTGTTTTTCCAGGATGTAAGTGGTGTAATTGTTGGTGGACTGCTGGGTCATTTCTTATGCACAGGACTTGCCGTAGTTGGTGGTCGTATAATTGCTGCTAGAATATCTATCAGAACAGGTGAGAATAAGAAGGTTTGAAATAATATATTTTTTTAATAATATCTTTCGTGTTGCCTTACTCCCATATAGAACTACTCTCTGAGGGAATATTACGACAGAATCCTCAAGTGTGCCTTATTACTCCTACCTTTTCTTTCCTCCCCCTCCTTGTCCTCCTCCGTGCCTCTTATCCCTTTCCATGTTCTCTTTGTAATGTTTTGTTCCACCTTTCCCACACATCATTTTGACCATCATATCCTGTAGCATCCATCTCACATGATCCACTCCATCACTCTTCAGTTCACATCTGCTCTTGGACATTCTGAACAATACTTTACAGACACCGTTTTTATACGTGTACAAGTTAATCTCATTGATAAGTTGACCCTCAACTTTTTGCTCGAAAATCCTAAATTTTCCATGCATCTCATGATTAAGTCATCTGTGGGCCTGGTGCAGCATTTCAGTATTTTGGCTAATATGTTGATGAACTATTTTTAGACTAAAGTGCCCTCTCATTAATGGGCTTGTCACCACACTTAGCGGCATATTATTATTTTATAACATACCTTATATAGTTCTATCAGATTTGGTGTAATAATTATTCCTTTCATTTAGCTTTTATGACATAATTATGAACAGTATAAGTTATTAATTAATAAAACACCTTATGTACAGTCACAATCCAAAGTTTCTTTACACCCTTTCCCTCCTGGTTGGAGGGAAGGCAAACCCATAGTTAAAGAAAGGCCAGGTGAGCGGGCATACACTCTGCTTTGTGCTGTCATATTACTTACAGCATTAATATTCATAAAATAATTATAACCCTGCTAACATATCATATTGTGCCTCATCACCAAACTAGTGAATTGAGTGTGTGTCTGTTTGCCTGGCCTTTCTTCAACCTCAGCTTTGCCTTCCCTCCAGTCAGGAAGGGGGGGGGGTGTAAAGAGACTATGGATTGTGACTGTACTGTACTCATGTCTTGGTCACATTTTTAAGACCAAATCTTTGGGTTAAGTTAGGAGACTCATTTTAATCTTATGGCTGCTGGAGGTTTCCCTAAGCTTAATAAAATTGTCCAGAATGAAATTATAGAGTGCATGAATTGCCACAAAAGGGTTACCGGTAAATGCATGTAATTTCCTTGGGGTTGAAATTCATGCATGCTTAGGTGTTCTAAAAGGGTAGAATGAGCTGTGGATATCACTAGGGCCCAGGGCATGATATTTAACATAATTTTTAATGTGTTTTTGTATTTACATTTGATTACTTTTTGTTTTGTTAAAAATTCTCAAATATCTTCATTTAAGTCAGTCTCAAAGCTTATTGATGATTAACACCATTTATGATGTACTCATATTTTTTTTTCATTCACTTTGTATTTGTTTAATTGAAAATATTATAAAAAAGCTTCATTCATTGTAAGTCTACCTATTTATATATTATTTCTAACATTCATATTTTTTCATTTGATATATGAAGCTATGCGGACCATAACTTTGTAAGCAACACCCCGGCCAAAATTTTTTTGTTATGTCCCACTGTCATAACACATCTATTGGGTCTCAATTCCAAGGCCGAGGGAGTGTGAAGGTGTCGAAAATCCCAATTCTGTAAAGGGATTGTCAGCTGTAAGTTCACGGTGCTATTGTGGGCTGTGCTCTCGCTCCTCTCCCCAGCCTGCTGAGACACTCCAATGGGAGCGGGAGGTGAATGATACGTAGGGAATCGCATGACCGCATGATCCTCTGTGTGTGTACATTATTTTGCATGCAATAATCTTTTTTTTTATTGGGCACTCCCCTACATCCTTGTGTAAGGTGAAGCGCAGAAGCGTTTACAGCGCCCAACAGGGAAGCATGCTAAGTTCATGCTTGCCTCTATGTTTCATGAGTTAAGGGCGTAGAAGCCTGAAGTCAAGGGCATAGAAGCCTGAAGAGTCAGTGGTTTATGTCATCAAGTTATTGGAAGCTCCAACAACTCCCTGAAAATGATTTTGCAACTTTTGACTTACAACAGGTACCTACTTTACTGCTAGGTGAACAGGGACTAATGGGGACTAGGAAGTAAGTCCAAACAACTTCCACCGGCCCGGGAATCGAACCCGTGACATCTCGCTTGCGAGGCAAGAACGGTACCGCCTCTACCACCGGTCCCCCCTCCCCCCTTTGTTTGTATTACCATATCTTTATTTCCAACATTTATGTAAAAAATTTTGCCAGAAAATGCAGTTAAGGTGATTATTATGGTGATCACAATAATATCTTGGACATTTTCAGTATTGTACTGATTATCATTAGTTATGATGTCCATAAGTATCATATATCAAAATACAGTACAGTACTAAAATTTCATCAGAATCTAATGCCTCTAAATTGCTAAGGATATGATAATCTCCATGATTACTAATAATCACAACAAAATTGTTATTACCTGATTGTGGCAACATAATCCTGAGTATGTAAGCTTCAATTTGATACAAGAATGATTGCACTACCACAATTAGTTAGAGATTTACAGTAGTGAGTTACATTTTCCCAAACTTTAACCACGTTTTCTAGTGTTTTTCTTTTTTGGCGCAATTAAGTTATGGCCTGCATAGCCTCATATTTCTTTCAAAAACTCTCAAAATGTTTTGTTCGACTATATTTTTAACATCCTCTACTACTGTACTGTGATTTACATTAGGTTTTATTAATAGCCCAGTAAAATTAGCAAATTTTTACTCAAACGTCAGAAAAGAATTGGGGACATTTCCCCTAAACCCACTTAACCCCTTCACTCTGGGGATGCCACTTTTAATATTTTATTTGGCTAACAGCAGACAATTTATTTAACAGAGAGTGGATCCCATACACAAGTGGTTAATATATAACACTATGGCCACAGGGGTGGGCCAAGAATGACATTGGGTGAGATTGTAAGAAATGATATTAGAGTTAAGAACCTGACAAGAGAGACTGCAAGAGACTGCTGCATGAAAAGCCACCATCAGTTAATCAGAGCTAACACTCGCAAGTGTGGAAAATAGCCATAAAATGTTGGCGATGAACTTTAGGATAAATTAGGAAAAATTGGGCTGCCTGGGTGCTTGGAAGACCCGAAAATAAGGTCAATAATATTTTTCATGTTTTTAAGATATGAAATTCATGCCAAGATGAAAAGATTTCAACCTCTTGAAAGTATTATTCATATCTAAGCCAACCCTCCTACTTTTTCCCTAAAAATGTGATCATAAATGCTCATACTATATCTGGCACCCCACTATTTCTTGGGTAACTTTTTTCTGTAGCTTGAATTTTCAAGCATTCTGTTGTACTCCAAGCCCATATTTCACTGTCATATGTAGAAAGGATTATACTTCTCCATTCTTTCTTCACCTCCAAGCTTCTACTGCACATCTCACCTTTGCATTTGGGTTGTCCAGACTGATTTTCAGGCATCAATCCTCATGCATCCTTGGTCACACCTCTCACTGAACAGGTTGTTTCTCCGGTGCATAGATCAGCCTGTCTATTAGAAAGTATTTGTATACCGGATATGGAGAAGGAATCTAGCCAAAGGATTCTGAGAGAATATTGCAGCTCCCTGGCACTGAATTTCAGGATACAGTAATTCCATATCTGGTATTTACACTGGGAATCCCCCAATACATTAAGGAGAGAGCAGGGGATGGATTAAGGAGCATAAGTAAAGAAAATGACAGGAAGGCCTGGAGACTTCTTTATTGGCCACCCTATCAGTGGAGAAATCAAAAGCGTGATAGCATTGCTATACAGCTATTCCTCGACTTACGACCACCCGGACATACGACTGCCTCAGTCGTACCAAAAAATTTTTCAAATTACATATTTTCGAGTGCAGACGTTGGTGATTGCGCTGTGTACTGCTAAAATTTTTGTTTGTAATTCCCTTCAAAATAGCTGGCAAGCTTAAAAGTAAGTTTTGTGGTGCCAAGAAGAAAAAGAGACTCCCAATTTAGATTTTCTATGTATTATTTAAGCAGTTTTGACTTACGACCAATTTGACTTACGACCTGGATTTGGGTCCCTAACTCCGTCGTAAGTTGAGGAGCAGCTGTTTAAAATAAGTCAGAGCAGTGAATTGGAAAGGGAAAAAAAATTATCATTTTAGTTTTTATCAGGAAATCAGTCCTAGACATATTCCTTTTCAATGTACAGTATATGATATTCTGATAGTCTAGATTATATCATGCTTATTTCTTTGTCCTTGGATGAAGAAAAGTATCCAATGTTGGTTCATGACATTTCTTTCCTTTTGTTTCAGTGACCATCATAGGTGGCATAACCTTCCTGATATTTGCTGCGTCTGCACTAATAATAGGTCCCTGAAGAATTATGCTCACAAATCATGCCACATAGGTTGTATGATATTTGTTCTCATAGACTATAATAGATTATAAAATTGTAATGTCTGCGGTGTGTGATAGTGTAATCTTTAACCTCTTCTTTACCTCACACCAAAACAGTGGCACAGTAAGGCCTCACTGAACGAGTAATCGATGAATGAGAGTTCAGTTTACCAAACTTTGTGCTACAGGGTATGAAAAATTCAATGAATTAACTTGTATTTGATTTAACAAACAAAATTTCTAGTGAATCAATTGAAGATTGGAGCTAGTCATGTTTTGTCATTGGTTGAGCAGCCAGCCAGGCTACTGCTCGGACTAAATTTTTATACTTTGAGGTGAGGTAGGTGGCAGGCTGACCCACCCTGGCTAGCCAGTGAGCCTAGACAACTTGGCGGTGTTTCTTTATCATCGCGTTCAACCAGCAATGTTAGGCCAACACAAGCAGCAGTCATCTTTAGCCCTGGTAAGTACTGTATTGTACAAACAAAATGTTTAAATTGTGTTAGGTTAGGATTTAGGGTAGAAATTCTTTGGGGTTTTGGACAAAGTTTTTTTGGTTGGAACATATTTCAGCTCTGAACATGGGATCCTATGGAAAAGGTTCCCATTTAATGAGAATTCACTTTACAAGCACTTTTTCATTATTACACATTGCTCACTAAGCAGGACTTTACTGTGCTCATACATCGTTGGGTGTGGTATACATGTACTGCAGTTTTGGCTTGCAGTAAAGATGGGGTAGAGGGTAATGTGGCTTAAGAGCTTAGTAATATAAAGGTCATTGATTACTGTTGTGTGAGATACAGTATATATTTATTTTTTAATGGTGATAAAACCAACTACAGGTAGTGACAGGTATATGAGATGTATTTGTTTTTTCTAATGCTGAAAGGTTTTGAAAATTTGGTGAAGTAAGTTATTTTACATAACCTTTTGGTTACTTGAATGCTACCTGAACACAAGATATAACACTAGCAGATTGTAGCTAATAAGTATGATTGGTTTGGTATTTGTTTACATATTGTTACACTTGTTGACCTTTATTTTTTTTATCTTGAGTATGTTTCTACCCATAATAGCTGTGAGAATAGGTTAAGTGTTTGTGAATTCTCGTGGTTTTGTTGCAATTTGTAATTGCCGTTAGCCATGCCGTTGTGTTCACCACAATAGTGTAATGGACACTGATCCATAGTACTGAAGATAACACAGTAGATTAAAAGATGTATGCTTTATGTAGATGAATTTTTTATACCAATGTTTTTAGGTTCAATTTATTAGTATAATTTATTAAAATATATCACAAAATGTAAATACTCTCAAACTCCAGCCAGTGAAAAGAATGTGAGGATCAGTCTACATAGGAGTTTATGCTTTCTTGGATTTCATATACAGGTACTGTATTTGTTAATATGGTTGTAAGCCTGTACAGTACAGCATAGATATGATTAAAAGATATTTTACACTATTTACAAGATTTAATATCTTTTATTGAAATGTAAATAATGACACACACTAGATGGGTGTAGTTCATGTATTAACCTCTCATCAGGAATTCAATTTGGCAGTTTCTATATAATTTTTGCACAATAATCACTATTTAGATGAATATTATTAATGAATTACTCCTGATGATAACAGATGTTCTAGCTTTTTAATTTATTTCCGTAGTCTTTGAATTGTACTTTACATTTGTTGAATAAGAAAGTTTTGCATATTTTTGTTCAACAAGAAAATTCTCATGGAAGATATATAGATAGATGCCAGGTAGAAGTATTTTTTAAATTTTATTGTTACTATTATTATCACAGTATTATTTTCTGATAATTTTATTTATTTATTTGCTTATATAGCTCTTTCCTTTAATAGAGTTTAAAAGTCAATACTACCATGTAGGAAGTTTCCCACAGTTCATCAGGTTAGGTTTTTCAACATTTCCTCCAAACACAAGAATGTTGGTACATTCCTGTATATTCCTCCATGGCCATACATCATACGTGCCCAAAATCACTTCTTCCTATTGCCATATACCTTACGCACACACACATTCATACAATTCCATGTCCATGAATTTGGGTAGCCATATCACCTGATGAGTTTTTATACTTGTTCTGTGTTTCACTTACATAGTTATAGCCATACCACTTGGGTACTTTCTCCATAGGATATAAAATTCCATGTTAACTGACTAACCACCTTGGTACTACACAGGTTATTTGGTAAACCACTCACTGTGCAATATTGTATCCTTTCAGTGCCCTTATTCTTCAGTAACAGTATTCTTTCTTACAATTTCATATTCTGTTGTTATATAAGATTAATTTTATATATGTTAGTGTAGGGTAGTGTTTACCTGCCATAGAAATAATCACACCAGAAGACTGAAAATTCTCAGGTTTCAGCAAGTAAGTTGTCTGAACCAAAATAATTTAAAATCTTTTGTATAATGTCTGTAATGCAGAGATTACTCTAACCCAGTAATCTTTCACCAGATTGTAGATGAAACAGATCCCGGTCTTGAATAGGTCCAAACTAAACCATTTGGATTGGGGCCCCATTAAGGCTTGATCTCACAGAGATTGGGATTTATTAGGACAAGTGCCCACTAGGGTCGGGTATCGCTAGCAGCACTACATTTTTTCATTAGGCATGGGGATTAACCAGCTATCCCTAAATAACACCTTTCATTACCAGTGGTGTACTATGTTAAACCATCTTTCCTTTAGGTCCTTTCCTGTTATAATGCAGGATGGCTGGAATCAAGAGCAAAACACACATTCATTAGCTGTTATTCACTCTTACTGCTATAACAACTGTGTTCTTTTTTATTTTCTTCATCCATAACAAGACATTATGTTATATGTTTGGTTTACCCCTCTCACTTGACACAACCTAGTACAGTATCACCTATCAGCAACATATCCATCACTAAAATCAACATAACACTTTGCTCTCCAGGCTTTTGTTCATACTGCTGTTTCTTTAACCCATCTTCTCATTATGTTGTTATATACAATATTTTTACCTACCTGCCACTTACCCTTCGCTGACTTCAGTAAACCCTTGTTGATATGTGATTTTGTACTTCCACACCAAAAAGTAATGTTTACACTTATTGGCCATGTAATCCTGCATCTCTGAAAAGGCTTATATGGCAGTTGCTATGAATTGAGATGTCTTCCTTTTAGAAGTCTTCTTGTACAGTATTTTAAAATGAAATTCATTTATAATAAATACTGTGCTATGTACAGAATTGTAATGTAGGATTATAGTATAAATATGTTTATCTCCAACAAACAATTACCAGTACACTACCATCAAGACCACATCAAACCATCACACCAAACAAGTCTTCAACTCACAACCACCAACAAACCAATGTCACCACCAGGACCCATGCCTCACCATCACACTACCAACATGACCACATCACCACCAGAACCCACAACTCCCCATCATACCACAGCACATTACCATCATGACCACATCACCACCAGGACCCATACCTCCTCGTCACACCACAACACACTACCATCATGACTACATCCTACCATCACCTCCAAACCATTTGTTCATGTGGTATGCAACATGACTAGTGTGGGGTCCCTGCCTGCCTTCAGTTGTTCACTTGTTAATTTAAAAGTTGTTAGTGAATGTATTCAATTAGGGAAGAGGCTTAGTGTAATTATCATGCTGTTTTGGTTACTATATTTTGCTTTAGCAAATTTCAGAACGTAAGGGCAGCAGTTTGGTAAATGTAGTGTTCATTCTCACCATATTTGACCAAATTCTCGTACAGTGTGTCTCATCATCATCACCGCCGCCATTTCCATACTAGCCTGGGTTAGGTGTTAAAGCAAAAAAGTAAAAGAATCGACTGTAGGTCAGAGATGTGTTGTATATCTAGTACTGCTGCAATTTTCTAACAAATTTATCAGAAATTGTGATGCGAGGCAGCAGCACATGAAAAATGGGAGTTGGTCACACTGCTGTGGCCAGCTTGCCTCATGTCTTGTGCTTCTGGTTGTTGCACCTCACAACTGATGAGTAACAGCATGATTTGGTATACAGAAATTGTCCCTTATGAAGGTACCACGAGACATATATTAACAATCAGTGAATACATGATCCAGACTTTTACTATAACCTTTTTTTTTATTCCTTCTTGGTGAAAAAAAAATATAACATGTTTTACTTGGCTTTCAAAAGTTTAAAAGATCAGTCATAAGATAGATAAATTTAAGGATGATACTCTACAGTTTGCACGGAATGTTAGTTCGTGTGCTGAAAAAATATTGATATTTACGATTATGTTATATAAATAAAGTCAAGTAACACTTACCACTTCAATTAATACTTTGTAGTGTTTCCTCTGTGCGTCAGACCGTCTTTTAGCCTTCGAGGAACACTGTCAGCAAGGTTTTGCAAGAGGTCAGGTGGCAAGTTAGCCAGGTATCGTTGATGGCTGCCTCTAGCTTCGGGATTGATGATGTGTCAGCGTCGCGCAGACGACGCTTAACAATGGACCACAAATTTTCTATTGGGTTAAGATGTGGGCTACTGCCAGGCCAGTCATTAAAGAAAGGTACCTCACAGTCTTTGAGCCACTGTATGACACTTTTAGCAGTGTGGCATGGGGCACTGTCCTGCATGAAAAGGCTTGCCTTAGCTTTATCAAATGATTCAGGTAAGAAATCACTGAGCAGTTCAAGATAGTTGTACTGATTCATCATCTGGTTCTTAGGGAGGATTACTAGTTCATCAACACCATAATACGTAAAGGAAGCCCAAACCATAAGCGAGGCAGGGTGCTTAACAGTCTTCACTGTGTACTGTGGGAGGTGCGCGTCTGAGTGGGGCGGGCGGTACACCCTCCCTCCATTACTCCCAGTCACAGTAAACGTAGCCTCATCCGACCATAATACACTCCTCCATGTCTCTAAATCCCACACTTCATATTTCTTGCAAAATTTCACTCTATTTTCCTTCTGTCTCTTTGTCAACAGAGGTTTACGGCGGGCACGAAAGCTCTTAAATCCCGGGCCATCGTGCACGGCTTGTTGAACACAACGTAACGAGACGTGACTCAAAAGACGGGGGTTTCTCTCTTTCACTTCATGTGCTGTGAGTGAGGGATTGGACCGAACTTGTCGAGAAATAACCTCAAGTGTCCGTGGAGACAATAATTTAGGCCTACCAGACTTAGGTAATGGAGCTGGTAACTCGTCCTCTCCAAGGTCACGGAAACGTTTGACAAGATTTTGAACAACTCGTAATGCCACACCAGTCTGAGCCGATATTTCTTTCAGTACATGGTTCGCTTTGTACAATGCAATCACTGCTGCAATATCGTCTCTTGTAGTAACCCTCCTGGACATCTCTGATGGCCACTATGTCGGGTTAATGCACCTTAAACTAGACAAAACATGGCCACCTGGCGCGGGAACCCGCACAAAAAACCTTCCCCCCTCAGCTGCCAGAGGCACACTGCCTACAAGCCGTGACGTGTTCTCAGTTGCCAAATGTCAGCACTTGCCAACAAACCAAGCGTTTTGACATTCGCATCCCAGGACAGGCTTCACAACATATGATCTTATTTTTGCGAGAACTTAGTTCATCGGCCCTATCGCGACTTAACATTCCGCGCAGACTGTACATAGAGAAAATTTTGTAAATGACAAAATTTATCTATGTACTATTATCTAATATATACACTGTACCCCCATTAATTTGAATCGTTATAATTTGGATTTTGGCTTAATTCGTATATATTTTAACAAATTAATGAAAAGATTTGAATTAAGAATAAATCCGAAGTAACTGAGAGTACAGTAATAATAAAGTAAATAATACAGTAACTAATAATATACTGTATAGATGATATTCCAAAAGTGTAATGGTCAAGTTGTGAACACATCAACACTAGCTGTCAGCGTAACATCACCGACTTCTTCGCCCGCAACCCACTACAGCCAGTCCAAGTCAGTGATAGTGACTTTGAGGGGTTTGTCAGGGAGGCCCTGATATCTGTGGTGGATAGTGATAGTGATTCACCTGAGGGCCACTAATCTACTCTCTGCCTCGGAACCAGCCCCCATCCACGTATGCCAACCCATCTCTTCTACTAACGTAAGTGTTAAACCTTGATTTTTCTTTTACCTGGTGCAGTATATTATTCTCTTATTGATATTTTTCTTCTATAATATGTGTGTGCATACCATCATAAAATTAAGATACTATTTTTACTACAATGTACGTATTGTCAGAAAAAGTGGAGTTTGGGGGTCAGCCCAGTCTCTATTTCAATTAATCCCATATGTTCTGTTATTTCATTTATGCATTTCTTGGTTTACGTGGACCTCCACGGGTTCAATTGACCACGTAAAAACAGACTATAATTAGTGGCCAAAATGACCCTTGAAAGATTTTACTGACATTTTTCAATGCTAATTACTCAACTATCGGTTTCCAAGGTTTAATTTAGGGTTTGTGTGTTATTCTGAAAGTACTTAATTAGTTAAACCCCAAAAATTTGATTTTGCTGAAAATCACAGTATGGGTACTCCTGACTCCCTGTGTATGAAGTTACAGTATAAGCAACATAATTATACACCAACAAATATTTTTTTATGGTAGGTGGATGTCTCTTTCAGAACCTTATAACTGTACCATAATTCCAGTCTTCAAAATTACTATTTAATAAAAGTTTATAATCCACATGACTCCAACTGAGCTAGTACTGCATTGTGCACAGTATTAGTTTTGGTTACGGTAAAGATGGCCACATGAAGACAGTGAAAGGTACTAAAGGAATATATGTGATATTAGATGTATTTGGAATGGTTTTAACTGTAATACCTACAGCAATAGTCATTAGTCACAATTCTAAATACAAAGGACAGTACAAATTGTTCCTATAGAACAGTGGTCCCCAACCTTTTGTAGGCTTTTGGCCACATTTATCATTGTAAATATAGTGGAGGGTGCCAAAACTTTGGATCTACATTCAAGAAAAAAAATCTAATATAGTATACTGTCCAGTTATTTGCAGTTTTACACCTCTATTACCAATTACTGGACATATTTTTTACATAGGAAGATATAGATTCTGTTGTTCTCTCTCCACACCTTAACCCTAAGCTGCAAAATCTGCTTCTCTCCTTAGAAAAATTTTGCCCCAACTCAACTAATCATGTAGGGGTATAAAAATATGAAGTGTTGTGAATCAATATGGAGACCAAGGAAGTCCTTTGCAAACAGCTTATGTAAGCTGAAGGTAAAGGGCAAGTTGGTAGGTACAGTACAGTATTTCTACTTGCCTCAGCCCTTTATTGCCATTTTTATGGTTTTTATCTTGCATCGGTCTCCTCTATCATTTCCTCCCATTCATTGTGGCTTCTGTTTCCCACAAAAAAAAGTGTAAGATGAGTAACAATAGCAGGAACATAGACATTAGAATATCCTCTAAGTATTTTTAAGATTTAATTGCACTTCCTTGTAGTAACAGACTCATACATTTGAGTGACCCTAAAATGTTTAGTGTGTGAATTCTGATAGTTTTCTTTGACTACAGACCAAATTATTTTAGGATCACTGTTGGTATGTGATACTGATAACTGCAACTCGACATGCTGATAATTCTGACCCAAGATGCCTAATGCTGATAAGTGAGCTTCAAAAAGAAGACAGCATGTCAGATTGCCACTAAAAATGTGAGGTTGTCAACTGACAGTCTTCTCTCTAATGGTGGGAGCGTTTAGGAAGGTGGGGGGGAATCTAATATTTTCTAAAACATTGTATCCTTCAATAATCTCTTTAAAATATTATCTACTACTCCTGCTCTTTTTTGGGTTCATTCAAGAGAAACAGCGTGAGCCTCCAAAAAAGGAAAGAGATAGTAAGGGCAAGCAATGAAAGAAGAATGCAGAAAGCAACAGAAAGAAGCTGAATCAACACGCAGGCATGCACGCACACAGTTAGTGAATTTGTCAAATCCTCCAGTTTTTGTCTCCACCTCCTCTTTCGACTCAAGTCCCTCGGAGTTCCTGCGCCCGAGCTCCATAGTGTTTACTCAACATTCATACTTCCCAAGCTCACCTATGCCTCCACTGCCTGGTGTTCCTCTTTAAATGCCACACAATGTAAATACCTAGAAAAAGTGCAAAAGAGGGCATGAAAGATTATTCTCTCCCCTTCCTACTCCACACACAAGAAGCGCTCAACACACTGACCCTCTCGGCTCTCACTGACCATCACCACGACCTCATCTGCAAATTTGGTGAGAAGCTTCTGCACCATCCTCAACACCGGCTCCTACTACCACCCGAGATCCCTCGTCTGCGAATTGCAGTTCTACACCACAACCGCATCCAGCCCATACGAGCACGTACCAATCGCCATAAGAACAGCCCAGTCCCAACCATTGTAAAAATTATCAATAACTTGTAATCAACCAGTGTATTCACTCCCAGTCAATCTTACCTTTTTTGCAATGTCACTACAGTGATCCCTCGGTTAACGAGCGCCTCGGTTAACGAGATTTCGGTCAACGATTTACCTTCCATAAGATTCTTAACTTCGGTTAACGAGCAATCCCTCGATTAACGAGTTTTTTACGAGCCGACTTCAACATGTTTTTGCTTGCATTTGGCGGTTCACCAGCTGTAGTATTAGTCCGCCAATACAGTAATTGGTTTTAGGGCTTAAATTCCTTACTATTTTAGCAAATATCAAGAAGTTTATACTATTCAATAATTTTAAAAGTTTAATATTAACTTTTTTAGTCATTTTAACAATTATTGAACATAATTGAAGGTAAAGAAACTAGTTTCTGGCGTGCCATTCAGCCTGTTAACACACCAGACAGGCGTTAGTCTCTCTCTGTTTTCAGTGGAGGTAACATCTTGCTCGAGACTCTCTTCAACTAAACGCTTTTTTTCTGTGTTTCCAAGCAAATTATTGGTCATTTTGAAATTTATTTTACATATTGACAATATATTATGCAGTGCAGTGTTGATTTAAAGAAAATAATCTTGAATTACTCCAAGAGAACTAAAATTTTATGGGTGAAATGGTGCCATGGGGTGACTTCTCTTCCACCCCAATGCCTTCTCTTCTCCCTTCTCCTCCACCCCCATTCTAATTCCCATCATCATCATCATCATCATCATCCAGGAGCCTTCTACATACACACCTCAAAGTAAGTGTACTTTTCTACCTTTTTTGTTGAATTTAGGCAATTTTTGTTGAGCTGGAACCAATTACCCAAAAACCCATTGAAACAATGGTTTCGGTTAACGAACAACCTGCTGGAACGGATTGTGCTCGTTAACCGAGGGACCACTGTATGTTGAAATGCCCTGTAGTATGACCTTCTCCCCACCTAGTTATTATACATCATATTTGTATCACATATGTTACTTGTATATTATATTCGTCAATCAAGAGACCCATTCACCCAATTATGTAATTGTATATTTTCAGCTTCCCGGCTGCCATGCTCTTTCAATAAACCATTACTTATTATTATCACACACACACAAAATTAGCTTTCCAATATGTATATTTTAAAGCGATCTTCTAAAAATATAGTTTTAGACTTGCTTCCAATACGAAGAAGTTTTCTTGACAGCACTAAAATGGAAGCCAAAAATGAAATGGTTATTGAACATTTTACAAAAAGAATCTTTATTTTATTGTATAACTACTGAAAAGCAAGCTCAAACATTACATTAATAAGAGTATGTGATTGATTTCACAAAAAAGAAAAAGAAATAAATTACTAGTACTGTAATTAAAATGTTAAAAAAATTAATGTTATCAGTTAATACTTAAAAATTATATTAAAAGCAGGCAAAGGCAATGTGATATTCCCGTTATCCCATCGGAAAATGATAAAAATCATGACAGGGACAAAGTGCAATGGAAGATTGGCTGAGTTCAGGGAGTGATGCAATTTAAGGTTTGGAAACCATTGTTTTAGAGTATTAGAGAGTAATAACCAATACTGTACTATCATCTGAAAAACATACCGGTAACAACAATAGACTTCTTCACAATATTAACCAATAAGACAGTGAAAGGCATTACCAGTGTTATCATCTGCTGACAATAAATAAAGCCATTATTTATAAGCCAGTGTTGCACCTTTAGGTGCTAATCACTGCCACAATCTGACATACTAGAGTATTCTAATATAGCTCTGGCACATCTATTAACAATATTCAAATATTCTACTCTCATCTCCTTTAACTTCAGCACAGAGTTAAAGCTTAGTGAAGAAAATTAGTATAAAATAATGAGATTTTCTTAGAATGTACTCTTTGGTATCTAGAAACTCCAAGTGATTTATTGAAGCATAATTGTTGGAAGAATCTTCTTAAATATCCCTGCAAGTTAAGTTTACAACAATTTAAATATATAAAACTAATTCTTTAACTGGTATTTATTAGTTATTGTCTAAGAATAACCTCACTCAGTGTTGCTTAAAAGTGTAGCAGAGTTTAAGGTGCCATATGGTGGTGGCAAGAGAAGGGAAGACTTCATTCCCTACCAACTGCTGAACTGCCTGCCGCTGCTCATCCCATCCTTCCCAAGATTCTGGCCTCAAGAGATGCATCACTGACCTTGCTTTGTCCTGAGGATGGAAAATGAAGTCAGTAAAGTCAGATTCTAATAACATTCTAGCACTTAACTAAATATCTATTGATTTTCATTCCCAGTTTGAGGGATGACTGGACAAACATTGGGGAAACCAATGTTTTCCCAATGATTTTTTTTTTTTTTTTGTAAATCGGGTGACTACCTGTATATGACAGGTTATAACTGATAGGGTGAGGGAAAAAACAGCCTAGATAGGTGATGAATCAGGAGGATTTAGAAGAAGTCAGGGTTGCAAATTTAAAATATTTTCAGCATAAATGTTTGCAATTTTTTTTTGTTAAAAACACAAATAAAACAGGAAATTGTAAGCAGCTTTTGTGGATCTAGAAAAGACAGTGTGGGAGGTGATAAGAATTTATGGAGTAAGCGAGGACAAGCTTGTGGTAGTGAAGGGATAAAATAATAGTGGGGCATCTAAGAGCAAACAAAGGGTGAGGTGAATGTCTTGAAATGAAAGTACAGTAGTAGTATGGTGTTATGTCCAAATGGTTGTTCAACATAGTATATTTATGGATGGAGTGATAGAGTGACTGGGGTAGGAGCAAGAAGGAGGGGATGTCTTTACAGGGATGATGTATTGCTTTTAGTAAAAAGTGAATAAAACTAAAAAATGTGGTGTATAACTTTGACACTGATAAAAGGAAATTGAATATAAAATTAGGAAGAGTAAGGTTATGGTTTTTGAGGAGTTTGACAGTGAATTTTGGTAAATCATACAAAATTGAAAAGCCTACCATATTAAAATATAAAATTGTGATGAAGAATGACATTCTGGAGAAGTTATAGTCTTCAAGTTCTTTAGAAAACTGTTAAGGAAGAATGGTATGATGGAAAGCGAAGTTACAGTGTGAGACCTGCAGGGGAAGAGGGTGATTGGATGGCTGGAAAGTACATGTACTAAAATGGGATATAAGCTTGGAGGGAAAGTTAAGGAGCTCGAGATACAGCCTTTCCTATATTAACTTATTGCAGTGAAACATGGACTTGGAATGAAGCAGAACATTCTAAAAATGTAAGCTATAGAAGCAAGTTACCTGAGGGCTGCAAGTGTGGCCATCACAGTGAAACAATATGATGTGTTTGGAATGGCAGGAAATGCAAAGAGGTGTTATAACATGAAGTGGTGGAATGGGTGAAAAAGGTGTGCTGTAACGGTATGGACACGTGAGAAGGAAAAAAAGAGGAGGATAGTTAAGAGTGTATAAGAGCAATGTAGTAGGTGGGTACAGGAAGACGGGTAAGAGCAATATATTATGTGGGTAAAGGTGGCTAATTTAAATATAGAGTTCTTCACTAATTTAAAGCTGGTGCTCAGTCTACCATAACCTACTCTCAAGGGTATAATACTGAATTACTGGGAGGGATGCCATCTTGTAGGGGATTGTATGTGCATGGTATGTGTAAACTGATGATAGAAATTGTATGAAACCTTTTTTCTTACAATAACTTATTCAGTAAGTACAATGATAAAATTTTTTTCAGGTAGTTGTTGGTTAGGGGAAAGCATCTTAAAAAGATATAGCGGAGAATGAAAGACTGAGAAATATTAAAAGAATTCCAGTAATCACAAAAAAAAAAATCCTGCACACTAATTTATTCTCACTTTCATGAAATTTTACCCACTCCAGTGTAATGTGCCCTGATTCTCCACTCAATAACCATCTCATGTTCATTCTAACTGCCTTAGCACACTGACTTACCTCTTCTAATTCATCAACAAGTGTTTCCTCTAACTGAGACATCTTTGCCTCCAGCCCACTGCCATTATCCTGTTTGTCAGGTCCAGCTTCAGTATTAGTGTATGATTCATCACTGTCACATGTGGAGTCTTCCATGAGGGTTGTGCTCAATAAGTGAAGAAACTCATCCTCTTCTTGATACTTATGTGTGAGTGTAATATCTACAGAGGAGTCGATGTCAAGATCATCTGAAGACAAGTTTTCCTCAACACCATTAGAGGCCAAAGAAGTTGAAGATCTACTGTTAGAACTGGAAACATACAATTGTTCCTCAATGCATTCCTGTTTTTCACTCAAATGTCTGTGTTCAAGAGTAGATTCTGAGCTTTTCGTTTCAGTTGTTTGGAGTCTTTTTTGTCTTCTTCTCTCACGAGCTGAATATGAACGTGGGGTTGACAAACTGTAATCCACATCAGAGTTCTCAGTAAATACAGTTTCTGAGTTTACAAGCAAATTGATTTTCTCATGGTCCCCACTGTCTATGACCGGTGATTTCTTACTGCTTCGCCGTCGTCTTCGTGACTGTGAATCGATGTGACCTACAGCTGGGGAATCCTGTTTTTCTCGCCGTTTACACTTACACTCTTTTGTTCCGTGTGGCTTGTTTTCTACCTTAGATCTATCCTCCAATTTCATTTTGTCTCCAGCAATATGTAATGATTTAAACTGTGATGGGAAAAACTCACAGCATCTCTTTACATTCAGATTATATTTTATTGGTTCAATTTGTTTTTCATTACCACTTAATTTCTCATGCCTCATATCACACAGTTTTCTGTCATGAAGACACTCCTCAGTTTTTTCACCACTCAATACACTTGCACTTTTTTTTTCTTTACAGACACCTGTTAAAATTTTATGTCTTTCACCTTTGCTTTTGGCACCGACAGGACTGGTTGTATCGTCCAAGAAGACAGAGATGTGATTACGGATGGAAGGCTGAAGAAGGATTTGTGAGGTGCTGGGTCTTAGTCCAGGAGAGCGGTTCATAAGACTCTGCACTAAGCACTGCAAGTCCTCGCTGTAATGGTTAGACACATCTCCAACCTAAAATAATAAATACATTATAAATATATTGACACTTGAATTAGATACAGTACATAAAACAAAATGATGCACAAACAATTTATTTAAAGAGAAAAAATGCTATGAGAGAGATCTAAATTGTTCCCTAGACATAAATAACTGTGTTGGACAAGTACAGCAAATACAAATACAGTAATATCTCCGTTAGCCGAAACCCTCAAAACCCGGAACTTTCCAATAGCTGGAATTGAAATTTTCTCGGAAAATTGTTCCCAAAGCCGGAATTTTCCAGAAAATTCCGGCTCTGGGAAAGATTTTCCGGGGGGCACATTTTCAGGAAAATTCCAAGAAAATTTTCCCGGTACCCAGAAAATTCCGGGGATGGGGGAATTTATTCCGGGTTTGAGAGATGAAAATCAGGTGCATGTTCTGGAAATTCAGAGAGAGATTTTCCGTTACCGGAAAATTCCAGAAAATTCCGGGGTTGAGGGATTTTTTCCAGGTTCAAGAGATGATGTAATGGGCAGTTTCTGGAACTTCTGTGAACATTTCTTCGTTACCCAGAAAATTACGGGCATGAGGGATTTTTTTTCCGGCTTTGAGAGAGTCGTCTCGTTACCCGGAAATGCTCTGCACCAATTGTACTGGCTAACGGAGATATCATTGTACTGTACACTTATATGGAAACTTAAGCCTATAACCTTCCCTGAGTAAGAGACATACAAGCAAGTACAGTACACACATCCTGAACACCATAAGTTTGTGTTCTTTCATACACTCAAGATAAGATAATTCTTTTGGTAGTCAACTGCATTTGCACTTACATCACAAACAACAATTGTAAATTTGTATGGAAATTACTGCTCTACTGAAGGATTCATTCAGCAATCTACAGTTTCTCAAAAAAGTATCTGCCAAGATGGGTCTGATGACTTTCTAAATGCTACATGCATCTCGTGATGTAGTATACAGTATTATCCCGCTTTACGCGGTTTCACTTTCCGCGATTTCTCATTTACGCGATGCCTCGCCAGAACCGAACTTTCACTTTCCGCGGTTCATCTGCCCATATACGCGCAGAGTGTCTGGCTCGACGCTATTTTAGATTCGACCCTCCCGCCTGGGCAAGCCGCGCGTTAAGGTTGCGCAGTGCATGTCTCTGTTGCGTTATCAGTGACGTCATATGACGTATCGGACTGTGATTGGCCATGCATCCTTACCTCCCTCCGCTGCTAGCTGTAATTGGTTTAAAGTAATATGACGTGTCCACCCGTGGGAGGGAGGGAGGAAAGACGACGCTTGACCTAACCGCGGCAGTTTCATCCCTCCAGGCCACACCGTGTATACGTGCATCGGGGTACTACTGTACTGATCCTACTACAGGTGATAACCGAACATTATATTAATTACTCTGAAATAAATACACATTGCATTACAGCATGCCCTTCAAATTCGCGGGGGTTAGGTTCTCAAAATGGCCACGAATCGCGGAGTGCATTTTTACTTGCGTACAAAGAAATGTATACGGGTATTCCTTTTATGTGTTTGCCCTTAGGACAATACAGTAATGGGAAAATCCTCTCACAAATAATCAGAAACAAATGTAGTATTAAAAATGTTGAGTCTACCCTCCAGTCTACTCCATGCTTTGTTATTAATAAAGCACACTTACTGTATATACAATACAGGTAAAGGAAATTATTGTCTCTAGAACAAATGGCTCCCTGTCCTGGCCACAAAAATGCCAGCAACTTTAAAATTACCAGCAAATATTCTTGGGTACATCCAGGGTGTCATCCACGAATAATAGAGGACTGCGAAATAAAAATCCTCAAATTATACGGGCGTACTGTACTTATGTTAAACTATATAACAAAGTAAATGCATGTTCCAAAATTTATCATCCATGATCTCATAATGTTTCAAATAGTGTGAACAGATATTTTTTGAGATACTGTACAAGTGGATAGGAATGATAATGGTGGAAGGGAGGCCACTGATGTAAAGTAGAAAGAGATGAAAGATGACCCTAGTGAAATAATGCAATGTACCAAGTTTTATTGGAAAAATATATGGAAGATAAGTGTCAACAGTATCATAAATGGAAATGTTTGATATGAAAGATGAAATTTAGCTGTAGTAAGAAAGGACAAAATACAAGGTAACTTAAAGGGGTAAAATTTCATGTTTATAATCTGTCAAAGGCTCAGGGAATATCAAGAGCAACAGCCAAAAATTCACTAGTTGTAAAACAAGGATGACAGGATATACTGTGCAACCTATTGTACCTTGCCACGAGATATTCTGTTTATCAGGGCCGAGATGTCCCGAGCAGGAAAAGGATGTTTCAGAGTTGCCAGTTCATATAGACAGCATCCTAAGGCCCACATGTCTGACTTATAGTTGTATGGTAGACCAGCAAATAATTCTGGACTCTGAAAGGTAAAGAAAATAATGCAAAATACTAATGATTAAATTTTTTAATTTTAGCCACACCAACATTCACACATTCTTTTATAAATACTATAAATACTGTATTGAAATTACAATACACTACCACTACTTATTTATACAGTAATACCCCATTTAAAGAGGTGCCTGCCTCTATACTGAGTTCTTGGTGCTAGGAAGGAGTTATCAGATATCTTAGTTTGGTGTCATATTGTATAACCTCGTAAAGGTGCAGAATAATCTCTTAGTGAGAGTACATTCATTATTCCTCAATTCATTTAAACCTAACTGTTGCTGTGACCATCAGTAACTAAGATATATTTATAGTCCTAGCAAGGTTCAGACACCACCTTTAATTAAACTTACTACACAGAGACTGAAACTATAGGTCCAGTGCTGTATTCTACTTAAATCTACAGTTACATTTGTTATTCTAAACAAACTTTCCAATTTTGAATCTAATTAAAATAATGTCATGACTTAAGAAACAGCTTGTTGGATAAAAAAAATCTAATAGTTAACAATTTACCATTACTATTTGCACAGTAATTGTCACCCAAACTTTCACTATATACTGCTAAGTCTTATGTAAGGTCTACTGAGACTAGTGTGAATTTTATTATTCTAAATTTCATTCCATAGTTTTTGTAAATCATTATTCAAAATAAAAAGTTTGCTGTATGTATTTAGTTATTTAAATACACATAAATTATCACTGACTGTACTAAGATGATAGTCATGGCATAATGACATGAAAAATTTTAATTGACTCACCATGTAGTAAGGAGTTCCGATCATTGTCGTCGCCATATCTATGGAAGAACCCAGAATCCGTGCAATGCCAAAGTCACCCAGCTTTATGAGTCCCGACCGTGTGAGGAAAATATTCTGCGTTTTGAGATCTCGATGGAGTATGTTGTGTGAATGAAGGTACTAAGGAAAAAGACATAATAATTTTGTTGTTTGAATTTTATTCTGGATGAAGGCTCTACCCCTTTATGTCCATATCTTCATGTGGCTGTACAACATTATATGGTACTATACTGTAGTATAACAACTGGGCAAGTTGTATTTCATTACATAATTACTGTAATGCAGTATTCCAAGTTGGTGTTATAATAGCCTCTACTTAACATGGGTGTGAGGCTAATGAACCTCAGGTAATCCCAGACAGCTCTCCCAGCCTTCTACCCTTTTTGGTGACCTTTATACCAAGTGTCTCCTTCCAGTATTCAGCATGAGGAAGACCAATATTCTAATTTTTTAATTTATTTTACCTTTATATTCAAGCCACAGAAGTTAAGGCCCTGGCAATTTAACTTCCCAGATGTACTGGATATATTTTGTCAATCCTGATGTCATAAAAACTGATTCTTAAATATGGATCTTTTTTCCTACATCAATCATCCTCAGCCTGTCTTACCTACCTGCAGAGCCATAGTTATTTGGATGAACCAACGGATAATTTTCTGCTCAGGAAACAGTGATCCATGTTGCTGCTGGATACGAGTGAAGAGGTCACCTCCCTCACAGTAACCCATCAGAAGATTAAGGCGACGATCCAGCTCAAATGAACCCTGTTAAAATTCCATTTCAAGTGATCAACCTATATGCACCATTTATACATTTATACACAGCAAAAACAGGATGATGGATGGGAATACTACTCAAAACTTTAGTCTTTGCTCTCCCTTAATTGTTCTACAATCTGTTACTCAACTGCATTTTTCATTTTCATGATGATTATATATTTAAATCTATCTGAAGTGGCAGGGAGTTGGAGAAGTAAGAACAATAAAAAAAAGGCACATAAGTATATCTACACAAGAGGTATGTGAATTAATATATGACTTATGATAAGGAAGTTTAATTCAGGTGCTAAGTGTGCCTTGTGTAAAAAACGTCAGCTAGTATGTACCTTATAAGAAACAATGTTGGGGTGCCTCAATCCTGCCAAGATAAGAACCTCTTGTCTGGCAGCTTCCACTTCTTGTTGATTACAGTGAGACAGTTCCACCTGAAATATACAAGTAAAATAAAATAAATGTCATAATTTCTTGCTGCCTTTTGCATTCAACATGGTAGTCCAAGAATACTTTCTAACAAATTTGCTAAAACTCACAGTAACATGAATATTGGAGTTGTAAATCACAATCACATTAAAAAGAATTGATCCCCAAGATGCCTAAAACCATTACTGGATGTATCCATTAACCTCTACCAGTACAGGCTTCACCCCCCACTTTCTTTTTTTCTAAATTCCAACAAACTTTATATCATCAAAAGGCTGGAACAAATGTAAACTCAACTCTCAACTACTGTACAGTGTTACCCTGCTTTACGCGGTTTCTCTTTCCGCGATTTCTCATTTACGCGGTGCCTCGCCAGAACCGAACTTTCACTTTCCGCGGTGCATCTACTCATATACGCGGGAAGCAGCGCAGGCAGGATGCGCACAAGGTCGCCCAGTCATCAAAACATTACTGTGTTCTTCACCCGCCACCCACTACAGCCGGCCTAAGATAGTGATAGTAAGGATATGGACTTATATGGACTTTGAGGGGTTTGACAAAGAGGCCCTGCAAGCCTCTGTGGTGTATAGTGATACAATTGATACAAGTGATACAAGTGAGGGCCAATAATCTGCCCTCTGCCTCGGAACCAACCCCCCATCCCCGTGTGCCCAGCCATCTTTTCTACTTATGTAAGTGTTAAAAAAACTAACATTATTGATATTTCTCTTAATTATTAATTGTGTGTGCATACCATCATAAAATTAAGATGTAATTTTTACTACAACGTAGGTATTGTGTCTGAAAAAGTGGAGTTTGGGGGTCGGGCCAGTCTCTATTGGAATTAATCCCATATGTTCTGTTGTTCACTTTACGCGGTTTTCACTTTCCACGGTACCCCATGGGTTCAATTGACCGCGTAAATCGGGGTACTACTGTATTCTATTTCTACAGTCTAGTACACTGTATATGGAGTCCCAGAGTGATGAGCTTTCAACTTGGCCTATGATTGCCCAGACATACAAATGAATCTCCACGTGGTCAATCACACTGGTTATACATATAAAATTAAAACCATATACTGCATGTGTCTTGCCTGGCCTTACAGTCTTGCACTGCATCACAACCAGTATCACAGTTTCTCAGTAACTTCCAAGTCTTCCACTTCATGTGCTTCACTAATTATGTATATTATTGGCTTACAGTAATTGTGTACTGAACACCAAAAATGCTCATTAAAAAACATGTTTTGCAGCATTTTAAGACATTTGTTTTTTGGGGGGGAAGAATGTATCTCAACTTTTATAATGGGAGTCTGTGATACACATCTGTATCAGAGAAAATAATAGCTATAACAGATGAAAATAGACATCATAAGAGTGTTGAGAGGAAGGAGACATGTTTGGCTTCAACAGTAAAGTAAAAAAAATATATCTTTTGTTTTTCTATTTTGATCTATTAATTGTACAGGTATCCTCATATTTATGATGGGGTTACATTCCTGAAAAACCCATCGGCGGTATATATATCATAAATCGGGATCATTATAACATGGGATTCACTGTGAAAAATCCCAGTTAGTCTGACACCCACACGTATCACCAAAAATAAAATTCCTACACACACAATTAAACAACAAGCCTGGTTGTCATCACATGTCCCCTTCAAGGCAAAGGGTACTCTTGAAGGTGGGGTGGAGACATCACCCTGACTCCCACATAGCTTCACAATGTCAAGCTTCATTTCCAGCAACATGATTTTCCTGGGTGCTTTGGTTTTCCCAGACATTTTCAAAGTTACATGGCTCACTTCAATCACAAAAACAGAGTGAACGGTGATAACGTAAACACAAATGATAACAGCCAACACTGCTTACATCACGTTCACAACAACAGAAGCAAAGCATTTTAGTCACAAAGAATAGAGCAAAAATCACTTCACAGTCACCAAAACAGAGGACACAGTACAATGTGAATGTTAGTGATGTCCTATAACTGTAAGGTTAAAAAAAAAGAAAAAAGAAAAAAAACACCAATGATTGAAAACAAAAAACGGTACCGACCGATAATCGTTGAGCCACACGATCACGGCCATGTGCAATCACCATGGAACAAAGCTTGGTACTGTAGTGCAACGAGTGGCAGCACGTGGGTAGGTCGCAACTGACAAGTGCACCGAGAGATGCATTCCATATTCAGAATTGGCTGAACGATGACCATCATTCATGTGAATTTTTTTATCGTAAATAGGGAGGGATATTAATACATCACCACCGTTAAAGTGAAATATTGTAGAGAGGAAGATCATAAATCGGGGGATATCTGTATTACAACAGTATTTTCTATAATTCATTGCAAACATGCAATATTTCAGCTTAAATAGGCTTTTGTGGGCTGGCTTGAGTACTTAACCACCAATGGCATTAAAAACATTGTGTTATTGAAAACTAAAGTAATGAATTCTGAATAAATAACCTATGAATGAAGTTCCGGAACACAACCCATTTGTAACCTAGGGACTTCTTGTACTGTACGTTAGTTTATCAAGTATTAATTAAGTAACAACTTTAAAACTTACACACTTGAGCACCAGGTTCTTTTGGTTGTTTGACCTTCTGACTAACCAAACAGAACCATAGCTCCCACGGCCAATCTCTCGAACCACCTCAATACCCTCCATTCTTGACTGCTGAAAATATAAATGTGATTATAATTATGAAACGTGTATCTGATTAAAACAAAAAAATTGAATTGTGAAGTTTGTATCTTTTTTCCTAACTCTAGCAAGCCCTTTCCCACTACATTGCAGACATAGCAGGATGGCTAGTCCAGGGTATAAATGAGCTCTGGTCAGCAGAAGCTCTGCACTGTGGAAGTTAAACAGGAAAATTAGGGAGATGTATTCCGAGTACAACATATAGATATACAGCTAGACCCCGACTTACGACTGCTTCGACTTACGACCGTCGGGACTTACGACCGCCGCAGTTGTGACCATTTTTTTTTTTCAAATGTCGCACGCATTTTCTATACCGAAACGTTTCCAGTTAATGTAGTCTCCATGTATAATTAGAAAATTATGGGGGCCCCATGTGCATTCAGCTGACTACATTAAAGGTAAGTGCTCAGTCACACTGTACCCATTCCTCATTATATATTACTTTCACTGCACTGTATCCATTCCTCATTATTTATTACTTTTACTGTACTGTATTTCATTGTAGATTTTTTATAAAAAAAAATTATCTATGTCGGACTTACGACCTGGATTTGGGTCCCTAACCCCGTCGTAAGTCGGGGTCTAGCTGTATTTATGAGAGTGGGAATATTAAGCAAGATGATGTGTATAGATTTTTGTTTTTTTGAACTTCCTCATTTTAGCTTTAGAATATTAGGTCTACTTGATCCTCTGAAATATGATATTTCCGTTAGCTGGAACAATTGGTGTAGAACACTTCCAGAAATTAGAGATTTCCGGGTAGTGAGATGACTCTCTCAAAGCCGGAAAAAATCTCCCATCACTGGAATTTTCCAGGAAAAAATTCTCGGAATTTCCAGAAATTGCGCATTACATCATCTCTTGAACCCGGAAAAAAAAATGCCCCATCCCTGGAATTTTCTTAGAATTTTCCAGAATGATACATAATTTTCTCTCTCAAAGCTGGAAAAAATCCCCTATCCCAGAATTTTTCAGGCACAGGAAAAATTTTCTCTGAATTTCCAGAAGATGCGCCTGATTTTTATCTCTCAAATCCGGAAAAAAAAACATCCACGGTACTGTATTTCCAGGTTTTGGAAAAATTTTATTGGAAATTTCCAGAAAATGTGCCCCTCGGAAAATTTTTCCCAAACCCAGAATTTTCCAGATTATTCCAAGAAAATTGAAATTCCAGCTATTGGAAAGTTCCAGTTAAGAGGGATTCCGGCTAATGGAAATACTGCTTGTATACCCGGCCCACACCCGAGACTGTACAGTACTGTACAGTATAAATGTTGTCTAACTTAGCATTAAAATACAGTATCACATATACCTTGGATAGTGAGTCTGTCTTCAGGCTTTTCTTCTTTGTAGCTGGAAGACTAAAATTTGGCAGTTCATTGGAGTTGACATCTAAATGTTTATTCCCAAGTGAAACTAAAAATCGATGTTCCTCTTGACAGAAAAAAAAATTATTATATTTCTTCCTCACGTTAGTACTTAAATGTTTTTTCATAAATGAGAATTGTAAATCAGTGTTCTGACCGGTGCTGGGTTCATCATATTGTATACCTTTATTCCTGTAATGGTAGTGGTTAGGTTGCTGCACTTGATGGGGAAGCTGTAGTAATGGAAGAGCCAAAAGTTTGTCATCTGGGGGTAGATATTGTTGAGCTCTGGTGACCTTACCAATCGGAAGCTCTAAAGTGGCCAAAGAATTGAGGTATGACTTAGCTGAGCTTTCACAGTTTTGGGTTCCCTGAGAAAGCACTCTTGCCTTGGAAGCTCTGCCATCATTTTTAACAACAGGCAGCCTCAGAAGTGGAAATCTAACTGATTGATCTTGTGTATTGTAATTTTTTCTACTTATTTCAAACTTGGTGTCCCTATTAATCAGTACCTTTTCCTCATTATCAAGATGGGATTGCACAGTGTTATAAATTTTTGGTGTGTGTGATGTTCTATTACATCTTACTGATCTAAGAAGACTGCAGGACTGAGCACTTGGGTCACAAGCATCGCTCTCTGGCACATCAGTCTTCTGGGAATTACATTTTTCAAGAGTGCTCAAATAGGAAGAATCTTTGTCTTGCCTTACGATTACCTTACACTTGTGACATGAGTTATGCTCTGGAAAATAGCTAAAAGATCTCTTGCTACTGTTGCTATCACTCACACAGTCATGGACACACTGAAAAAAGTGGTGCTTGTATTTCAACACAGGGGAATGTGCGTGAGAACATTCAATACCACAATATAGGCAATGAGAATGTCTGGTCTTCACAGGTGGATGAGGAAGTAACAGTTCTCCAGGCTCCAATTCATCATTCTCACTATCGGTGACACATGAAAAAGTCTTTGCTGAATCCAACACAGGTGACCGGCACAGGTGTTGCTTCACGATGTCAGTCTTGGTGGATGCATTCAGTAACTGAAACAAACAAAAGTAAGAATCATTTACAGTACAGAACTGCACTGTACATTAATAAAAACAGAATTAGCTTCAGGAAAGAGAGAGGCTTATATTAATTTGGAATATATTCAGCCAAACAAACTGTACTGACCATTACACCACAGGTCGCCATACTAAACATATACGGTATTAGTGTAGTACTAAATATGTACAGCAATTGTTGTAGTAAACATGTAGTAGACTGAACCTGTGTTGTAGAAACATATACTGTACTCTTCAGTGGTATTAGTGTTATAGTGCATTAATTGTACTAGTATCTTAGTACAGTACTAGTGCTGTAGTACACATGTACGTACAGTAAAGTATTATTAGTGCTATAATATATTAATTGTACCTGTACTAGCATTTTAGTACACTACTGTACTAGTATTGCAGTACTGTAAACATACAATAGTACATGTAGTATACTTATACTGTATCTCAACATTAATGAAATATAATGATTGAAATAAAATTATTACTTTCTAGGGTTAATATATAGGACTAACCCACCAGGGCTGCATAGTGTCGATGTGGTCGTATCATCTCGCATCCAGAAAATGCCTCAAATTTCACCATATCACAGTAAGTTCTTTCTGTTTAATATACCGGGGAAGGTAGGTAAGGTTAGGTCTGTTCTTCATATCCACAAATGTTAAGCAGCGTTTATTTTATAAATACAGGGTTATAAATTTGTTAACATATTTCCACAAATTACAACAATGTCCACTAAAGTATAACAATGAAAATCCGGCATTTTTATAGTTGTTTTCAATAAATTTCGCTCGTGAGTTGGTTCTATATACAGTAAGTCCGTGCTTAACGTCGTCCCGCTTTACGTTGTTTCAGTACTATGTCGCTGAACCTTAGAGACCTAAAATTCGTTTCACGTCCTGGTGATCCGATACTACGTTGTTCTGCGTTGCAACAGACTACATTTTACGGTGCAACACCCTGTCTCGTCTGGTAGTGCTATGCTCTCTCGTCTTGGCGCAGTCTCAGTGACTCACCACACTCCTCCTCTCCTGCCCTCCTCCTCCACTCCCGCCACACTCCTCCCCTCCCGCCATCCGCCTCCTCTGCTTCAGTACCCACCACACACTCACTCTACTACCTCCGCCCATCGGTGAGTACCAATACCAACTTAGTATATGCATGCACTGTTTTCTATAGAAATGGCAATGATTTTCTGTATACCGTATGTAATGTATTTCATGGGGCAAAGGGAGGCTCAGGAACGTAACTCCTGTATTTTATCTATTTCTTATGGGGAAAATTGATCTGCTTAACGTTGTTTCATATAACGACACGTTTTTAGGAACGTAACCCCGATGTTAAAAGAGGATTTACTGTAATTACCCTTTCTAGTTCCCGATTTATTTATCAACTTCCAGGCCTAAAGATTAACCACCCTAATGCTAACCTAACCCCATCCACCAAACAGTATTAGGGGTGATTAGGTTAGGTTATGTTAGAGGTGATTAGGTTTTCGGGATACTGTACTAAAGTATAAAGAAACGCCTTAGACTATCCTAAAAACTATTGCAGAACTACCTACAGACGACAAAGGCCATTAACAATAGCACCACTAATTTGTCTATTAAGAATAAAACACTATAAACTATGCATTACAAACCTTCATGGTGACTTCCCAAGCCTGGCAGTTGTTTGCACGAGAACAGCAGTTTGTTATTATCGTACCTGAAGTTCATTCATTGTGACTGTTTTCAGTCTGTTCTGTCGGCACTCTTGTCTGTCTCTCGCTCTACTTGACTGTTTTAAAAGCTGCCGTGTCCCTATTTCACAATGTACAGAACTATTATTACTTCTCACATTCACTTTCTTGGCAAAACGCTCACATTGACTAAAATTACGTCAACCCCCCCCCCCTCGAGTCCCGATGGAATTTTATCTTCCAGGTAATGAGGACATTTTCACCTCCAGGTCACGCAGACATCTTCACCTCCAGGTCACACAAACACCTTTACGGCGTCACCCTCAAAGCCCCCGTTAACTACACAGTACAAGTCACAATATTAATTACAGTATATTACTCCTAAGTCCACGGTAATTCTATCCAGGGCACAATCATTTGACAATTTCTTCAAGACACTGCCGCTCGACTATTGTCCACGTGTGTCATTTGCTCTGTCTGTCTGTCTGTCTCCCACTACAGAACGACAGTGAACAGGGTGCTATTTGATGAGCTCTTATCGCTCACCTTATCTACCCCAACCGTCCTATTTGTGTGTGTGTTACTCTGTATATCTCGAAATATGTATGTATGTCTTGATCTACGTCTGTTACTGTTTGTTTGTCTGTACGTATGATTTATGATGTTAATCTGACGATGTTACGTTTGTCTGTGCCTCTCTAATACTATATGTCTGTTAGCCCCTTTCTCTGTGTCTGTAAGTCAGTTTAAATTCAAATGATTTTTTTTATTATACTTAACGATATATTATGTTTACTTCTACATCACTTTACACTAGCTTATCCGTCTGCTTTTATGTACGTCAGGGGAACAATCTGTCTGTCTGTCAATTATCGTCAATTCATCCGTCAATTTGAATGATCACGTTTCTATATGCAGTAACATATAATCTGTCTATATCTCTTTTTTTAACTTCGGTCAGCGTTGTTGTTTGTATATCACACGACAGACAGACAGACACAAACAGGCAGCAGCTGACACACTTCCACCTCCACCACTAGTCTCCGCTACACTGAACCACACAGCACACCCCTTCCCTCCCCCTCCTATGGCCCGGAAATGTACCGGAAGGTGGGGGTGGGGGTGGGGAAGGGAAGCATGGAAGGGAGGTCAGTCACGCTTGCTGCTTCTCTCTTTCTAGGTGTATATGTGTGTTGATAACAGTATAAATGCCAGGTGTGTGTGTGTGTGTTCTACATAGTTTTGTAAATAACAGATACAATCACCACACAAACAAACTGTGTATCATCATCATCAGACCTCTGCACTAGACACAATCCTCAAGACAAGACCCTCCTTCCCCCTCCCTTAAACCTGTTCTTATACTACTCCAGTTACACGGGAGGGGTGGAGGGGTGGAAGGGGAGGGGTGGGGTACAGTGGGGGGAGAGGTGTGGTACAGTGAGGAGAGATTACAGTGGGGAGAGATGGGGTACAGTGAGGGGAGAGGTGGGTACAGTGGGGAGAGGTGTGGTACAGTGGGGGAGAGGTGTGGTACAGTGGGGAGGTGTGGTACAGTGGTACAGTGGGGGGGGAGGTGTGGTACAGTGGGGGAGAGGGTGTGGTGTGGTGGGGAAGAGGTGTGGTACAGTGGGGGAGAGGTGTGTGGGGGGAGGTGTGGTACAGTGAGGGGAGAGCTGTGGTACAGCAGTGGGGGAGAGGTGTGGTACAGTGGGGGAGAGGTGTGGTACGTGGAGAGGGTGTTGCAGTGGGGGGGGGTACAGTGGGGGTGGTGGGGAGAGGTGTGGTACAGGGGGGAGAGGTGTGGTACAGTGGGGGAGGGGACAGTGGGGGGAGGTGTGGTACAGTGGGGGGGGAGGTGTGGTACAGTGGGGGGAGAGGTGGTACAGTGGGGGAGTGTGTGAGGTACAGTGGGGAGAGGTGTGGTACAGTGGGGGGAGAGGTGGTACAGTGGGGGAGAGGTGTGGTACAGTGGGGGAGAGGTGTGGTACAGTGGGGGAGAGGGTGGGCAGTGGGGGGGTGTGGTACAGTGGGGAGAGGTGGTACAGTGGGGGGAGGTACAGTGGGGAGAGGTGGGTACAGTGGGGAGAGGTGCAGTGGGGAGGTGTGTGCACAGTGGGGGAGGTGTGATGCAGTACACAGTGGGGGGGAGAGGTGTGATGGGGGTGGGAGAGGTGTGGTACAGTGGGGTGGTGGGGGGAGACAGTGGGGGGAGAGGTGTGGTACAGTGGGGGGAGAGGTGTGGTACAGTGGGGGAGAGGTGTGGTACAGTGGGGAGAGGTGTGGTACAGTGGGGGGGTGTGGGGAGGTGGTGGGGGGGGGTGGGTACAGTGGGGGGAGAGGTGTGGTACAGTGTGATACAGTGGGGGGAGAGGTGTGATACAGTGAGAGGGTACAGTGGGGGGGGGAGGTGTGGGGGAGAGGTGTGGTACAGTGGGAGAGGTGTGGTACAGTGAGGGTGAGGGGTGTGGTGAGGGGGGGGGGTACAGTGGGAGAGGTGTGGGTACAGTGGTGGGGAGGTGTGGTACAGTGGGGAGAGGTGTGGTACAGTGAGGGGAGAGGTGTGGTGCAGTGTGTGGTACAGTGAGGGGAGAGTGTGGTACAGTGGGGGGAGAGGTGTGGTACAGTGGGGGAGAGGTGTGGTACAGTGGGGAGAGAGGTGGTACAGTGAGGGGAAGGTGGGGTACAGTGGGGGAGAGGTGTGGTACAGTGGGGGGAGGTGTGGTACAGTGGGGGGAGTGTGGTACAGTGGGGAGGGTGGTGGTGGGGGAGAGGTGTGGGTACAGTGAGGGGAGAGGTGTGGTACAGTGGGGGGTGAGAGGCGGTGAAACTGGGAGAGGAAATCAATACGAGGTACAGTGAACTGAAACCTTTGTAAGAGAAGAAAGGCGTCAAGATTTTCTATAGGAGAATAGACACAGTTGCATGGAATATGTAAAATGATTATCTGTGGCAATTTATTATGCTATGAAGCTGATAAATAAAACTTTGCATGTGGCGGGTGAAAAACAAAGTATCTCATCTTCTTGAAACTCATTACTAGTACTGCAATCAATTTTTCAGTATACAGTAGTACAGTATATCTGACAAATGTACCACTTTAATAATACAGTACATGAGGCACCTAACACCTTTCCAGTGTCAGTTCTAGGCTTTTAGGTGCCCTAGGCAAGACTTGATCATGGGGCCCCCCACTTCCCTAACCAAACAAGCCACCGACCTCCACTCACCCAAAAGGAAAACAAATAAGTACTTACAATTTGTTTTTAGTGGTATTCATTATTACATCCCGTTTTACATTACTTATATTTTATAGAGATGCTGAAAATGTGCACTGTCCATTTATCTTGATAAAATCACACAGGGAAAAGGTGATGCAATACAACAGAAACAGTACAGGTATAATACAGTCTTTCAAATTACTGTTCTGTACAGTATACCTGTGCATGTTAATACTGTATACGGATATACAGTGATATCTCCATTAGCCGAAACAATTGGTACAGCGCACATCCGAGAATGAGAGATTTCCGGGTAATGAGACGACTCTCCCAAAGCCGGAAAAAGAGTACCGGAAAATTTGTCTTTGAATTTCCAGAAAATGTGTCCGATTTTCATCTCTCAAACCTGGAAAAAAAACTCTATTACAGAATTTTCTGGGCACTAGAAAAGTTTTCTCGGAATTTTCCAGAAAATGCGCCCCTTGGAAAATCGTTCCCAAAGCCAGAATTTGGGAACGAATTTCCGAGAAAATTTAAATTCCGGCTATCAGAGAGATCCGATTAAGAGGGATTCTGGCTAACGGAGATATTATTTATTGCCTCCCATGAATTGTTGAAGACATGAATATGATATACAGTATAGTAGTGTACTCAAATAATTCAGGATTCCTCTACTACAATACACAGTACGTATAAGAGAGTATGGCATTCAGGTCAATAATTTTTTGGTGGTAAAAAGTGCTATCTGTATAAGTGGATACTGTATATAAATACTGAGTAAATATATAAAATTGACTCCCCGTATTTTTCTCTGCTTAGCTTTCACACTTCACAATGATAGATGACGTCGTGATATTCTGAACCAAGACCACGTAAATATTCTTTAAACTTACTGTGATGAAGAACATGTGTTATAATATACTGTAATTGACAGCAGAAATAAGTAGTGGCATTACATGGTACACCTTGTTAGGCATATAAATTTTCTTGATGAACACTGTAATGTTATGTAAAACAACAATCCTATTCAGTATTTCCTGTCCTTGTTCTCACATTCACAACAAGTGTCACAGTGGCACCTTTCTCATCCCCATCATGGCTGGAGCTCTATCTCTTGTTATACCAATACTGATACAGGTACTGTATAGTTATAGGCATAAAATGCTTAAAAATATTTTTTGTCACTTAAAAGTGATTTTTTATGCCTAAAACTAAGATTTGGAAAAAAAGCGAGAACAACATAGAACTAAAAGGAAGAATTATGATATAGTGTTTCGCCGCCACTCCTCTGGAGACTTAACAAAATAATCCATTACCTATGATTTTAGTAGAAATAAACCATTTAGTGATAAAAACACAAACTTGTGAGTACTAGTGGCCCTTAAAATATTACTGAAGCATTCTGAACATGAGCCTACAGCTATGTACTCCTGGATGCACAGTTAAAGTTGTTGTTTCTTGATCAAATTCCAAATGTTATTTTTTTATTACTCCACCAGATGTAGCTACCTGGGCATTCTTTGAATTAAAAAAACATTTTACTGAAGTCCCAAAGAAAACAAACCATTGAGGATGCACATTAAAAAGACCTTTATCTTAAAAATTTTCACCTATTTGTGCAACAGCAAAGAGTGCTTCTTAATACTGATTGAAATTGCCTGATTTTTACAGGAACAAACCACTTTGCACTGGCAAACCTCAGTGCCACTCAGAGGTTTGTTCCTGCTAAATTTAGATATACAGTACATGACAAAAAGCCTAGATACAATTCCTCCGAACTTTTACTGGTGTTCTTAATGTAAGAAACAAGTTTTCTTCTGTAGAATTTGTTTCTCACCGACACATGCTATTGTTTTAATGGCCAGATGTATAAACCATACTGCAGGGATGAGCAAAACAGTCACAGTTGTAGACAAATGGAACAAATTCCCTGACTATGTAAAGAGTGTCATATATATGTTAAAACAAGTACATTTAAGCAATTACAGTATTGTAGATTATAATAAAAAATTCAGACTTTAGTTACCTGTACATAAAAACATGGGCTCCCTTTTGTGCTGACTAAAATCAAATACCTGTACTGTATTTATTTGTGTCCCCCATAATGAAGGGGTTAATGGACTTAAAATCACAAGCTATCATCGTTGATATTCAGCGAGACTGAGAACTTTCTAGAGAATTAAATACTGCTACATCTATTGTTCGTAAAATGAACCAGGCTAACCTGCCCAAACTTCACCTCAACATTATTATATTATCTAGGTTAAGCAGGTTAGTGTGGTTAATTTTATGAATGATAACTTATATACTGTAGCGGTAGGAAGCTCCCCCCCACCCCAAATTCGTGGGGCTTAGGTTCTCAAAATTGCTGCGAATCGCCAAATCCGCAAATAACATTTGTGGATTGGTGGTGGGGGGGGGGGACATTTTTACTTGTGTACATCGAAATGTATATTTCCTTTATGTGTTTGCCCTTAGGACAATTATTTCTTTCACCTGTAATAATGTATTGTATATGTGTGTGTGTGTACACACACACACACACACACAAAACACATACAAATAAATAATAATGGGAAAATCCTCTCACAAATAATCAGAAACAAATTTATTAAAAATGTGGGTCTACCCTCAAGTTCGTGCTCTATTACAGTACTTTATTCATAGAGCACGGACTTGAGGGTAGACTGTCACATTTTTAATAAATTTGTTTCTGATTATTTGTGAGAGAATTTTCCCATTATTATTTATTTGTATGTGTGTGTTTGTGTCAACACACACGCACACATATTTACAATATAAGTAAAGGAAATTACTGTCTCTAGAACGAATGGCTCGCTGTCCCAGCCGCAAAAATGCCGGCAACTTTAAAACTACCCACAGACATTCTTGGGTATATCCAGGGTGCCATCCACGAATAACCGAGAACCGTGAAGTAAAAGTCTGCAAACTTAGGGGGCCCCCCTGTATCTATTTCTCCAGAATGCTCCCAACCTCACCGAAAGTCAATGACAGAGCTCATGATTTTACACCTGTTAAATACAAGACAGAGGACAACGCTTCCACCAGAAGTAGTTTATGGCTTTTTATATTATTTGTTTCACATTATGCTATCATTATATAATAAGTATTTTGAAAGAGGCAACATTTACTAGAACCTAATAGAACCTGACCTAACCAACCAAACAAACCTACCTAACCTTACCTAACTTCTTAGCCAAGGGGGCTCCAACCCCCAGACCTCCTGCCATATTAAACAGAAAGTACTTATTTTATTTTCTGGTACCAATGAAAGTATATTGTTGAAGCATCATGATGCAATTTTACGTTTTTTGTGGACATGAGTACACTCAGACCGAGCGGGGCAGTTGTAAATAAACAAGGCAGACGACAACATGCACGGACACGACAGATTTTTTTGGAGGATTATTCACAGCAAAAATTTCATTTCTTCACATACGAAGCACGCAGAGACATAATATTAGTGTCATATCAGTTTCTCAAAGTGTTTTACTCCACAATTTCCTTCATCCTTCTTGTATAAAATTTGGTAAAATTATCGTGTTGGTCATCCACCTACAAGGTATTTGGAAGTTGGTCAGAATCGTTCAAAACACATAAAAAACCACAGGAAAAACATAATTTCAACCTAACCTAACCTAACCTAAACCTCTCTCGGACAGTGGTAACTAAAACGCCTAAAATTCGCTGGATGACCGAAATGATAATAATGCCTAGAATTTTAACACATGGTTTAAAACAAAATGTTAATTCTGAAATGTTCTATTTGTTTCTGCAGTAAGAAAATATTTAGCAATTCTGAAAAAAAAGTGGTTGAGGCAGCGGTATAATTGCAGTTTCACTACAAATTAGTTTTTGACCAGAAATCTAGGTTTTCCCATTGTATTTGCTGTAATTTATTCGAATTTGACCTTCATCTCCGCCGAAAATGAGTAGTTTTCGAGTTATTACCCCCCCTCCCCTCAAGTGCCCTAGCCCAACTGGGAGTGAAACTACAATATTACCATTGTAACTTGGAAAACTATAATACCATAATACCAAGCCCCTTGAAACATATTCGCTCCTTACACCCCACTGAACTATAGTTTGATCCTCTTCACCACTGATTGGCTCCTTGGGCGGTGGGTCCCGTCTCTGTTGTGTACTGTCGGCAAGTACTGTATTGCTTTTAGACTTACCTAGTGTTGGGTATATATCAGTTGCCTGCTGTTGTACCTCGCCCAGAAACCGAAAGAGATGTCATCACAGGACTGAACGTTTGAGTGACTTAACACTCAAACCATCAGTCACTATCAACATTAAGAACGAGAATGGCATCCATGTCCTAAAGGTCACATCACTAAAGTTCTATTTATGACTAACAAGATAAAAACAAAACGTACTGTAGCTTATATCTTATATAAAATTTAAATGAAAATATATTTATATTCAGAGAAAATTCTGATTTGACAAATAGTTTCCAAGACATATTTAAATATTCATGTCTCTCTCCCAGGCCGTACACGGGTTCAAACACATTGTTTACCCCGCTAGGAGACGTCAGTGACCCATTTCCTTTTATAATACATTACTGTACTCTTAAGTTGGATTTATTAATTCGAATGTTATATAGTAAACAGTAATATATGATTATATCGTTGAAATAATATTATTTTTACCATCTCTTCCAGATTTTATTAACAATGAATCTGATCGAAAAAAAATACTCAATCTTGCTGACGGGTTCACTCTAATCCTTGTTACGATATTCTGATATTCATCCAATTCGTAACTTTTTAGCTTACTAACCAGTTGACAAGTAACTCGGAGTTATAATACTGTAAATACTTTTGAGTATCCGGCCCCTGGCTTCATTTAGATGGAATCATTCAATCCGCACGTCAGTGTGTCAGTGACGTATAAAGGGGGGGGAGTAATGGGCCATGGTTCTAATCGTCCTATTCCCTTTGCAGAGGCGTATCCAGGAGGGTCCTGGGGGGTTCGGACCCCTTTTCATCAGAAAAATCCAATACTTTTCCTTAGTGCAATATTGTTTTCATGCGTTTTTGTGTTGTAAAAAGTAATTACTATTGACCTTAGGGATTATCTGAAGATTCGTCGCCCCAGAATGTCCACCTGAAGAATTGTCACCCCGGGGTATCCCACCTGAAGAATTGTCACCCCGGGATATCCCATCTGAAGAATTGTCACCCCGGGATATCCCATCTGAAGAATTGTCACCCCGGGATATCCCACCTGAAGAATTGTCACCCCAGCCTGCTCCACCTGAAGAATCGTCACCCCAGCCCACAGTGAATATAATTTGTATAATTAGGATAACATAAATATATTCCTTTGTGTTATGCATCTTTATTGTGATGCATATTACAAAGGGTACTGAACAACAATTTGTTGACATAAAATTTCCAGAGGATTATCAGAAAAACGATGATGCCACATGAATTCTTGAAGGTAAGAATTTAAAAAGCTTCGTTTGCAGCCACGCATGGTCTTGATGTAACTCTTGTTCTTGTTCCAATATGATTCAATCGTTTGTGTGTGCACACCAATATTCACATCCACAAAATTGACTGAGTGGTTCACAGTTCTGTGCGTGTATCCAAGACCTTGAATATTGCGGTATGCTCTCCACTCATCACTGTGAATGACTGATCCTTGTTGAACCACTTTGAGTATTATAGGAAGAAGGGTGGCAGCATCCCTTGTCTCGACAATTTCCATGTAGCCAACTGAAGGGCTCCTGCTCGTATCGACGATACCGAAAACCCATGGTCGACTGATGATGACTAAAAATTTTTGAGCCCTCTTACTATTATATAGTCCTCCGACCTGACTGGAGGGTCCTGATTCCACTAACCTGAAGATTAACAACCGTGGAAGGTCCTGACCCCACCTGAAGAATTGTCACCCCAGGTGTTGCCACCTGAAGAATCGTCGCCCCAGGATATCCCACCTGAAGAATTGTCACCCTGCCGGACTCTAGGGTGACAATTCTTCAGGTGATCCGACCTCAGAATATATTCTGTTATCAAATGCACATGGCTTCAAAATGGCCTCAAAATGCCGATGATAATGTTCAGATTAAAAAAAAATCTAGTGGGTGGGGGATTACAGCGCCCTTACAAAATCCCCCAGCTGGGTGGGCTGGCTGTGCTCGCCTTGTTTCCCCACCTACAACTTCCGGGGCCCCCCCAATTTGATATTCCTGGATCCGCCTCTGCTTTGCTACTGTTTTCAACTTATCCGACCTCAGGTAATATTCAATAACCAAATCTAAGTGTTATATTAATTATCAAAGGATCTTTGTACATGTAACATGACCATCACAAAAAAAAATAAACAGAGGTAGATGGAAATAAAATAATCTCTTTTTGGGTCTTGCCTCCCCCCTCCCACCCCAACTTTCCCCAGAAGCTTATATATGCAACTGTCGCGCTCAGTGTGCACTACACCAAGGAATATAAACCTCTTTCAGGTGGTCTTCAATTCTTCATAGGTCAAGATCCTCAGGCCAGGGACCAAACACCGTTTATAGTCTTTGGCCAGATACAGTTGCGGAGGTGTGTTCCGACACCTCCTGTGGTAACCAGTGTCTCCAAACGGCACCGTCGCAGTAGTAGTATCATCACAATTTATGAATGACTGGGGATTTGTCGTGTAACAATGGACGTGACTGGTGGATAGGATTGCTAAAGGTCATATACAGAAGGTTGGCCGTTTGGAGCCACGGTTTACAACGGGATGTAGGAACATTTCTGCAACAGTATTAACATAGTCACTCTTCTCTGAACACTTCGACTGTGTGGACGTCTTTTATCTTGTGGAAATGTACACTACATTTACATATTCTAAGTATGGATGAATTGTGTAACTATCTGAAATTTCCTCTGTTTAAGTGGGTAGTGATCGCCGGGCCAGACCTATCATCTGGTTGTTGAGTTTGTCCGCTGTCGGCCACAAAATACATGTTTTTCCCCTTCGTTCTTTTTAGCTGAACATATTCGTTTCCATTCCTCATGTGCGGGGTTGTGGCCTCCCTCCCCCCCCCCTGTTGTTCTGATAGCCTTCATGTTATATTTGTCTGGGTGAAGGTGTTCGTATATAGACCGTGCAGATATACAATTTCCAGTGTGTCTAGACGGTGAAGGTATACAACAATAGTAAACATCAAGGCAATTAGACCAAGGATAGCCGATAAAGGCATCAGTTTTTTATTTCCAGTAGGATCCTTGCCTTAGGCTTGATTACTAATAATTAACCGTATATTTATAGGAATAAAAGGGAAAGTTTGTTGATAAATATAACAAGCATTATAATGTACTTGACTATCCGAGGTTGATGGGTCACTTCAACAATACAACCTAAGTAAACCATTGAATGTACTGAAACTAAGGAGATTCTGTTTAAATTGACACATGGGTTCACCTGTCCTCACCCACTACACTAAGTAATAAGGAACACATATAGGAATAAGAATAAGTTAAATAAACAAAAATCTAATTTATTTACTATAAAGACAATTAGAAGTTTTCCTACAGATGTTAATAACCTCGTCACCTGAAACTGATTTTTTGAAGAAGTGAGAAACATTTACTTGGCAGTTCTTCACTAAATCCCATAAAGTGTTTCTATGTCGGTGTTGTCAGAAATCTGGCCCAACGATCCAAAGACGTTACGGACAAGTTCCTCGTCACTAGAGGAACCTCATTCAAAGCATATTAATTATTATTATTCTAGGTAAACACCAACTTAGGAAATAATATCACAGATTCAGAAGTCTATAAACAATAATAATACTATATGAATAACAACTAAATGTACCAACTGTGTGTGAGGTGTAGACGGAAGGGATTGCCTTGGATTGGTTAGGATACCAACTTTAGATTTTATGGCATTAGGTTTGACACCCCAACCTGGGTTTTGTCCGCTGGGCAAGGAGGGTTACCTAACACCCCACATACCATGATGCCACCCATGGTAGTAAGCCATAAACATTGAATTTCTCTGGGTTCAAACATCTAAGCAATGAGGTTTCCAATCCACTGCGGGCTTCTCAAGGGCCAATGAAACTCCCATTTAGAACCGAGAAGGTCTCTTGCAGTTCTTACACCATATACGGATCATTTTATATGACGGAGGTTCAGTCTATTGCGGGCTGTTGAAATGGCTAAGTAAGGGAGACCAGTCTCACCCAGGCGTAACAGCGGACTATCTTTACCTTGGTGTGTGTGTGTGTGTACAGCTGGTTCAAATCTGGTGCTAAAAATGGATTGACTCGACTGATAAATCTCCTCTGCTTCTTTTACTCTTCTCGTTACAATGGCTGAGTGACTCGCTACTTTTACACATATAGGATGAGGACCTTACAGACATCCCTCATTATGACCCAGAAGTTTCCCGACTCTTTCACACAGAGATAGACACCTCATCACTCTCTCACACCAGGAATAAGAACTTCTTAACTTTCATACATCAAGACTGAGGTCCTTCTTGATCATACTGAGCGAGGCGACCCCCAAGGTCTTCAGTACGTCCTGGTAACTCGGTGGTGGTGGGTCTTCTGTCCAATCTGTTGACATTATGGTGGGTGGATAAGGTGGTAAAGGTTTTAAGTGACGCTTTGTGACAGGTGTACATGGTGATGAAGTTGTGTCGTGACGTCTTGTGATCGATGAAGATGGAGGTGACGGTGTGTCGTGACCCCCGGTGTCTACTTGTGGTGGAGGTGGACATCTCCCTGTTTTGCGGAGACTGTATGGTAACGGGTACTGGAGGGGCGTTGTTGTGGGCGTGGTGAGGGTAGAAGTTGGGCAGGGGAGTGTTGAGGGGTTGGCAAATGGAAAGGGAAGAATAGAAAGGGTGGAGGATGGACAGGAGGGCGTAGTGGGGGTGGAGAGTGGACGGGGAGAGGTGGTGTGGGTGGATGATCGACCAGAGGGCGCGGTAAGGATGGAAGAGGGATAGAAGGACGGGGCGAGAGTGGAGGGAGGACTGGGGATAGGTACTGCGATGTCCTTTGCCTGGTCGGTAAGATCAGTAGCCAACCTGGAGAGATAATAGTTTATTGTTAGGTATGTTAGTAATTCATTTAAAAGAGAGAGAGAGAGCAAAACTGCCTTTAATGGACAAGCCAATTCACATATAACGACCCTGTAAGTCCAGTGATTACTCTCAGTTCATTCCCATTATCCTCTCACAGTTCACCTAGTCAAGTTCATTTCCAGGTGAATTAAGAAAAAAAACAGTCAATTATATTTTGTAAAATAAAAGGCAAAAATAAACAAAAGAAAAAACACAACAAAATTAACAAACATATTAAACCTATAAATTAAACACAGTAAACATTAAACATTCACACACATACATACATACACACACACACACACACACACACACACACACATCTATACATATCACATAAGATTATTGGAAGCTGTAAATTAGGTGAAGTCTAGCAATGCTCTTAAATACATCCATAATAACACTCTGAAAAACCATAGGCAGCGAGTAATTAGCGTTAGAAAAGTAATTAAGTAGTTAGGTTAGGATTAGGGTTAGGTTAGGTTAAGCTGAGGCTGTTAGAATTGTGGGCCAATTACTTTACACTTACTTGGAGTAGTAGACGTGGCCCCAGGAGTCCCTGTAGGTGGGGGGAGGGTCCTGCCGGTTGTAGACTTTTTTATCTTGGTGGTGGCGACGCACACAAACGATGAACATCACACACAGCAGCATGGCGATGCCTGGGGCCGGACCACAGTGAAGACAACATGAGGACAAGTGGCTCTGTTATATCTCTTATGAATGAAACTTATTAAACAATTGAACCGCCATGTCAGTTATCCATCACAGAACATCTATGTACTTTCTCCATTTGCTCAAAACAGTTCTTAAAAGTCTTTCAAAATATACAAATTAAAAACAGTAAGCATTAAACAATACGTTCTCTAACACACACACAAGATAACTATCACCAAGGATTCTACACTACGGTATATTGTACACAAACCTCGCTATGACACAACAGGTCGATGATGGTGAGGCACAAATACAGAAGATAAGATAATGAAGGTGAAGTGGTAAACGAACATAAAAAAACAAAATAAAACACTTACAGAATTTAGACACGCTAGGAGGTTATTTAAATACAAACATCTTACTATTACTAGGTTGTTGGGCCAAGGACCAATCCCGCACTAATGCATCTATGTCCACTTCTTGTTCACCTTGTCCATAATATTAGTTTGTAGAGAACGTACAAAAGAGGGCCACCAGACAGGTGCCTGTACTCCGGCACCTTATAGGTATCCAGAGAGATAGAACATCTGTAGTTGCCTTACTTATACTGAAGCCAGGCAAGAGGTGATTTAATAGGTTTATAAGCACCCCAGAGGACATTGCTTAATCGAATGCTCATTTTTAGAACTAACGGATGCCCGCCCCACTAGGTCGCAGCCTCAGGTTAAAGAAGTAACGCGTAAAAAAAAATTGTCCAGGCAAACTTTTTTGGAGCGAGAGTTGTGAACCCTTGGATTAACCTGCCAGAGAGTGCTGTGACGGCACCGAGTGTGAGCTCATTCAAGATCAGACTTGACAAACACTGGAGCAGGTTCAGAACATTCTTGAACCAGTACATGGCCAATACTTGTCAACGGTGCGTAACAGAAACGTGACCGACCGCCCAAGCGGCTAACAGGCCGACCAGTGGTGAAGAGAATAAAGTAAATTATACACACAACACTAACCAACGTAATTAGACAAATCACAGATTATAAAAAAGTACAAACCAAAGAAGAAGATGAAGACAAGCTACTTACCGCTTATGACGAAGCAGGAGTAAGCCACTATAGGTAACTTGAGGGTGATGAGCACCACACAGCCTGCGAGCACCAGCATAAAAGAGTAGAACATAGTGGTGGCGATGGTTACGATCTGCAATGCAATGCAATGAGAGCGTGAGTAGTAGCACATCATGGGGCAGTAGTCTCTGGAGGGTCGAGGTGTTTGGATCTGACAAGAAAGGTGTCTCCTCAAACCGGCATTTCCATAACTTAAAATTATTGAGCGGGCGTAAATGATGATGATAGTGGAAGAAAGAGGAGTGTGGGCTGTTAAAAATGTGGACTTCCACTTTTTGGTAGTAATATTTGTGGAACGACAAGCAAACCAGGAATTTTATAAATATGTTAATTTGGATTAACAAATCATAGTACTGTTATGTCACTTATTGTTATTTGTTGTGTATCATGCTAGGTAAATAAAACAAGACAACTGTGCAGGGGTATACAATCATACCAGAGATCAAATTCAATACATTCGTAAAATAAATTCAGTTCGTAGTTTTACATTATAATTCAGTTTCACCCCTTTTTAATTTTGCTCTCATTAACACTTTTATCCTCTTCGCTATTGATCGGCTTGTTAGACTCCTGAAGCGATGGGCCCGACAAAGCGAGGTACAGTATAAAGGACCCGACACTCTGGGGGTCCCCGGCTCCCACACCTGAATGTACTAGAGACAATACTTTGTGGTAGTGTAGTGACACTGCAGCATATTATGGAATTTCCTTGTTGCTATTGATCGTGAATAACAATCAGGGTCCATTACCTACAATTACCTACTAATAACTTAACACTACAGTATTATACTAATAACTCATCCTGGATATATGTCCCCAGAATATTGGTTATATCACATCTCTAAGAAGCTTAATAGTATTATACTTGTTAAAAGACATTCGATACCGTTATGTATTTAATTAACCGCTACCCGAAACCCAGGAATCATTACCATTATTTAAGAATATAAATGTTTACTATCCAAACACTTGGATACGTTTTCTCTACAAAACAGTGTAAATATTCTCTGTAAATGAGTTGGAGGCGTAACTTTCTCAAATAGATTTTATGCACGAGGAACTGCAATTCATCATGGTTCAATATCTCTTTTAGTATTGTTACGACCGTGTCGTATATTTCTATTATTTCTTATTACATGCTTCAATGTTGTTCCATATTATTCCTGAAATGATGTGTTATATATACTATTATATATTCTAGTCACCTTACCCAATGCTGTTAAGGTTTTAACTGTCATTATTTGTTCAAGCCCATCTTATTTCTTCATTTAGTATTGTAACAAGCATTCTTTGTTTCTCTAACGACCATCTGCATCGTTAAACGACCCATGTTTCACCGGCGTGTCGCACTGGCGGGAGCCGACTTTATATATACAGTAGTACCCACCAGCAGACGGAGTGCAGTCCAGTCCTCCTGTCATTCAGTCCACGTTCTTTTGAGTGACACCCGTCACCTGTTACTTATACTTAATTTTATTTCTGTGTTGTTCCTGTCGCCACCAATGTGGTATATCTATGTGAGTACCTATTCATGTCTCTTATGTGTCCATCAGTGCTTGCTTGGTTACATTTAAGTAATTCAGTGTTGTTTCACGATAGTTAATTTCAGTGTTAGTTATTTATATGTTTATGCAGTGTTAACGTGATCCAGTGCTTTATTTTTATTCTATATGTTTCAGCAGTTCTTTTGAGGTTTCGATGTTTTAGTATCATTTGTGTCTTAAAAGTTTCGATAGTGAATCAATTTGTTGTGACAGCCTACGAGGCTCTCTATTGTGTTAGTATTTAATTAAATTAAATTCTTAAAGGTTTACTTTATTTATTTTTATTCCCTTTTGATTTACTTCAATTTTTTTTGTTTGGTTACGCCTAGAACCTGGATATTAAAGTAAATTAAGAGACGGCGTAACAGTATTTTAAATTTATGATGCACATTACAAATGTATATGCATTTACGAGGTTATAAATATTACAGTTCCGCCGTCCAGGATTTGAAGATATCTGCAACACCTGACGTAATATTGTCTTTCAGATTTAACTCTTGGTACGAGAGCAAGCTAAGGTTCAAATGTTGTAATGAATGGATGGATGGATGGATGGTTGGACGAGAGAGGAAATAAATAGTACTGACTGGCCTGGCTTGCTGAAAAATAAGAACATGGATACTACCCTGAATACCACTGACAGTATAGTGTACTATTTGATGAAGTAACATACCCAACACCATGCCCGTTGATTCCAGGGCACGTGGGAGACCGTTAAACATGAACTATGCTGCAAATGACAGTTAAGAACAAATTTCAAAATTTCAAGACGTGGGTCGCGACAAAAGATGAACGGGAAGAATTACTTAAGATGCTGGATTTGTGGACACAGGCTCTGGAGTATGGTGGAAATATTGATAACTTATACCTACACTTTGCCAAGACATTCGATAGCGTATCCCATGGAAGGCTAAAAATTAAACTGGAAGTGTACGGAATGTGGGAGAACGACCTGGCGAGGTAAAATTACAACTTTGAAGATCGCAAGCAGATGGTGGTGATTAATGGTACGAAATCGTCATGTGTATCCGTGAGAAATAGGGTGCCGCTGGGCACTGTGCTGGGACCGATGTTATTGTATGTTTCTTGAATGATGTGCCAGATGCAAACATTATATATTCCTCCATACAAATGTTTGTGGACGATGCTAATTTATTCAGGGAAATTAAGAATCAATTGGGCTGTGAAGCACTACAGGACGATCTCTTACGGCTTCAGCAGTGTTCAGAGGAGTGGGTGCTAAGATTTAACATTACGAAACGCAAAAGGGTGCTAACGTGCTAACGTGACGAAGAAAATAAATAACAAACCAATTTTGAAAAGGATCTGGGTGTGGAAGTTGACGTCGAGCTGAAGTTCTCGGACCATCGACAGAAGAAGGGAAGTTAAGTAAATAAATTACTAGGACTTATAAGGGCGTTCACATAACAAGACAGTCCTTTCCTCCTAAAGCTCCCCAGAAGTGAGGTGCTTCCCCTTTTGTAGTACTGTCACCCCACCCCGTCTGGTCCCCAAGAAATGCTCGAGACTGTCAGTTGGTTGAGAACGTTCAAAAGAGAGCCACCAGACAGGTGCCTGCATTCTAGTACCTCAAGTATCGAAAGAGATTAGAACGCCCGCAGTTGCCTAAATTATACTAAGGACGGGTTGGGGGTGACTTAATGGAAATTTATAAGCACTTAAGAAGATATTATTCAGTCAGTGTTCACGCCTGGAGCTAGCAGATGCTCTCCACACTAGAGATCACAATCTCAGATTAAAGAAGCCATAAATACGGAAAATTGTCAAAGGTAACTATTTTGGAGTGAGAAATGTGAACTCTTGGAACAATCTGCCAGAGAGTGTTGTGACGGCACCGAGTGTGAGCTCTTTTAAGAACAGACTTGATCAACACTAGAGCAGGTTCAGGTAAATTCTGGACCATTACACGCCCAGTACTTACCAGCAGGTTGTAACAGAGACGTGCCTGACCGGGTAAGTGGCTAACAGATCGATTAGTGGCGAAGAGGATAAAATATTTTGCCCCAGCTCACAAGTATCGTTCGTAGCGCGATGGTATAGGCGTGACGTAGGTTAAAGCCTAGGACGGGGTAATTGTTACATCAATATACACTCACCTGCAGTTGATAAGGTTGTTCATTAGTGCCCAAGTCTTGCATCATGGTGGCGGTGAAGACACTGTTGGCACAAAGTAAAGTTGAGTTACAATATCCGCTTCAGTAACAATCAAGTTCCTCAACGCTACTCGTTGCCTCTACCTCAGGGACACACACAAGAATCATTTCTCTTTTCTATTTCAAAATTTTCAATCATTTCATTATTTTTACTGTTCCCATTACTCTTTATAATAACTTACATCCCATGGCTACATATCAGATAATTCTTTATCCTAATGGTCCACATTCCCATTAGACTCCTGACCTTATTAAGTCCAAACCTTATACAAAGTGACCATAAGGACTGGGATTGATTACAACTTGGGCCCTACTAGACTTGGGCTTTATTTAGACTGGTTTCCAAGTCTACTGATTAGGTTAAATGAAGCTAGACAGGACCTATTAGAACTAAGGGTTGCTAGCACTGTGTCCCATTTAACCTGTCATTATATACTGTCACTCTAAATCCTCACAGCCAATGCTTCTTTATTTACTATTTCCATAAACTAAGGTCAACACTATAAGGCGAGACATACGTTATCACAGACTATCTCCTTGATGACCGACAAAGATACTCTTTATCTGTTCATCACAGTTAGACGTCTCTTGCTCATCTCACTTATCTTTCATATTTATCCTGTGACTGGTCTAATGGCCACTGTACTAATGATACTAGTTCAAATGGGCTTCCGTTATTGTCCTAATGGGCGGCAGTCTTAGTGGTTATAGGTTAGGTTGATGGCCTAGAGTCAAGCCTATTTTAACCTACATAAGGAATGGGTTTACAGTTCTAGTGGGGTCTTGTCCTATTAAGTTCTACTAGTTGTGAAATGCCATCCTACAGGTCTCCAAAACCTTATGATTAGTTTACATTAATTTGGTATTTATTATAACTAGGTCCCATCTGATTGCAAACACAACAACAGGTCGACTTGACAGGTAGGATCACAGTTTATGCACCTCGGCTTGGCGTTCTGGTTGGGTGTCCTCAAGTATTTTGGTGAAAAGTTATCTTCCAGGCTGCTCGGTAAGGCTAGTCCATGCAACTCACTACGAAGGTTCGTTTTAGGGAGGTTTCCTCAAGGAGTGTTTACATGACGTGACGAGAGTACCCACTGATGCCCATATAAAGTACCAAGTATTACCCATAGCACGTGTATACCCTCTAAAACACACACACACACACACACACACACACACACATTAAACAAATGGGAATTACTATTTTCTATATGATAAACCCGATTTAACTACCTTATCAGTACTGTGGAATACCCGTGTTCAGGCAGACAGTGGCACAGAAGACATCACTTAGGCAACAAGACGCTCTGAGGAACTACTGCAGAGGAGACCACCAGCTGCAATGATGTAGGGGAAGTGTTCCCAGTAGTAGTGCTCAGCTGCCGACATTGTTTTCATCCGGGAAGTAGGACGCCCTAGATCAGCTGATTAGATACGACTGTCAGCTGTTGTGAAGAAAATGTGCGTTTATAGATGATATTCTTGATGCACCAGTTACTGTACTTTTTTAACATATACAGTGCCATAATTGTTAACATGCAGTGCCATAATTGTTAACATGTACAGTGCCACCATTGTTAACATATACAGTATATAAACAAACATCTAAAAAAAACACATAAAAAAACGAAACTTGTTACATTTTCGCGACTTCAAATCTTGATCTGTAAACGACCTCTCTTGTGACCGACTCCGAGTGTTCAGGGAATTTTGACCACAAGTGGACATAGTATCTCCACAGACCATTATATCTCTAAGTATGTTTTCTAAGGTGACTTAATAAGTGTTCAGTGTGTCTTAAGACTTGCCTCTATAAGTACCGTATACGTCACTGTATTACCTGTATTTCAGGATGTAATTTTCGGAATAAAGTAAAAATTTTCAGCGTCAGGTTCACTATATCTGGTACACGAGAGAGCAGAGAGAGAGAGAGAGAGAGAGAGAGAGAGAGAGAGAGAGAGAGAGAGAGAGAGTTGCCCTACTCATCTTCCTCAGCCTAGGAGATGAATCACTACCGTAAGGGGCATTTTGATAAACGATGCCGCTGAAGATAGTGCTATCCCGCCTACATCATTTTGGTTGATAGTGCTCCTCTGATATAACAAGAACAACGCCTTTACTGACTTTAGCCTCGCCGGCCTTAGTAGGAAATGAATTTTGCGGCGTTATTAAGGTAATAACTTGTAGTAATAATGATTCAGAATACTATAATGTTCTGGCTAAAAAACGTTTTAGAATACCCTAATTAAACCTTATGGGTTTACGTAACACAATTTGATGGATATTTCGTAAACAAAAAGTATATAATTTATTTAAAAGATTTTTGTTTTCGTCAGGTCAAGGGAACTGAGCTTGTTCAACGTGTAAAGAAAAGAGAGAAGCGTTTGAAAACAATGGAGCTGCTACGTTTTTTTAATGATAAATTTTTTGATCTTTTTTTTCGTCAAAGGTGAATGATATTTTTGTTGACATTCTTATTACCTTATACCTTATCGAGGTGATCAAAAGTTGTTCTGGTGGTGACCAAGAGTTATCCTGGCGGTGATCAAGAGTTATCCTGGTGAACATCCTCGTCAGATATCACCACTGTAGCTCTTACCGTTCTCCAGTTATAATACGTCCACGTTCCCTAAAACATTATCATTACCTTCTCCGTCTTTACTATTTGAAACACTGGACTAAAGTCTTTGATATATTTTCCAGTGCATCGTCATATGTTGGTATGCCTTCCTGACAAGTACACACAACATATATATTTGTAACATATCGTCAAGAATACAACTTAAATTACTAGTCATTTTGAAATTCTAACGGTTCTCTGTACGAAAATGTTACCAGATAATTAGATCCACATCGACCCCAATAACGATAATTTTTGTGACCCGTATTTATATATCGAATAATCGGATCAACTGAAGACTAGACACCCCAGTTTATTTCACCTAAAGATTAACCACTCTAACGTTGCCTGGGGTTAGGTTAGTGCTGGGGTGGTTAATGTTGAAATAAACTAGGGTGTGTAATCTTCATGTGCTACGAGTAATCTCCCGACATACATACATACGTGTACACAGACACGGCACTGACGCCACAGACAACGACCAACGTTCAGGTGGAGGCGGTCAAGGGTGGACACCTGCCGATAGTGTGTGACCGATGGCTGACAGGAGCGTGAGCGAGTGAACCAGGATGGTGTGTGTGAGTGTAAGGATGGTGGGATGGGTGTATACTGTGTACTGTGTGGTGTATTGTACAGTATATATGCACCGTATGGGGGAGGGAGAGAGTACCTTCACCGTTGTATCTTGCCCCAGGGTAGAGTGAGTGAGAGGGGTGTTTGTGTACTGTGTGGAGGTGTAGTGTACGAGGGTGTACTATCAGTATCTACGTGGCATGTAAAAAAGTACCAGTTGCAATTCTTTATATTATCTTTGTTTCAGACAGTGACTTAATTTCCCCACGACTTTTTTTCCAATTCTAAACACTTGGTAGAAATATTCCTCTTACAGCAGAGTGGAGGCAAAGTCAAATGAGGTTAAACGTAAAAGATGCAACACAAGATAAGGTCAGAATCACCCATACACGTGACACATAGTACAGTCATTAATGTTGTCTGCATCAGTAACTACAAACAGAAAATAACATCACGTTAACTTCCTCACGAGTTTTAATAGTAATTCATGTTTTAACTCAGGATAAAATTCGGGTACAACACTTCTATCCTGCATCAAAGGAACAGAAGACAGTAATTGTAACACATAATTTATCTTACCTAAAGGCAAATGACTCTAGTGGGAAGGTCACACAATGGAAGGCAGATAGAAAGGTATTGTAATGAATCGTGATCTGCAACAAAACACAAACACGAGTATGAAACAAATGAACTGCGTTAACATCGGGAAAAAGAGGAAAAATATGGTGTTGGTGGTTCACTAGAGGCGCCCCTCTCCTCCAGGACAATGACCCGACACAGTCAAAACAAAGACATAAAATCAAGAATTGTAAACGAGGAGATCTTCCCCACCCATCACCATCAGTAGTCAACACTCCCACAGATTTTCAGAGTCAAGGAATCAACGACGATACTGTGCTTACCGCTGTACTGAGGCAAGCGATTCATAAACAAAAACACATCGAGAGGAATAAGATGTGAATAGAAACATGATTTTTTTTCCGTTTCTCATTTTTTTTTCCTCTCGTGAGTCGGGAGTGGGTAACTGATGGTTCGCAGTGTGTGTCTGTGTGTGTGTATCTGTGTATCTGGTTCAGAGAGGAGGGAGTGATGGCAGGAGAGTGTATTGTGTACTGCCAGGAGTTATCTTAGTGACACAGCTGCGACCGCCTCTACACTTTCCGGCCTCGATGGATTTTATTGATTTATCGGCTCAGAGAGAGAGAGAGAGAGAGAGAGAGAGAGAGTTGGTGTTGTAAAGTTGGTTCTAAACTCAATATTTATCAACAAAAATAAAATACGTGTTAATCTGTCTGTCTGTCAGTGTGTTTCCTCTGTCTTTTCCTTTCTCTTTTAATCTATTTCTCCGTTTCTTTCTCTTATCCGTCTCCTTCAATCCCTTATCTCTTTTTTCTCTCTTTCTCTTTCTCCCTCTCTCTCTCTTTCTGCCTTGCTCTCTCTCTCTCTGTACACCCCGCTTTCCCTTCTTTCATTCTCTCTTTGTCCTTGTCACTATTCTCCTCCTTACTCTCCCCCTCTCTTCCTCAACCTTTCTCTCTCTCTCTCTCTCTCCCTCGCTATCCCACACACTCGCTTACTCTCTCTCAACATGACTCGTGTATAGGACACGTTAACATCACTGCTAACTTCCCTACCCGTTAGTGCGTAGGAATGTGTGGACGTCAGCAGGTGTGTTGTACCACACGTGTACAACACTGTCAGGTACACGTGTACAACACTGAGAAGGCTCCAGGACTCCCAGGCTCCAGGGCTCCCAGGCTCTCGGGCTCCCAGGCTTCAGTGTTGGCTGGGGGGTGAGGGGGGGTGTTGAGGGAGGCAGCACAGTAATGTTGCAATGTTACAAAGTCCACAGATAAGATACACGACGATGCCATGGCCTTACAATGTGACCCATCTTCCTCTTGGACAAGTTGGTGTCTGTGAGAATATACAGCTCACTTGTGGGTTCTCTATTGGACAATTGAGCTCTTCTGCTGTTATGAGAATTACTGCAGTCTTAGTACGTAATAACTATTGTATGAAGTAAGATGGCGTATGATATGCAGCCGCGAGAGATAACAAAGATAAGAAATGTGTGACTCTTAATCATATGGTAACCGAACTTGTACTGCTGTCTGCTGTTAACGGTTATTGGCTGCTGTCTGCTGTTAACGGTTATTGGCTGCTGTCTGCTGTTAACGGTTATTGGCTGCTGTCTCCTGTTAACGGTTAGTGGCTGCTGTTACAGGTGTCAGCTAGTACAGGTGTCAGTTATTACATGTGTCAACTAATACAGGTATTAACTCGTACAATATGTTTCCTGGTATTTAATACTGTACAATGTTACAGGTGTCAGCGAGTGCAGGTGTCAGCTGGTACAGGTTACATCTAGTGCAGGTGTCAGCTAGTGCAGGTGTCAGCTAGTGCAGGTGTCCGCTACTGCAGGTGTCTGCTGGTACAGATGTCTGCTGGTACAGGTTACATCTGTACAGGTGTCAGCTAGTGCAGATTTCAGCTAGTACAGGTGTCAGCTAGTCAAGGTGTCAGCTAGTACAGGTGTCAGATAGTACAGGTGTCAGCGAGTACAGGTGTTAGCTAGTACAGGTGTCAGCTAGTACAGGTGTCAGCTAGTCAAGTTGTCAGCTAGTACAGGTGTCAGGTAGTACAGGTGTTAGCTAGTACAGGTGTCAGCTAGTGCAGATGTCAGCTAGTACAGGTGTCAGCTAGTACAGGTGTCAGCTAGTCAAGGTGTCAGCTAGTCAAGGTGTCAGCTAGTACAGGTGTCAGCTAGTACTGGTGCCAGCTAGTACAGGTGTTAGCTAGTACAGGTGTCAGCTAGTACAGGTGTCAGCTAGTACAGGTGTCAGCTAGTACAGGTGTCAGCTAGTCAAGGTGTCAGCTAGTACAGGTGTTAGCTAGTACAGGTGTTAGCTAGTACAGGTGTTAGCTAGTACAGGTGTCAGCTAGTACAGGTGTTAGCTAATACAGTATGTTTCTTGGTGTTTTATACTGTACAATATTACAGTATGGTGGTCTGCCATGGTAGACCACCATATATGGTCATGTTATCTTGGTGTACCACTATTAAGTGTGATTCATATATCATATTTATATTTTTAAGTAATAAAAGTAAATATTTGTCAGGAGGGAGAAGACCCAGTGTTCATCTTCATCAGACCCGGAGAGCTGAGCCACGTGTTGGCCCCAACTGACGGTCACACTCAGCAGTTGTTGGCCCCACTGACGGTCACAACCAGCAGTTGTTGGCCCCACTGACGGTCACAACCAGCAGTTGTTGGCCCCACTGACGGTCACAACCAGCAGTTGTTGGCCTCACTGACGGTCACACTCAGCAGTTGTTGGCCTCACTGACGGTCACACTCAGCAGTTGTTGGCCCCACTGACGGTCACACTCAGCAGTTGTTGGCCCCACTGACGGTCACACCAACACTGATAACGATGGTGAGGACAATAAATGTATAATTACCAGGTGCAACTGTTGAGCTGTCATTGTATGTGTTATGTGTCCCCTGTATATGTAATGTGTCCAGTATGTGTTGTGTGTCCAGTATGTGTGTTCTGTATTCTTATTTTGATGTTTTTTCTTATTAACGAAGCATATACTGTACAGGGTGTCCCAGAAAAATGTCCCTGCCTCTCTCCCTCCCTGCCTCATCCCTACCTGCTTCCTGAGACACTGAGTTGGAGGGAGGGAGGGAAGGTGGCAGGGAGCAGGTAGGCAGGGAGGGAGGGAGCAGGTAGGCAGGGGGGGGGCATGGAGCAGGCAAGCAGGGAGGGAAGGAGGCAGGGACATTTTTCTGGAACACATGGTATACTGGTATATACAGTATGTTATACCAAATAGGGATAACTACTGATCAACAATATCTTCTGGGTATTTATCTTTAGGGGGAAACTTCTGACTGGCCTTAAACGATCACACAGGCCAGAAAATACACATAAAATAATATTATCATAGAATAAACAAACCTTACCAAACGTAAACTAACCTGACCTATCATGAACTAACCTAACCTAACCTACTTTAATTACAACTTTGTTATCTTATAGTAAACGACGCCTCAAATGAAAAAAAAAGAGCAAATTTGACCATACACGAGTTAATGACCTTTAAGTTATAACAACAACAAAAAAAGTTATCCTTAGTCGGCGAAAACTTCCGATGCAATTTAAAGACTAATGATCCTCTCCGCAGGACAACCCAGAGCAATGTCAAGTTTGTTTTGAAAACTTTGATAAAGATCTTCGACGGCCTCGCAGTCTGTCGTGTGGCCACATCTTTTGCTCCCAATGCCTTGGGGACATGGTGAAGAACCTTCCGCTCACCTGTCCGAAATGCCGGTCAGTGAACAGAGCTACGACTATTGCTGAATTACCAATTAGTCATACTACAGAGACCTTCGTAAAAAGGGTCAAAGACCTCCAGATCAAGCCAGCTGCAACATCAACAAAGCCTCACCAAGTCCGACCCAAAACGACCAACAAGGAGTTGTGGTCCACTTCGCCAGAACACAAGTGCAGGATCAGCAGCCTCATCAATGACTGTGAAGAGAAACTGTCACAACTGGTCAAGTATGGGGAGACGTTGAAAGACTGGACTACTGAACACCTCCAGCTCCAAGATAGACTTAAGGAGCAGAACCAGGCAGCAATAGACCTTCTGAAACAGGAGACAACCATTGTGGTGGACATGACGACAGAAGGAGAGGATGGAAAGCGTCAGCTGGAGGCCATGCTGGGCAGCCTCGACACAGTCAACAGTGAACAGAGCTCCACAAAGATCGACGACGTTAATCACTGCAGTATGGATACAGAAGTCTGGATCCAGAAGTGCCAGAAAGTGTTCCCTGACGCCAGCACCGTGCACACATCTGTGAAGGTATGTTGCTGTAGACAAAGGTGAACTGCCTCATTGTAGTCATTTGTTACCACAAAAAAAATATTATACTTTATTCACTTATATATAACACTTAACACCAAATTTAATGTGCTTAATTATTATATATTTTACCTTTTTTATACCTAAGTTTAAACCCTGAATGAGAGGACATTATAACAAATGATGTAAAGGTGCGCGTAAATGATGACCACAGTTCACTTGTACTTGGCCTTCACTAGTGATGTTTTTACTGTATTGGTAACAACAGGTGAAGAACACCATCAGCGAGGCCCTGGAGAGGATGACCACAGTACCTGGTGCCACAGCCGTCCCATACTGGGAAGACTCAACCCTCACCATCATGGAGAAAGTTGAAAAAATTAGTAGTGAAGGGGCCACGTTGGATGAGGACAACTTCAGTGTAAGTTTGTGAGCTCTTGTGCAGAGTTTTTCCAGTACATAATACAGTATAATCTGTCACACTGGACGAATATTTCCGATCACTAATTGTGATTCTTGCATTATGTTGGTAGGCCTGCCTTCCTGGTATCTGTGAGGTTGCCAGCTCTTATTTTTGGCATTTGTTGTAAGTATGGTGAATCACCTTGCTCCACCTTTGGTAGAATAATATAATGATTTTAATGGTAGCGATGATACTGCCTCGTGTTGCCTGTGAGGTCTCCACAGTGACTGTCAATCCCATGGGAGGACTTGACATCGTCTCGTAGTGTATCAGTGTTCCGTCGCCAGCACGAATCATGAGACGATACGTTATATTCATAATTGTTATCTCATCTATTGAGGTAGAAAAAATATCGAAATGCAGTAAATCATAATGCCATTATAATTGGACATGATATCATAATACACGTGTAATTACTATATTTGCAAATGAATGTAATGTCGGATCATAATGTTTCATATTTCGTTCGAAGAGATTCCGCTGTAACCTCGGTTCATGAAAACATAGTACCGTTATATTCCTATTTAGCAACTCATCCCCTGGGGCTGAAATAGTATCTAAGGTGCATAAATCAGCTGGGTTACTAATGGCGTTATTGGCTTAGCATATGGTACCACAATTCATCCTTTTTCATTACATTGCGTAGAGAATAAGTGGTATACAGCAGATATCATGGTGATTATCAGATGCAACAAGAATGAACGAAAGGTGCAACTCGGAATCAGAAATACCGAACCGAGACTGCTGTGCACGTGTTATTGTGTTCATTTCCAGCACCTCAGGCCCAGGGGTTTCGATACTTTTTTGGGAGTGTACAAAGTTACAAGCTATCTATAACAATACAATGGTTAAATTGTTATTAGTAATGTACCTTGTTGATGTGGACTCTCGTCTTAGTAATGTATACAAGATGATGGCTTGAGGAATACTGTCTATAAGTACATAGTAATGATCAGGTACTGTCCACAGGTAATGATCCTGGTACTGTCCACGGGTAATAATGGTTGACACTGTCCACAGGTTAAGGATCTCGGTCGTCCGGGCATCAGGAGGGTGGTGGAGGCTGGCCGGGTGTCGGCTGTTCTGGAAGACCAAGTTGGCCGCCGCTACTGCAAGATAACTCGACGAGATGGACGGCTGTACCTGCACACACTCCGGCCCACACCTGCCCACACTCCCCTGCCCACGCCCACCTACACCATAAAGGTAATTTTATTAATCTTACACGTTTAATGTACATTCATGGCATTATTTTATTTAGTAATAATATTCCAAATTATATCTAAGAATATTTAAGTAACAATTATGTCACTATTAACACGTGAAGCATTTTATTGTGAAAACTATTGTTTGTGTGTTTGTGCAGCACAGCACCGTAATGGACGCCCTCGACTCCTCCTCCACCCTCGTATTTCTTGACCTGGGATGGAAGGGGTCAACAAAGGGGCGGGTCCACATCCGGCTGCGCCCTGACACGCCCCTTGGAAGACAATTCACCTTGTTGTGTACAGGCCAGAATGGACACACCTTCGCCGGTACTAACATGCTAGTCGTAGGGTTTAAAGGCAAGTCTCAGGAGTTTGTGGCGGGTGGAGACTATGAGTTTAATGATGGGAGGGGAGGAGTCTCACTACTGCCTGACCTCCAGGATGAGTACCAGGTGTCAGACAGGGCGGGGGCTGTGGGGTCACGGTGGGGGCCGGGGAGAAGAGATCGTGGAGCACAGTTCGTCATCACCACCAGGGACAGGAGTGATGGTGAGAAGTACAGCAGTATCTTTGGGCAGGTGACGAGCGGACTGGAGGTGTTGACAGCAGCAGTCAACCATACGGATATCTGTGAGGTGATTGTGGTAGACTGTGGTGTTGTCTTGACTATATCATCACCATGAGTCACCATCACCATGTGTCACCATCACTGTCACCATCACCCTGTGTCACCATCACCATGTGTCACCATCACCCTGTGTCACCATCACTGTCACCATCACCCTGTGTCACCATCACCATGTGTCACCATCACCATGTGTCACCATCACTGTCACCATCACCCTGTATCACCATCACCATGTGTTACCATCACCCTGTCTCACCATCACCCTGTGTTACCATCACTGTCACCATCACCCTGTGTCACCATCACCCTGTGTCACCATCACCCTGTCACCATCACCATGTGTCACCATCACCCTGTGTCACCATCACTGTCACCATCACCCTGTGTCACCATCACCCTGTGTCACCATCACCCTGTGTCACCATCACCCCAGGTCCCACACCCTGTGTCACCATCACTGTCACCATCACCCCTGTGTCACCATCACTGTCACCATCACCCAGTCACCATCACCATGTGTCACCATCACTGTGTCACCATCACCCTGTGTCACCATCACTGTCACCATCACCCAGTGTCACCATCACCCTGTGTCACCATCACCATGTGTCACCATCACCCTGTGTCACCATCACTGTCACCATCACCATGTCACCATCACTGTCACCATCACCCTGTGTCACCATCACCCTGTGTCACCATCACCCTGTGTCACCATCACCATGTGTCACCATCACCATGTGTCACCATCACCCTGTGTCACCATCACCACGTGTCACCACCAGTTAGCTGTACCAGTTAGCTGTACCAATTAACCTTACCAGTTAGCTGAATTAGTTAATACTACCAGTTAGGTGTACCAGTTATCTTTACCAGTTTGGTGTACCAGTTAATCTTACCAGTTAGCTGTACCAGTTAGCCTTACCAGTTAGCTGAACTAGTTAATACTAACAGTTAGGTGTACTAGTTAGCCTTACCAGTTAGCAGTTCCAGTTAACCTTACCAGTTATCTGTACCAGCTAAACAGTTAGCTGTACCAGTTAAACATTTAGCTGCACCAGTTAAACAGTTAGCTGTACCAGTTAAACAGTTAGCTGTACCAGTTAAACATGTTAGCTGTACCAGTTAAACAGTTAGCTGTACCAGTTAAACAGTTAGCTGTACCAGTTAAACAGTTAGCTGTACCAGTTAAACATTTAGCTGTACCAGTTAAACATTTAGCTGTACCAGTTAAACATTTAGCTGTACCAGTTAAACAGTTAGCTGCACCAGTTACCAACCAAGAGCATGTGTTGACGTTACCCTGTGTTTCTGTCATTAAGTAATTACTATTAACTGTTACGGCTAATGTATCGTATCATAATAGACTGCTGTAGTCTTTCCTCTGGTCTTTCATTTATTATTGAGTCTTTACGTGTGTGTGTGTGTGTGTGTGTGTGTGTGTGTGTGTGTGTGTGTTGCTGTTATCTCCTGTTTGTTTTGGTTGCAACAGTTTGTAGCCATCGTTGATAATTATTTGTTCGTTTTGCATTATGCGTCAGTGCTATCAGTACAACACGCTGTTACAACTACTACTACTACTACTACTACTACTACTACTACTAACAATACGATCTGATTCTTTACCTCATTTGCCTACAAAACTGTGACTGTTGTGGGTTTTGTAGAGGCATAAGATATTCCACATTCTTCACTACAATGCAACTGTACTCTGGGACCCCAAGGCTTAAAAACTGTAGCGCTGTGTTGACCCCAAGGCTTAAAAACTGTAGCGCTGTGCTGACCCCAAGGCTTAAAAAAACTGTAGCGCTGTGTTGACCCCAAGGCTTAAAAACTGTAGCGCTGTGTTGACCCCTTAAAACTGCTGGCGCTGTGTTGACCCCAGGCTTAACTGCTGTGTTGACCCCAAGGCTTAAAAACTGTAGCGCTGTGTTGACCCCAAGGCTTAAAAACTGTAGCGCTGTGTTGACCCCAAGGCTTAAAAACTGTAGCGCTGTGTTGACCCCAAACCTTTGTAGATAAAGAATTGTAACAAAAACTTAACACAAAAGAATGGTGTTGTGGAGAATGAGGAAGGTGAGGACAAAGTCTCTATATAAATATTTTTTTTCTACTTCTTAATTGGTCCACCTCTACCTGCTCTCTCTCTCTCTCTCTCTCTCTCTCTCTCTCTCTCTCTCTCTCTCTGACTACTTCTCACCTATACCTCTAAGATCTCTCTCTCAGTATCTCTCACATCATACCTCTTAACTCTCTCTCACCCCAACTCCCCTCTCCCTCCATTCTAGCTCCCCTCTCCGGCTCTCCTCTCACCTCTCCCATCTTTTCTCTTACTCCTCCCCTCTCCCCACTCCCCTCTCACCTCTTCCTTCTCCCCAGCTCCCCTCTCCCCAGCTCCCCTCTCCCCCTCCTCTCTCTACTCCCTCTCCCTCCCTCTCCCCCAGTTCCCTCTCCCCAACCTCCCCAGCTCCCCTCTCCCCAGCTCCCCTCTCCCCAGCTCCCCTCTCCTCAGCTCCCCTTCATGTGGGGGAACAAAGCCTCAGGTGTGTACAAAGTAATGTTGTATATAGGACGTCAGGTGAAGACAGGTGACCACAATACACAACAACATTTTACGATTTATGCTTTTTCGCTTTCTGTGTTGTGGCCTTCACTGCCCAGCGTTAGTACAGGAGGAAACTGACGCACTCGGAGAAAACCTACCATGTTTGGTGGGGTTCCATTGGATAACAGCCTTCTTACATCTGTCCTGGGCAGTGGATTGAAGTCTGGGCACAATGGTGTCCAGACCACCGTCTCCACTCTCTCCTGGAGAATATATGGGAAAAGGAAGAAATTCCCCAAGTTCTTAAGCACGCCTCCATCGTCAATGGCAACTACCAAGGTCTTCGACTCGGTCAACAGGAAAACCTTCTGGCGGACCCTCAACTGTTTGGCTGACCACCAAAATTCATCGCCATTGTGATGCAACTCCACGATGGCATGAACGTCAGTGTCCTTCACAATGGCACCCAGTCTGAGTTCTTCTCCATCCAAACGGGGGCAAAACAATGATGTGTACTGGCAGCAACTCCCTTTTCCATTTTCTTGGCTGACTTCCTTACTCGTACCATTGCCAATTTAGCCGGCTGGATGCACATCCAGTAAAGGATGAAGGGTCTTTTCAACATAAGACAGAACCAGGCAGGAACAAAAGTGTCGGCAGCTTCCATTACTGAACTTCAGTATGCAGACGACCTCACCCTTGTCGTTCACACTGAACACGACCTGCAGGAGAACCTGCACACCAATGCTGATGTGTTATGTACACTTTGGCCTTGAGGTGAATGTACGTAAGACTCGGATTCTTTTTCAGCCTGCCTCTGGTTCAGCCACACCTCCACCATACATCCATCTTAACGGTACTACCCTCTCTAATGTTACCCACTTTCAGTATCTCGGCTCCCACCTGTCGACCACCGCGGACATCGATGAAGAGATTCAACATCGGATCAGATGTGCATCTCAAGCCTTTGCCAGACGCCGTACCCGTGTCTTCAGCTGTAGGGAGCTGAAATTATCTACAAAGTTGCACGTATATCGAGCAGTGGTCTTCCCCACCCTGCTATATGGCAGCGAGACATGGGTCACATACAGGAGGCACCTCAAGGCACTTGGAACGTAGACTATCTATGTTCCATCTTCCGAATTCGGTGGAAGACAAGAGAACAAATGCCACTATTCTGGTTGACACCAACTGTAGGAGCATCGAGACTACCATTATCCATGAATAACTACGTTGGACTGGCCATGTTACCAGCATGGACGGCAGTAGACTGCCAAAGCAGCTACTTTATAGTCACCTAACTCATAATAAACGTAACGCTGGAGGGCAACTGAAAAGGTATAAGGATAGTCTTTAGTAAAACCTGAAAAAAGTGCCAAATCGACTCCTTCACCTGGGAGACGATTACGCCACACCGTAGCGCTTGGAGGAGCACCACACGAAAAGGTGTCAACACTTTCGAGGTAGCCCGACTGGCATACCGAGGCAGACAAGCGCCAACGCCGGAGAGACGTTGCCGCCACCCCTCCCGCACTAGATGTAGCCCTCCACACGTGCAACATCTGTGGACGACCCTGCCGGTCCCATATCGGCCTCCTTAGTCACCTCAGAGCTCACCAACGAAGGTGAGATACTTAATAACTCATATCGTCGTATCACAGCTGGATAATCGTCATACTCGATTCCGAGTGACAGCAAAGTAGTAGTAGTAGTAGTAGTAGTGTGTGTGTGTGTGTGTGTGTGTTTTATCTAGCTGTTTCTGAGGAAGAAAAGGGAGAAAAAATCTCCCCGCCATGTAGCCATTACTATAATCAGATCTAGGAACACCTAATTACCTCAACTATCAGGGTCAACAGCTAACTACCAGCACGCGACACTCGCCTCCACCGTCCAGGGGCGGTAAAGGCCACATTTTCGTGCTTTTCCCCGTTAATTTTCCCCCAAATTTCCTGGCCGCCTGCCTAACCCAATGAGGTTAGTTATTTCCCTTGACGTTCCAGTGATGTTTTACTGTGGTGTATCGTAGCCTTAGTAAGATACATCCACAAACTTCTGAAAAGCCTCGGGTTTGTGTACATTAACAGAACTGGATTCGTAAAGATTTTTCCGTTGGTTTTCCCCAGATATATTGTACACGAGGCATGTTGTACTGTCGGTGGCCCAGGATTAATAAGGTATATACACAGACTTGAGAGGCCGCCCAGGTTTAAGTATATTTCTTAACTTTAGTTTCGAAAAGTTGGCAAGTTATTATCCTCTTACTTAACTCGTTTTTTACCCGCAGGTGTTCCAATAATGTCTTACTGTTGTTTACCGTGCACCTGGTAAGGTATATCAACAGTCTTCATAATTGGATTACCAAAGATTCATACATCAACGTTTAGTGAACTGATTTAACCCTCCTATTTTGCAAGAACTGATTAACCCAGTCTTAACTAACCTAACCTAACCTAAAGTAACGTAACGTAACCTAACCTAATCTATATACAGGCACACACACGCACACACACACACACACACGAGACAGTGCCACCTGTCCCTTCCGGTTCGGCGTCGCACTAATGTACCAGGTAAT